GCCTGTTACTGCGTTTAGCGGTGACAACTGATTATAAAAAAAAACCGCTGTCACTTTTACTTGGAATGGACTAGGTGTCAAGGAGGTCCCGAGGCCATCGTCGGTTGAGGCGACGTGGTGGGTTGTCAGGATGGGAATGAGTGGATAGGACTCCAGCATAATGGTTGGCAGCAGATGGTTCGAAAGGTTTGTTTGGAATCTGGACTGGATTAGTTCGTTGTTAAAAGGAATGTTGAGGTCTTTGTGGATAGTGAGGTTAGTGGCATAATAAGGTGCTTTGACAATTTAAACATAAAACAGCAAAATTTCACTGGCACTCTCAACACGACACGCAAGAATGGTACAATTACACAGAAGACAGACACTTTGAATGAGTAGAAATACTTTGATTGAATATAAAAAAATATATTTTGCATTGTATAAATTCACTTTTGAAGATTGGCAGAACCTAAGGTGAAAAATAAAAAGGAATAGGGAGAACAGAGGTCGAAGATTGTTTTTGAATGGCACATCTGGATTTGAATGGAAGGGATAAGGAGACTAACTCCCAAGGAAGGGACCTGTTCACTACTTTCCACAGGAAATAGAAACACTATCATAACAAATAGTGACAAAACCTAAAATGAAATGTAAAGAGCAATAAGTATAACAGAGCACAAAGATGGTTTTGAATGGATTAACAGGTTCTGGTTCTAGGATACCAAGGATTTGAAAGCCGACCTTGTAAGAAAAGAACTAATGGACACACCGTTCACGAATATGTATAGTTTTCCTGGAAGATATACATACTATGTAGAACATAAGGTGAAAAGTAAAAAACTATATGTGCAACAGAACTGGTTTTGGTAGTTTTGAATGGCATAACAGAGACCTTGGTTCCTGGACATTTTGGTTGAAGGGAGTGAACAAGAAGATTATCTTCTGAGGAACGGACCTAGTCACAACTTTCATACACATTATCAATCAATAAGACCATTAGAGGATATCCCAATACACACTATAAAACACAAAAAGAAATAAAGACGTGACAGATAGCCAAAGAACAGTTCGAACTGAAAGTTTTGTGAATGGCGAGACCACACTTGGAAATGCAAGCAGACTCATCCTCCGAATCCTAAGTCACAGGTTACATTATGCGAGGAATCAAGTATCAGATTACCTTGAGACGGGACTTGCTAAACTTCTGATAGTACCCGCTGCCAATGACCTTTTTGAACAGAAGCGATGGATATCCATCAATAGCTATCTTAAACTTAACTTGTTGGAGTTGAAAAAGATAAATGCTTTAAAGCTTAATAGGAAGCATTTAAAAAAACGTAAAATTTCTCGACTGGGCATTGCAGAAAGTGTACAATGCACATCCTGAAGGAAATGGGCCGAGGAACTAAGCCTTCCTGAACCAACACTGGCTCATTATTGGGGCCGTCTTCACTCGTAGATTTATTGAACTACTCAAACGCGTTTCGAAATTGCGCCATCTTCAATGAGGAACAGTTCGTAAGTTACCCAGGCCCGGTTCGGCATGACTTCACTTACTTGCAGACCAACACCCAGCATCGATTGCAATAATTATTTTAATTTGACAATTATTAATTTTAAAAATAAGATTTTTCTTAATAAAGTTTTATTAAAACTTCGGGTTAAAAATCCAAATAGGTTGATTCAACGAGCAATTTAAAATAAAATAATACTTAGGATTTGTAAGTTTGATCGTTTCGACAAAAAATCTCTTTCTTGATCTCTAGATCCGTGGTGAAAATCCGCGCCGAGCCGCCGTTTTCATTCTTCACTCCTCACCCCAACGAAATCAACCCTCTAACGATATCAACCCCTCGTAGCCATTTAAAGAGGAGAAGAAAAAAAAATACAACGGCATCCCTTCCACCCCGTACACCTGGGTTTTCGCCACACTCTTTGCAGTACGTGTCGGCCAGCTAATTCGCCGAGTATCCATCAAATATATGACAAGAATGTACGATATGGGGTTTTCAGGCAAGGTAAATATTCACCAAGTACCTCCAAAAGAAAAGAGATGCATTCTAAACTCATTAAGATCCTGTAGACGAAAAAATAAACACACTAATTAATCTTATTGTTAATACCAACATATGTGCGTAAAGGCGTCGAGTTCATTTTTAAATTGTTATTCAATTACTTCTTTATTTGATTATTTGTAACTCCTATTTGGTGTACTTTCAACTTGTTGTGTTTATCGATATTTAAGAAATTTCTCTATTCTTTTTCTACTCCTTTGTTTTGGTATTCGCTGGTTCTTTACGTTGATATTTGCTACGTTTTATATCGTTATGTTCCACTCCTTTTTATTGTTTTTTGCTTCTTCTGTGCTCTGTTTTAGCTTGTTTTTTTTTTCTACTTCTCTATACAGATATTTATTGTATATTTCTATTGTTACATTTCACTATTTACTTTTTTATTTTTTTATTATTATCTCATTTTGTCTTTCCTTATATTATCTGCTACTTTTGATAGTCCTTTCCTAATTTTACCTATATTCTACCCCTTTGTTTTGTCATTTTCTACTTCTTTATTTTGGAATTTGCTGTGTTCTGTGTTATTCTTTGTATCGTCATTTGCTGTTTCTTTATGCTGGACCTTTCTACTACTTTGTTTTATTATTTCCCCGAATAATCTATCCTTGATGTTTGTATTTGCTCTGGTACTTTACATTGATATTTGTTACCCTTTTTATATCGTTATGTTTTACTTCTTGTTTTATGTCATTTGCAGGTACTTCATATTGGATATCTGCTCCTTTTTATATCGTTGTTTTCTCTTTATTTATTGTCTTTCTTCTTTACTATGTTTTAGCTACGTCTTAACACCATTTTGTATTGCATTTTTCTACTTCTATATACAGATATTTACTTCATCTTTCTTTCGTTATGTTTCACTAATTACTATTTATATTTTTTTATTATGTTATTTTCTATTTCTTTATATTATCTACTACTTTATATAGTCCTTTCCTACTTGTTTTATTTTGTAACTTTGTTTTGTCATTTTCTACTTCTTTATTTTGGTATTTGCTACTACGGTCTTTTGTTGTTTGTTTCATTTGCTCTATCTTTATGTTGTGCTTTTATCACTTTTTATACTAACATTTGTTACCTCTTCTATTGTTATTTTCTGTTAATTTGTTTTGTAATTACCTTTCCTTAATTTTGACATTTGCTCTGTTCTGTATTATTCTTTCTATCGTCATTTGCTGGTTCTTTATGCTGTATTTTTATTCTTCTTTGTTTTATTAATTCGCCGAATAATCTATCCTTGATGTTTGTATTTGATGGTTCTCTATATTGACATTCGATACTTTTTTTAAATTATTTTCTATTCCTTTTTTTCCTTGTTGGTTTTTTCTTATGATGTAATGTAAAGTATTAATTGGTCAAGCGGACCACGAAAAGAGTGAATTTATGATGTAATGTTCTACTTTTTGCTTTGTAATTGTTTAGTTCTCTATAACATAGTTTGTTGTTTCTTTATACTGATATTTACTATTTTTTTACATTGTTAATTAAATTTTTTGTTACTTTTACATTATGATTTTTCTGAATTTTCTACTTCATTATGTGTGATTTTTTACTGATTTTTCAATTATTTCTTCTTTTTTTTTAGTTATTACTCTTGCACAGATTTTGTTTTTTCATGTTAATTTTCAATATTTATTTTTTTATTTCTTTATACTTTTATTTATTGTTTCTTTATGCGTGTTACCACTTTATATAGTCAATTGCTGTTTCTTCTTTTCTTTGTTCTATTGTTTTTTCCTTCTGTACTATGTTTTTCCTACGCCTTCTATTTTTTGCAACTTCTCTATATTGTGAATGCTTTTGCCACTCCTTAATATGGTTATAACCGCATTTTTTATAAGGTTCCTTCCTAAGTGTTTTATTTATATAGTTTTATACTTGTTCCTATTTTTTATTTTTGTCTTCTACCCCTTTGTTTTGTCAATTTGTACTTTTTTATTTTGAAATTTGATATTTGTTACGATTTCGGTGTTTTGGAAAGACATAAGCCAGAAAGTATTTTTAGCCAGATGAATAATTTTAAAAAGGTTTTCCTTTAATAAAGTTGTCCAAATTCTGAAGAAAAAAATATGGTGAGTACAGAAGAACATTGTAGCCAAGCTCTTATAATTTATTGCTTTATTCGAAACATGGGGCTGGTGTTGTCGTGTAAGACTATAGGATTTACCAAAGTAGCAGTGTTTCGTTCAGTTTTTGATGGTCTCACCTCTAAGCATAGAAAACTATGACTATAGCCATACGTCCACCATTGGTTCTTTTGGGTGTTAATTTTGTCATCATTTGACACTGACCTGGCCGACGCCGGTTGTCATACAAAATCTGTTTTTTCATTTCTAGGTATTATTCTTTAAAGAAAAGTCTCGGTTTTGGGCCAAGCAAACGACGAAACGATGGAAAGTTGGGCTTAAACTGCTGCCAATCATAAATCTAGTTTTCTGACTTTTCCAGTTTAATTTATGTGTCTTGAACTATGGATGCAATTTTGTTCGGTTTTTTGAGAAACCTGTGACAGTTTAATAAGGGTTTTTTCTGGGTAAGCTGGTCGACTTGGAACTATAATCATCATCATTTGGTTCTTTGTTTTGTCTTTGGAAATACTTTCTTACCTGTTTTTTGTGTTGTGTGGGTATATTAATTATATATTCACTTAATTCAGCTTAGAATAAGATGAACGCCGACCAGTTCATAAAATTAACTTGGCCACAATAAGATACATAAAAAAAGCCACGTACCCTTTCATAAACTAAAGGGGTGATTTTGCCCCCTCCAGGTTCTACCTTAAAAAAACTCATTTGGCTAATGGATGCTATTAATTGTAATGTAAACACAGATGTTGACTGTTTTTTCCTCTCCACTAATGAGTGTCACCTTTTGATACCTTTTCACCCCCGGCCACGTGCCGTCAACACGCGCTGATTTTTAATGAATCACTGATTTTTTTTTTTTCAGGCTTCTCGGCCGAGGTTCCATGTTCGTCTTTTCGACGAAGCAGTTTTCCCAGTTGACGGGACGTGAAGAAGGGAACGGAGGGGACCTGGTCGACCTAGGTGCCGGTGACGGCGCCATGACAAGAACAATGGGGAAATTCTTCTCATCCGTCACAGTCACCGAACTGTCGAAACCTATGAGGAAATTGCTGAGAAGCGCCGGTTTCGCGTGAGTGTCAATCGTGTTTGGATCTTGTTTCGCTGTTTTACTGTACACATAAGTCATATATGCCTCTTCGATTGCATGATGTGACCCGGAGGATGGTTTATTTGCCTAGCGACGTCTCATCCTCCTAGGAGGATCGCCTCCCATCAATCAACAGCCCTTGGGTATAAAACGATATTTCAACTGTTCCTCCTCTTTATATAAAGCCAAAACTCCCTAAAATGAAAGAAACCGAGTGTACACCATACCCACACCATAACCTGACCCTTGAGGCTAACCACTACCTCTCTTCAGTCTTAGTATACCACGCATAGTTCCGATCTTATTTCATCACTGTACAACCTCTTCCCAGCTAAGGCCAACTGTCTTTCAGCTTCTTAGTTAGGTAGTAATGCCTAGTCTCAAACTTACCCTTTATACAAAGCCAAAACTTTCAAAAATGAAACTACTTCCTTAAAGACACCTTCAACCGTTCACTTACCAATGTACAAAGTACTTTTTTAAGTGAAGTTGAACGTCTACCACACTTATTCCCTCCACCTTATACTATATAGTTGCTGTTGAGCTTGATTCATCAGACGACTTTTTCCCACCATCATCGCCTATGATGACGGACAACGGAACAATTCTCTATACCTCAACAGCCTGTAAACATACTTAGTTCCGACTTTGCTTCAATCAAAGTTCCCAAAATGAAAAGGAACAGCTATCAAACTCACCTAATCGTCCTGACCTTGCTTCTTCAGATTATAACCTCATCTGTGCATTGGCCCTCTTCATAAAGGACACGGTCCAATTTTCAATATTCAAAACCTTTCCGAAATGGAACCAATCGAGTTTCTACCACAACCATTTTCAGTCCTTGTATTGTGGAATTGGAAAACACATATTACAAACATTTGTGCAACAAAGTTGATGCACATACTAAGTGGGTAAAAGTTTTTTGGGGTTTTGGTAATGGAGCACTGGAATTATATACAAAGGAGCAATATTACCTATTCTCACCTATGTGGCTCCGGTTTGGTCAGATGCTCTAAAAATAAATACAAATGTTCGAAAAATGAGAAGTGTAAAAGGAAGGTCGCTCTAAGGATAATTCGCGGATATAGAACTATCTCATACCAGGCAGCAGTAGTATAAAAAGGGTGAAAAAGATCTATTGGTCCTCATTACCTGCCAGATGTCAAACCGATTGAAGAATGGCCACACCCGACAGAAGTAGAAAATTTGCTAACTGAAGAAGAAATTTCTAATCCGACCTATGTAGTACACACAGATGGTAGTTGAATAGAAGATATGGTAGACTGTGCGACAATAATAACCGTTAAAAAAAAAAGAAGTGGAAATTAGACAAAAAAAAACTGGCTCCATTTTGTTCTAACAACTGGGCTGAGCTGCAAGGAATAGAGATGGCTCCTGGACCGACACGAAGAGGATTCGAGATCACCAATAGTATACACTGATAGTTTGGTTTCCTTAGCGCTGATAAACAACCACAAGGCAAAAAATAACAAGCCGCTTTAGAAATCTAAGAAGAAATCCGTGCTGGAAAATTGCTTTACTGTGGGTGATAGCCCGTGTAAAGAATCAAGGATATGAAGAGCAGATGAGTTGGCAAAACAAGCACTAGATAGAGAATTAGAAACAACTTAGGCAGTTCTGGTCTCGTACATTAAAAACAAGAGGAAACCAAAAGCCTAGAAAAATTGGGGAAAATGTAGACAAACTCTGACAAAGGCAAGCTCACAAGATAGTACATACCAACCATTTCTGCAAGGCAAAAAACGACGATTAAGCATACAGGTCAACTAAAGATGGCGCTTACAGGCCATGGGAAAAACAACGCCTACATGCACTCTTTTTTGAGCTTTTATGAGAAATGTTCTACTAAATGAATAAAAGAGTCCCAGTATGCCTGCGTAGTTCCGACCTTTCATCCTTCTACCATCTAGGGCCAACATCATTTGTTAGCTAAGTCTCAACTTGACCTATATACAAAATTTTTCCAAACATCGATATTGAACAAAAATGACAGTGAGTATGGCGAGAAGTTGAATAGCGTCTGACGGATGAAAATTATCGGAAAGGAGCAAACTAAAATATAATGTTGATTTTTGAAAGTGTAATTTGTAAGAATTATTTCATCCCATCAATTCATAGGCGAGCAGGAATCTCCGGAATGTATCCGGTTCGGCCTTAAGGGTTGTTTTATATCGCGATTCTTTCTTCCATGATGAATCCCATTTACTCGTGACAGGCCGCCGGGGGTTGGATAGGTGTTCTCCGAGGACCGTCCTTTTGAAAAATGAAGAGAAAGAGTCCCCACACCCTTCCTCCCGTACATATCTCACGTTTGCATAGGACCATTGTCCAGCCGGTTCCCGGGGCAACAGCTGACAAATTCTCCACTTTCCGAGGCCGGAGGAAAAGAATGAGGAATATGAGAAGGGGTTGTTTTGAATTTTACAAGGATTCTCTTTTCTCGGCCCGGGGGCCGGGGGATGATTTGTGGCCCTTCAGCCCTACCGCGTGCCCTCGTTCCAGGCGACCATCGCTCCTTTCAATTGGATGCGATATTTTCTCATACAGCATCACACAGTGTAAATTTAAACCGTTAAATTTTATTTTTCGATCATTTACAATTCAATTGTAAATAAGCTTCGGGCTTCGTGATGGCCAAGGAGTCAATATCATCTCTGTTTAAGACCTCGAAGGTGGTCCAAGAAGATAGCATTGTACGCGAATCCATTGTTTTGTTTGTTTTCCACTCCAGCTACTTTAGGAAACAGTCTTTGATTATCTCCTAGAATTTACACTAGAAATGGCTCAAAAGAAAAGCTGATTTTTGAATCACATCAAAACTAGTCAGTGAATGCATCCAAAATCTCCAAAACCTGGGGAAACACAACAACCTGATGGGATATCTTGGGTGCCAGGGCACAGGGGAATTTTGGGTAACGAGAAAGCAGACAGACTGGCCAGAGGAGGATCTGCAAGACCACGCATAGGCCCCGAACCAATCCTTGGGATAACAGAAACAAATATAGAATCCTCCATCGCAGAATGGATCCAAGCAAAACAAAAGGAGAAATGGATAAACTCTAGCGGTGCTAGACATAGTCAACGTATGATGAAACAACCCTCATCGAGACTGGCAAAAACACTGCTGCAATTGAAGAGAGCCAAACTCAGAGGAGTGGTAGGACTAGTAACCGGCATCTGAGAAAACATCTACACAACATGGGTATATACATCGATGATTCCATTTGCAGATTATGTAATGAGGAGGAGGAAACAGCCACTCATATCATTTTCGAATGCGAAGCAACAGCTTAATGGAGGTTTAACGTACGGAACAGACTTAGGGAATCAAATTGCAGCAGCAATAGTCAATGACCTGATACTTCTAAGAAGAAGGATTGATTGTATTAACTGAATTAAGGAACTAGGAAGATACAATAAGCCAGAAGGCTGCAGTGCCTAGGGAATACAAACCACGCTTCCTACTATCCTTTTCCAACATAGCATACCATACCAAGTAACCTTAGTGGTAAATAGTAAAAGCGAAAGAGGTGGTAGTCTGAGGGCGCTTGGGCAGAATTATTAGATGACTGTAGTAGATGGTCGATTCCTGCCATTTTGGAAAGTTTTGGTTTTGTGTATAGTGTAAGTTCGAAACTAGGTATCATTCATTGAAGAAATCTGGCCCTTGTTGGTTGCAGTATGATGAAACAAAGTCGGGACTAGGTTTACTATGGTGGGAATGAGTGTGGCAAATTATCGATTTTACTTTTGGAAGCATTTGGTTAATGGACGGTTAGACACCAAGGAAAAAGGAAATTCGGGTCATTAATCCGAAGAGGTTGTAGTTCGTCTGAAAAAGCCAGGTCATACTTATTAGGTTAGTATGGTATATGGTCGATTCCAGCCATTTCGGAATATTTATGAGTTGTGCATTTGTTAGTGAACGGTCGTGGGTTTGTACTTAAAGATGTAGGACATTGCAGACATTGATTGGAAGGGGTTGTAAATATTCTGAAGGAAGGACATGATTATACTTTAAATTCGGTAGAAAGATCGATTTCTTTCATTTTGAAAATTTTCTACTTTGTATAAAGGGTAATTTTAAGACTAGGCGTTATTATCGCTTAAAGTCCTTCATGGGAAGAGCTGGCAGTCTGATGAAGCAATGTCCGGAAATATAAGACTCTGTAGTCGATATGGTACACTATATGGAGAGAGAGTGGTAGATGTTCGATTTCATTTCCGGAAATTTTTCTTTGTATATTGGTAACTGAACGATCAGCAAATAGTCTTCAATGAAGGGGGAGGAGGTGGCAAGTTCAGGCCGTTGATGGTAGGTAGACATTCTTTCAATTTCGGTATTTGCTTTGTACATGAGGTTGCAAGATGTGAGTGATAAGTGAATAGGCTATAGTATAATAGTTCGAGCTGGTAGTCTGAAGGGACAAGTTTAGTACTATTGTATAGGTATGGTATAAGTTTGATTTCGTTAAGGAATTGGGCCAAGAAGGTAGTCCTAAGTGGCATGGTCGTGTCTGTAGGTTTGAATGATCCACTGCAGAATCCTTCACAGCACATTGAATGTGTCGGCAGAACCATATTTAAATCTCTTTTAATTAACCAACGGGACAAATGTCCACTAAATGGGTTGTTCTTCCGAATGTCGCAGTAAAACGAGACTTCCATATACGTCATATACAACGATGGCAATGTAGTAAAAGACAAGACGTTACGAATTCACAATTCGTAAAACAAGGTCGGGGGAAGTATAAAAATGGAGTTGGACGTGGAAGAAAACACGTGTGTTATATATTTTCCCCTCCAGGTACAAGGCTGTTGAAGTAGAATGTGGAATCGTCCCATTGTCTTGAAGAGGTCAGTAGATCATTCTAAGAGTAGGATCTGTCGCCACCAATGACCGAGGGAAGGCACGCCTCATAGAGCACGACGCCCGGTCCCGGTATAAACTGACTGCAGGGGTATAACTCTTCCGTCTGTCCGAATCTTTGAGACCTGCTCTTCTTCAAAATTTACACCGTTCTTTAAGCAATTTTTCACATAGGTAAAACTTTTAGTTAAAGTTGTCTAAATTGTCATATATCGCCTCAGGAGGTCTGTCATCTACCGTCGATCCCTTTTACATGAAAAGTTTCATAATAAATTAAATTGGGCCGTATGTCATTAAATCCATTTCGAATTTTTTTTTCCAAGTGATCACAAGGGCGAATATTTTAAAAGGATTCGGGGTTAAAATTCGTAAAGGGGAGGAAAAAATAAAAGAGCTCGTGAGTCTTGGGTCGATAGCTAGGAGGAGGCTGATTAGAAATTTATTTAATTTCCCACCCCCGGCCGCGCTCCGTCCCATGGAGGGGTGGCGAGCGAGAGGGAAAAAACTCATTACGCCCCCATTCCGCCCCCTCCAAAAAAGCCACGGTTTCACCTCGTTCCTCACCTCAAAAATACCGGTTCTCCTTAATTCTCTGAAATGTCAATATGACATTATCAACAATGCAGCCGCTGATGAGATGATATTTGCGGCCAGGGGGTCGCCCCTCGGGAAACCGCCCCCTTTATTTATGGGCATAGGCCTAGGTGATTTTATCCACTAATGACCTCAATACTGTGCATTTTACACAACTTAATTAATACAAATTAAAGGTTTAAAAACAAAGCATACGTTTTTCTTGAACTCTGGCGCCCCTGATTTATTAAAAACCTCCTGCCACCACGACCTACCCTTACTATTGTCCATTGACCCTACTTTAAATTTTTAACATGAAAACTGCATCCACCTTTATGAATTTGACCACATTCCTAGGTTTAAGAGGCAGCGTGTGATGTCCCCTATACAAAGCAAAAACTATCCAAAATGACACCGACGTACCTTATAATCCTGACCTTGCTCCTTCAGACTACCTTCAACCTCTTTCGGACCTTCTTCTTTAAAGAATGATACCTAATTTCTAACTAACCCTATACACAAAACCAAAACTTTCCAAAAATGGCAGGAATCGACCATCTACTACAGTCATCTAATAATTCTGCCCTAGCGCCCTCAGACCTACCATCTTTTTCCCTTTTACAACTTACTATTACGGTCTACTTACATCTGGAAACAACATCGAGCCACAAACATGTCCCATATACAAAGCCAAACCGTTCCAAACTGAAAGGAATCAAGCTTTCTGTTGAACTAAATCTATAGTCCAGACCTTTCCCCTTCCGTCTACCACCTCTTGCCCTTTTACCACTTACTTCTATGGTCTATTACTTCTGGAAACAACATCAAATCATTAACCTACCCAATATACAAAGCCAAAACTTTCCAAAATGAAAGGAATCGACTTTTCTTCCGTACTTGCCCTATAACCCTGACCTTGTTCCTTCAGACAACAACGCCTTCCAGAAAAGGCCCTCTTCCTACAAAGCCTTGTGCCCGATTGTTCACTTAACAATGTTCAAAACCAAAACATACCAAAATGAAAAAAAAAACTTAATATCTATCACCTAACATTCCTGGACCTTCAGACCATCTCATCCGAGCTAGTAGGTCATCCATAAAGGATTACCACACTGTCCGATTACCAATATTCAAAGCGAAACTTTCTGAAACGCTACCAATCATTTAGCCCTGACCTTGCTCTCATACTACCTCTTCTCCGAAGCACGTCCCATCACTTAAGAAGATTCTACAAATTGGATCACCACATTTTCTCTTCTGACAGAACCTTCAAAACTCTAAACCAACAGACACATTTAACTCTAATTTAGAATAACTGGGCGGTTTGATAATGCATTAATGTTACACAAAGTATGTGGAAATCCTACGCTGTGGTTGTTCAGTGGCTTCTTAAGACCGAACAATTTGCCCAGAGACCTCCCTTGAGTCAGCCGTTGAAATTTAAGGGTTTCAAGTCAAAACTGATTACTACAACCGGGCTCGATTGTTTCATTGAAATCTTCCCTCGGGAAATCGCGTGTTTTCACTTTTGGAGAGGAAAGGAAACAAGGCTAAGCAGGTTTCCCGTTCCGGCTCTACGGCGTGCCTTCCGGCCCCGGGCGAGTTCACCCCCTTGGGCCCCTTTCGCCGAAACATCCGCCCAATTTATTTGTAAAGCGTGCTGAGGAAAGGCGACGAGACTGTCATTTAAATCTGAAATTCGCCTTGCCGACAAGAAAAAAACCGTGGAAAAAACCGTCATATTTTTGCTGATTTATGAGAGTTTCCCGAAGTCTGGGAACTGATGATCAACTCTCAATTTGTGATTTTTTAAATCTTATTTTTGTCTTTTTGGTTGGGTCCAGGGTGGCCGACGTGGACAACTGGTTCGAGCGCAAGTACGACGTCGTCTCCTGCTTGAACGTCCTGGACAGGTGTGAACGGCCGAAGACACTCCTTGGGCAAATAAGGGCGGCGATGAAACCTGAAGGAACCGCGATCGTCGCCGTCGTCCTACCCTTCAAACCGTACGTCGAATCTGGTAAGGATATATTATAATTAGACTTTTTTCTTTTTTTATGGCAAAAAACCACCAAGGGTCATGACTGCCTTGAAAATATGTTGTTAGCCACAAATCATGGGAGCCCTCTCCCCAGCGACTTCCGGCTTTCTGTATAACCATTTGAACGTGAAAAAGTTATATTTTGTATTTTTTGCATATAATTAAAATATGTTTAACAGTGATTATTTCTCCGCAATCTGGACACACTGGAGCAACATTAAGTTACCATGCGTCAATCGACAGTGCCCTATCCTCGGTCTAGCCATAGCTGTTTCTTCTTTCCTGGATTTTCGTGAGGATGTGTCCCACTCTTTGACAGAGCCCTTAATTTCCCGAATTTTGTTATTCGTCACTCTCTGCCACACAATTGTGACCATATAAATTTTTTAATAAAAGTATTAAAATCTTCATAAAGTATGTACTTCAATTATTTTATCTCCTTCTGTTATAGCTTTCTTTCCTCGCTCAGCTTCTTCAGTCCCGATTATGCCTCTATGACCCGGGATCCTTAAGAAGCACACGGGCTGATTTTTAAATTTGTTTGCTATCGTAAGAAGAATATCTAGAAATTACTACTAGTACTCTAGAATTAGTCGTGAAGAGCTTTCTAAGGGTGCTAATGGCAGAGAATCGTAACAAACTAGTACATTAAGGGACTTGTACTCCCACGCTGAGGCATTTATTTATGGCTACTAGTTCAGCTGTACAATTTCTACAGATCGTTGGCAAAGATAACATCATTTTCCTACTGCTACAGACGAATAGGGCACCAATGACATCATTCCCTTTTGACCCATCTGTAAATACTAAAGTTGATCCCTTATAGGAGCTTATTAATTTAAGGAATTCTTCTCTATACATGTAGTCTGGAGTGGTATCTTTGGGAAAACGATTCAATGAGACAACTATGCTAAAGATGGCAATTAGCCATGGAGGTGTAGGGAATGTGAGCGTTTTTTGAATTTTTGGAAATTTAATGGAAGGGTTTTCATTTAAAAAAAGGCTGAAACTCTAATTGCAAAATGATGTCTAGTGGTTTTTGTCACATTCCTTTCTGCATAAGGAATGGGTTTTTGGTGAGAAAATAATTCTGCAAGAGGATGTGAGGAGGAAGGGAATAAGCAAAGTTTTGTAAAATATTTAACCTTGTCACAGTGGAAGTTCTCCTGCTTCTACTTATATGCTATTTACTGAACTAGAGCAGAAGGTTCGATTAGCTTGATGTAGACCTCTGTTGTGAATTGTGTCGATAATTTGTTAATTAGACATTAAAAATGTATATACTACAAAAGATGATATAAGCAGGGAGAGCTGTGTGGGTTATGCATCTGTCCAGTATTTTATCAATGTGTCTTAAGATAAAGAGATGTTTTAACTTCACGTGCATTAAATATGCTCCAAGTTAATGGTTCACACCATGCCAAATATTGGCATGATGTTTCTATCTGTTTAAACACAAGCAAAAAAGAAAGATGTTATATCTCGTTACAGACTTACAGCTTCACAGTAGTAGTAGTAAGAATTTGTATTAAGGTTCAAGGTGACAGAATCAATCCAAAAAGATAAAAATTAGCTTAATAAAATGAGACAAGTTATGCGAGTTGGGAAAAGCAAGGAGTATGTACTTTGCTGCTGAGTATTCATCTTACTGCTTTCTATGATATCTTAAGAAGTAAAGAGGGACAAGGTATCAATATGAAGTGGATGGAAGGATTTATCGGGGGAAAAAAACAAATTCGCTTAAAAGGAGCCAGCTAATGCTATGAAAGAGTTGCAAAAAAATTGACAGAAGTCCAAAAGAAAAGAAGACAACTTATGAAAGAGTTGCCAAAACATAAGGTTTATGTACTTTCCAGTTATGTTCACATTTACACCTTTCCAATGTGCTTTAGCTGTATGGTCTTGACAAGGTAATACGACTAAAGATGAGAGTAGTAAACTAAACAGAGAGAAATTGCCAAAAGAAAAGAAGACAACTTATGAAATAGTTGCCAAAACATAAGGGGTATGTACTTTCCAGTTATGTTCAGATTTACACCTTTCCAATGTGCTTTAGCTATATGGTCTTGACAAGGTAATACGACTAAGGATGAGAGTAGTAAACTAAACAGAAAGAAATTGCCAAAAGAAAAGAAGACAACTTATGAAATAGTTGCCAAAACATAAGGGGTATGTACTTTCCGGCTATATTCAGATTTACACCTTTCAAATATGCTTTGGCAGTATGGTCTGAACTGTATTAAGGCTAAAGGTTCAGCAGCCCTTCATTTGAACAAGACATACTTACAAATGAGCTTTTTTAAAAACACTGGCACACCGAGGGTTTATATAACCTCGTAAAAAAATGACAGAGTGGCTTAAAAAATACAGACTTCGGGCTTACAGCTTTCCTTTCAAATTGTCTCAAAAGGCCTGGATAAAGTAATAAAGCAAATGGCGATTGAATTACACACAATAAAGAGAAATTGACAAAATAAAAGAAGACAAGTAATGAAAGATTTACAATTTATAAATTGGAGTCACCCTGTGTGACTCAGGACATAATGACATGTATGAAAAGGTTGTAAAAAAATGGGATGCCAACTTAAAAATGGTACTTTAACCGTTCCCTTACAAAGCCAAAACTGCCGAAAATATCCTTTATGGAAGTGCACCTAGCGCTAAGAGGTGGTAGTCTGAAGGAGGAAAGTCAGGACTATTAGGTGAGTGTGATAAATTCATTTTGGGATGTTTTGGCTTTGTGTTGGGAGCAGTGGCCTATGTTGTTTCCAGAAGTAGGTAGTAAATGGACAAGAGGTGGTAATCTGAAGGAGTAAAGTCTGGCCTACAGAATTGTACAGTCTTATAGTTCATGGTAACTTAAGATGTAGTGGGATGGTCTAGATAAGGTATTATATTATTTAACCTTTAAAAAAGGCACAGATTGTTTAGCCAACCAAAAATATGGAAGAGTTAAAGAGGAAATGGGCTAAAGGTGCCCGAATTGGCAAAATAAGGCATGTTATGAAAGAATTGAAATGTTAACTGTGATGCTTTCTTCCCACGGAGTCTTAAGAAATAGTGGGATGGTCTGTACAAGGTATTGATATATAAGGAGGCTGAATGATTAAAAAAAGGCACAAATGACATGGAAAACAAAAAGCTTTAAAAAAATAAAGGTTGTTTATTGCAGTTTTTCAGATTTACACCCTTTCAAACTGTCTTAACAAGTGTTGGTAGACTCTAGATCATATATCAAGGCAAAAATGACAAAATGAATTCAAAAGGATTCAAATTTGCCAAATAAAAGAAGACTAGTATTAAAGAGGTGCAAAGAGTTCCAGGTTGCACTTACAGATTACAGATTTGAGCATACTATTCTTGTAACAGGGAGATATCGTCAAGATGGGATATTTAACGGTGAAGCTCTTATTCTAAATTCTGAAAATAATAGTAGACAAATTGGAAAAAAAAATTAATTTTGCTGCCTTTGCTCAGATTTACAGCTTCGCACAGTATTTTATGATGGTGAGATGGTATGGACACGGCATAAAATTATAAGGTAGCTGAATTATTAAAAAAGGCACAAATTTACAAAATAGGATGGCCAAATCAAGGGTTTAAAACATATGGTTCTTATAAAAAAAAAATTTTAAAAATGGAATCATTCAAAAAAGACAGAAAATGACAAAGAGAGAACTAACTATGGAAATGTAGTGTACACTCCCACATGATAGAGATTAAATGAGTCTGAAAAGACACAAAGTGGGACACAAAAATAATGAAGGAATGCTAACAATGAAAAATATGCTGAAAAATAAACTAACCATGTTGCAGTGTAAATAAAGTGTTTTTCTTCCTTTCTGATTTGTAAACTGATTATGTTTTAACACTATTCTGATGAGAAAAGAATGCAAAATAGATCTATATGAAAAAAAAACCTCTAAAAAAAATTCAACAAGAGGATTGTTAAAATATCTAATTTTTATACTGTTTTAGGTACGAAAGACCACAAACCGGTCGAACAGCTTCCGATAAGTGGCCAAGGGTTTGAAGAACAGGTGCAGAGCCTGATCGAAGACGTTTTTCTACCTTCAGGCTTCATAGTCAAGAAATGGTCAAGGCTGCCTTATCTCTGTCAGGGTGATTTGAACCAAGCGTTCTACTGGCTCCACGACGCCGTCTTCGTCCTTTCCCTTCCTCGACCGACCCTGGAAGATTTGTGACAGTCGAGTCCTGACGAAGGGCCAAGCATGACTGCGACTACCGACTGAATGTCGAATCTTTCATGATCGGTGAAGATATCTCATTAGACCAACATTCCTTTTTTGTCTTTTAGATGTAGTTTTGTATGCTTTTTTTTATTTTTTTATTTAAACACAAATATTTGTAGCATAGTAGCATCCTATAATTTATTTAATTAAGTAAAATGAAAAGAAAAATTCCAACTAAATTTGACATTCTCTTTTTCTTTTCTTTTTTTTAATTATTCCATTTTCTAATGTATTTTTATTATTAATATTTGAAATACATTTTCCTTTCTAAGAGCACATATTAAGAGTTTTCGGTCCAATTTATATAGATATATACACACAAATGTGTTCGTTAGAAGGAATTCCTTGTATTTTTAATGTGTCCTATAAATTTTTGCTGATTTTTAATTTTGCCCCTTTCTTTTTAGAGAGAAAATTAGGTAGGTAAAATTGTCAAAATGTCAATTCTTTATTATGCTCAGTTTTTTTTTTTTTTTCCTTACTGGCACAATTGGTGGGTAAATTGACTTGCATTGTATTATTAAATGATTGTTTTGTCTCCATAATTTAACATTTATCTTTTATATAAGTCAGGCAGATGAGCAAAATATAAGAAGCGCCCTGTTAAAAAATATATACATATATATCGGAGAATTACGACTGACTTGTTGATAAATATTTATAATAAAAATAGTATATAATCATTTTTTATATTATATATACAAATTATAGAACTTGTTAGAAACGAAAAGAGCCATTATTTATATCAAAAGAAAAATAAAATGTAGTAAGTAGACTAGCTTTGCGATACTAGACCACAAACATTCCAAAATGTACTTTTCCACAAAGGTAACTTTTATATTATATTTTAAATAAGAATACAGTACCTTTCTGGGATAAGGATTTTTTTTAAACAAATATAAAAACCACCAGACTTAAGTAAAAAGCACCAAATAGTTGTTAGATTTAATTGTAAAAAGTAGAAACTATTATGTATTTTTTATGTGTAATTCAATAAAGCATATGTCCGATAGTTTTCTTTTTTCCAAATTGATACCCTCACTGTCAAAAAAAAAAATCGCACACACTGAGATTTTTGAATTTTGTAAGAAAATCTTTTATACATCAAAAAGACCTTAAGATCATTTAAACCATAGCTGCATAGCTGATTTCCTCATTCTTCAAAGTAACAGATGATCCGTTTAGACATAGAATATGGACTTAGCTTAACTTCTCTAATCCCTGGAGTTCTATTTCTAATCAAATTCTCATTAACAAACTGACTATTACTTTTAAGTGTACTGATTGCTGATCACACAGTCGTACAAAATGAGCTTTTCCGGAAAGAACTGAGCTGGAAAGACCCATAGAGTCGGCCAGTTGCCCAGTTCATGTACCGTTCCCAGAGTCATCTGCACTCTCTAAGGCTTTACGAAAGCATATTCATAGGGGTGTGCCATATGAAGTCATATATTCCATGTACTGGCATACAAGGAACACACAGCAGCCAAGTACGTTTGAGGGGAAGATTTTATTAACAAATTGTAGTCTGTCACATGTGAATACATTTAAATAAGACAGCAGTTACTTCGTAACCAGTTTGCAAAATAAAAGTTTATGATTCTCTTTTTCTAATGATAGAATAGTGATTAAATCTGGTGATTGGGCCATCCCGGCTTTAACACCTTGCCTGCATTTTCATTATCCCTAAACATTCTGTTTTATATATTTAATTTATCTTATTTTTTAATCCATTTGTAGAGCCTCAGTAGGTAATTTAATAAAACAATGTTATTTGTGTATTTATGGTTTTTTCACGTCTGTAAATATAAATAAAATTATTGTTTAGAGATGGTTAGTAGAATATTATTAGTAATAATGTAGACTTCGGATGATGGGTTAAGTTTCCGAAACGTCCAAGTAAATGTTAATAAACAATGCTTTTACTTTATTATTTTTAAAAACTATATAGAAATTTTTGTCCGAAATTGTCCAACAAAAATAATTCCATGACTGACTGACAGACAATGCACAGACCAAACTGTTGGATCTAAAGAGCTGAAATTTTGATAGTGCATTCCTATAATGACATGGATAGTCGCTAAGAAAAGATTTTTTGAAATTCCATTCCTACCTTCTATGTATATAGAACAGTAGTGACTGACTGTGAACCACTGGATCTGAAGAACTGAAATTTTGACAGTGCATTCCTATAATGACATTGATAGTTAAGAAAGGATTTTTTGAAATTTCTTCCTTAAGGGGATCTTAAGGACAATTTTTTATCATGTATAGACAGTGAACTGAAGAAGAGAAGAAATTGAGAAAAGAGAAATTATATTAGAAAACCAGTACTAGTACTCTGCAATGCATTAGAAAGGTACATTAACACAGAATCCCGCGTGGACTAAATCACAGGTAAAAGTTAGTTATTATTATAAATAAACCCATATATGTTTAGCAGTCATAATTGACTGTATTAATTATTTCAATTGATTATTCTTTTTGCCTAAGGTCTTGGTTGAGATAAAAGATTATAGTTACATGATCTCTGGTTAGAGGAGAGGCGTATTAAGCCAAAAGTCGTGGGTTTGAATACCGCTCGTGACACTAACTTTTTCATCTCAACCAAGACCTTAGATAAAAAGAATAGTCAATTGAAGTTATAAATAAACAAATATGTTGAAATTCCATTTTAAAAATAGGCGGGAAGGTTCTGGTCAAACGCGGAACCTCCCTGATAGCAGATAACCTCAGACTAGAGGTTTTCCGACCACGCTGACATTGTTTGGAATTTATAATATGAACTGAATTTTATGTTTATTTGATTTTACCATAAAAAGCCCTGGAAAATTATGGCCAAACTCCTGGCTCCTTACTCCCTCTGCCCTCTCATCGAGCAGAGGAGATTCATAGGTGTCAACGAAGACTCGTGCAGCGGCTGTGTCATAGTCACTCTTGGAAAAAACATCATTATACGTTACAGGGTATAGTTTTTGTTTTTTCATTTTTTCGATCTTGTTTAAAAAGGCAAAAAATAAAAACAAATGTCTAGGCATTTCAATATGTGTTTACCTACTCTCAGCTCAATATCCACTTCAATGTAGTCAAGTTTCATGTTCTAACTTTGTGTAGAAATATGAAGTTCTGATGGAACTTTCATCGCTATAGACATTTTTTTTCATGCTATACAATTATGTCAACTTTGATCATCCGTGTCTGCCAGCGTGTGCGATTGAATCATGTCTGACAGCGAAGAGTATACCACTCCTTAGCCCCTCATAAATCAAAACATCTTACCTTTGAAATTTCAGCTCTCGGATCAAAAGCAGGTCAGCTGTTGGAGTAGCAAGTCGAAGCTGTCAGCGCCAGTCATATACGACCACTTTTCGAAGAAATACATCGGTGTGTTCAACTATGATCAAATCGCATTCTGGAACCACAACCTGGCAGAATTAAACAAAATACGCAAGTTCCGAGTAAGTGATTTAAAAAAAAATTAATTATAATAATTTTAACTTACGGGCATTTTCCCAGTTCAAGTGGTTAATACACAGCTTGCTGAGTAACCAGTCCTGCCCGCCGATAATAGTATTTTGCAATGGTCATGTCGGCATTTTGGAAAACGAGTTCAAACTGAGGAAAAACAACGAAAGAGTCGAAGCAACTTGTTTCAAACAGGAGGAGAAGGTCAAAACAGCCAAGTTGGTCTCGTTAAACGGCGAATACTACATCTGCATACAGTCTTTAACCTCACAGGTATATATTTAAAACACAAAACACTCATAGAACCTAATCTACATTTTTATTTTAGAAGAGTGAAAAAAAACTATATTTTGTGCCGATTGAACCAGACAAAGGGACAAGGTTTTCTGTTGATTTGGATAAGGATGACAAGTCAGCGTTAACGTTTGCAATTATCGAAGGGAAATATCCACAACTCCTGACTTTATGTAAGCGATATTTAATTATTTTTTATTTTATTATATTTGTTTAAATATGTAATGGCTTCAGGGTCGGACGGTACACTCAAGTCTGAAGAGCTTCCTCTTAAAAATGAACAAGGTCGAGTTGTCGCTAACGTCAGTTGTATAAATACAAACCATCCTGCTGCGATTCTGCCTATAGACGACCACCACATCGTTCTGTACGGCGCTGCACCAAATTCTGAAGGTAAAGGAAATACAGAAACAATTTTGATAGATTTTTTTTAAACTTAGAATAACTGTTATGAGCTGGTAAGGTTATTTTCTAACCTAATCTATTAAGATATATATGATTTTTTGAGACAAATCCTAGTTTTCCTTCGGTTCTTTTTTTTTGGGGGGGGGGGGCACCAAAATAGTTTCAGGCATTGCATTTGTGCCAAATTTATAGAAGTGTCTGAGTTAGAATCTACTGAACCATTACATAAACTGACTTTGTCTTAATTAATAAACAGCTTCTAGATTAAGTTAGAAAATAACCTTTTCAGCTTATAACAGTATTTGCTCCATTTGTTGAAATGTTAAGCGGCCCATAGACGATCAATATTATTGCACAATATTTTGGGTTGTGCAATTTAATTGATCGTGTGTAGACTATATTGAAAGTTTGTGTAATACATTGCATGATTGATGAAAAGTTGAAAATATATTGTACAACCTGGAAAATATTGCACCGTCTGTTGACATTATTGCGCAATATCACCTTCAAACTATTCAAGTTCATTGCACAAACAAAATTTTGTACAATATTATTGGACGTTAAGGGGCAACCGTCAAATTATTGTGCAATCTATATTGTACAATAATAATGACCTTCTATGGGCCGCTACGGAGGAAAATATTTTATCAATAAAATATTAGATTAGATTAGTAAATTTAAATTTGTCTTGGCTTTTTAAATAATACAATAATAATCGCTCACAAATTTGGCTTCAGCCCAAAATAAATTTATTGATAAAATTGTTTCCTGTGTTGTATTTCACCAAATGGAGCAGTTACTGTTATAAACTGATAAGGTTATTTTCCAGCCTAATTAATTACAAAGATTTATTAATAATTAGAGCAAGTTCAGTTTATGTAATAGTTCAGTAGATTCCATCTCAGATATTTTCATAGTTATTTGTGTAATTACTGAAACCGTCCTGGCACCTAGAAAAGAACGAAAAGAACCAACAAAAAAAACATTGGAATTTGCTCAAAACTTTCGAAGATTTTTTTTTCCTGTCAGGGCCCAAGTTGAATGTGTTTTCATCAGACTGTTTTTAAGCATATTTAGGCATTTGATTTACATCATAAGCCGATTATTTCAATATATCTGCATTGTTTTAAGCAAAATTATTGTCCTTAGGGGTTAGGCAGCTAAGCTAAATACTTAGGGACACTCTTTATCCCTCCCAGAGAGCTAATTTCTTCTAAAATAATATGAAAGTTAGCTGTTTTTAAGTATTTAGGTGCTTCAATTACTTCATAAACCAATAATATCAATATATTCAGCATTGTTTTAAGCAAAATATTTATCCTTTAGATTGGAAAAGCTCAATTAATTTTTGAAACACTTGTTACCACTTCACAAAGAGCTAATTTGTTAAAATAAAAAAATACAAGCCAATTATGTCAAAATATTCTGCATTTTTACAGCCCAAATGACTATGCTTAGGGTTTGAAATGGTCAACTAAGCTTAATATTTAGAATACAGTCATTACCACCTCCCAGAGAGCTAATTTGTCTGAAAAATATGCGGAAATTAGCAATTTTTAAGTATTTAGATGCTTGATTTTTGTCGCACACCAATTATGTTACACAGGGATTCTTTCTTATCCTTGCATCCAATATATGGAATTCTTTTCCTCACTCTATCCACCGAGCCCCATTACCTTCTTTTTTAAATATCTTTAATTACGTCTTTACAACGTTATATCACGGGCGGTATATTAATCATCAGTTTTTTTACAATTTTTTTTGTCCTTATGGTCATAAAAGCTAAGCTGAATTTATATATTCTCATTACCACATTCCAGAGTGCTAATTTCCTCTAAAACCACGAGAAAATTAGCTGTTTTTAAGTATTTAGGCACTAGATTTACCATATAATCCAATCATATTAATATATTAAGCATTTTTTCAGCTAAAATTGTCAATTCTAACTTTATTCAAAGGTAAATGTATGTCGAACATTATTTACCACCACCCAATGATCATATTTGTTCTAAAAATAAAAATAAGATTAGATGTTTTTTAAGTAGGTAAGCGCTTGATGTATTTCATAAACCAATAATGTCAAAACATTCAGCATTTTTTCAGCTAAAATGGCTATTCATATGTTCTGCTAGTCTAAATGTATATATTATATTATTATCACCTCCCTGAAAGCAAATTTTTCATTAAAAATACAAGAAAATGTGCTATTTTTAAGTGCTTGATTTACTTCACAAACTAATTGCACACGCGCGTGCGCTCATGCACGCACACACACACACACACACACACACACACACACACATATATATATATATAATATCAGAATCTAGGAATAGTCTTTTCTGGAAATGACTATTCCTAGATTCTGCAAGTATTTTTTAATGAACTCTCAGGGCTCAAACACCCTGAGAAAAAAGCCCATTTGTAAGTATGATGGTTTGAATACAGGTGTCAGTGCCTAAACCATTGCGGCCACGGACGCCCCTCTAAATATTTAAGGAATATTCCTTATCACCACCATGAAAGCTAATTTTTTATAAAAATTCAAGAAAATTTAAAGAATGAAATTTTTTATTTAAAAAAAAATACTGTTTGTAAGTATATATTTAATTATTTAGTGAATGTTCTTTATCGTATATAACATATGCATCATTGTTTAACTTAAATTCTTATACTTAGCGAAATAAAGTAAATTATTAGGAATGGTGGGAGGCTCCAGGCATGCTGGATTTGCCGAATCCCAACTAGTGGGAATGGCACTCAGTTATTCGCCGAGCAACAGTAAGTGAATAGTAATTGTCGGTTTCCTTGCCCGCTTCAAAGTGCATAAATATTCATGAAGTAGCCGAACTCAAAGCATCTACACATTCGAGAATCCACTGATATCAACTGTAATCATCAATCAGCACTGCTGTTTATTTTTGAATAATAAACTATTCCTAACGAGTATAGGTATGAAAGAACATCATAGTGTTGCTTCCGTCGGTTAGGAATGGATTGGCCCAACATAAGTCTTGGAGTTCCTAGATCTGTACCAAGCTGAAACAATAATTTGGAACGCTTCTCTTCTGAATCACAAAAATCAGATTGAGATTTTCGATGCGTGGAAACGGATCGAAAGTAAGATGGGGTATCAGTATTCAGTGTCTGATTTGTGACTGAGTTGAGTTTATAGTCACTACACAAAACACTAACCACAGCTGCAGCAAAGACAGTTTCACTGTCCATCACTTTCACATAGGCACACTATTTGGCGAATGCCAAGATGAGCATCATGAGACTTGGATGTCTGGAGCCACCTTAAGACAAATAAAATAAGAAGTACCAGAAAAAAAGTAACATAACAAGTCACAATTATTATAATAATAATAACATTGAAATAAATGCACAATATGTCAGAAAATCATATTTGTTTTACTTATTTTGTTTTCCTTAGCTCCTACATTGGCAAGAACGCTTCAACAATCGCCTAATATTTTTTTGACCTAGTCTTACGTGAAAAGTTTAATCCTCTGTACTTAGCTGTGTAACCCTATTCTGTATAAATATAAATTTCTCACTTATTCCTAGGAAATATAATACTTATTGTAACTCGTTAATATTAAAACTAATTTATTAATTATACATGGTTAAATTCCAGGTGCCCATTTGGTCATTTTAAGCCTCAAATTCGGTCTCCCAGAAGCGATCCAGAAAATGAAGGTGTACAACATGGAATGTCGAATGTGGTTGTGCAGAGATGACATCCTAGTCATATGCGGGAGCCACCTTGTCGTAACGTCTTTCCGTCTCGGTACGACTCGTTTAGTTTCGCTTTTAGGAGTCGCACGGGACTCGGCTGAAAAGGACAAGAATACAGATGAAAAGGAAAAAATGGAAATAGGTGAAGAATCAACGACAGATATTGTAAAATCGTTAAAACAGGAAGGAAAAGCAGAACACTTGTGAGTACAATAATTTCCATAAATTTCAACAAAATTGTTAAAAACGTTTCATTTATGTTTAGCATTTGCAATCAAATAGTACCGATTTTACTCAAAAGGAAGGACAAAGAGGGTATGTTCGAATTGGTCAATTGTATCGTTGACGTACCTGATCAGTGGATCGTTGAGATGATCCTGTTTTCAATCGAAGCTCAACATTTGGATTTAATGGAACGGCTTTTATCAATCCCATTGGTCGGAAACGAATTGAGCCTCGGTTTGGTTAGGCAGCATATCAAGCTCGAGACAGTGCTCGTACTGCTCAATTTCATATCAGGCAAGCTGTCAGACGGCTCGGGCAACAAGGGCCTAGTCAACTGGGCATCTCTACTCCTCGACTCGCACTACCAACAGTACATATTGTCCAAGGACAATAACGTGATAAACGCCGTTAAGTCTATTAAACACTCCGTGGACGATTACGTAAGTCGGAATTTTTCTGTCTTGTAATAAATCAATTAATTGTTTTCTTTTGTAGATTACATGCCTGGACGTCATGAGTGACATTAACGCCGAGATCAACTTCTTTAAGAAAGGACACTGTGCGAGCACACCTGTGTCTGTTGTATCCCATGGATATGTATATGAAAAAGTCAGATTGTACTAATTGTTTTAATTTACAAATAAACTGTATATATAACTTTATCCATATCATAATTTCGACCAACTTCATCGTAAAGTCAAATTTAGAATAAATATTTTAAACTATGTATTTACGTGTGTTTACTTAATGTTTGTTTCATGAAGAAAGTAACTTGGTGACATTTGTTTGTGTTTAGGACCTTAAGAGTAAAGTTTACACCAGAAGGAAAGATGGCAAGACAGAATTAAAGAAAACAGTGCTGCGAGATTACAGATTGAATAATTGTGATATCCGCAAAGAAAAGAGCTTGAGAAATTTGAAATGTCTGCTCCGAAAATTAACAAAAGAGGGCTGAGGATAAAACCTTGAGGTACCTGATTAAGTTAATCAAGGGACAAACATATAGAACATCACAAACATTTTAATTAGGCTAATACCGTATTAATAAGAAATCACCTTATCAAAAGTCCAAACATATGTAAGCAAATTTGTGATAGTAGAATGATAAAGCTGCTGTTCGAGTATTATGAGTGAAAATTAAAAATGAAACCATACAATTTATTTAGCAATAGGCCAAGGATAATCTTTGAAAGCATGGTAATTGGTCTGTAATTTATTGCAGATGAGTGATTGCCAGTTGTGAAAACTGGGACTATGAAACCGGGTTTTAGCATGTTGGGGAAAATGCAAAAATTATTTATTTATACCAATGGATAGAGGAAGTATGAGAAAAATCCAATCTGAAAAGCTTAACTGAGTCAAATATTTAGATGGTGTATATTTCCCACGATCAAAAAGCTAATTTGTTCCAAAAATTAGAGGAATTATTTTTAAATATTTACTTACTTGATGTAATTCATAAAAAAAAAATGTTTAGGATTGGAAGAGCTCAACAAAGCTGAATATTAGGAAACTTGCTTACCACCTTACAGAGCAAAATTGTTCTAAAAATACAAAAAAAATTGATATTTTGTATTTTGAACTATTTAGGCCCTTGATTATGGCAATATATTCGGCATTGATTTAGCTTTTTTTTAACTTTGAAAGATCAACTAATCTAAATATTTAGGCAACAATCAGTACCACCTTCCAGAGAACTAATTTTTTTCTAAAAGTACAAGAAAAATTAATTATTTTTTAAAATAGTCTTTACCACCAACCTCCCTGAAAGCTAATTTGTTCTAAAAAGTTACGAAAATAAGTTTTTCTTTGAGCGCTAGATTTTTCTTCAACATTTTTCCAGCTGAAATGTCTACGCTTAGGATCAAAAAGCTAAATATTTAGGAAACACTTCCTGGGGATACTATTTTTTCTAAAAATACTTGAAAATGAGCTATTTTTGATTATTTAAATGTTTTATGTACTTCACAAACTAATGTATGACAATATTCAGCATTTTTCAGCTAAAATGTTTATCCTTAGAGTCCGAAAAGCTCAGCTAAGCTAAATATTTAGGAAACACTTATCACCTCCCAGAGAGCTTTTTTCCTTTTTTAACAGCTAGAATGTATACTCTAATGTTCTGCAATGCTAAATAATTTTTTTAATATTCTTTGCCACCCACCTCCCTGAAAGCTAATTTATCCTAAAAAGTTATGAAAATAAGTTTTTCTTTGAGCACTAGATTTTTCCAGCTGAAATGTCTACGCTTAGGGTCCAAAAAGCTAAATATTTAGGAAACACTTGTTACCGCCTTCCTGGGGATACTATTTTTTCTAAAAATACTTGAAAATTAGCTATTTTTCATTATTTAAATGTTTTATGTACTTCACAAACCAATGCATGACAATATTCAGCATTTTTTAGCTAGAATGTTTATCCTTAGAGTCCGAAAAGCTCAGCTAAGCTAAATATTTAGGAAACACTTATCACCTCCCAGAGAGCTTCTTTTTCCTTTTTTAACAGCTAGAATGTATAGTCTAATGTTCTGCAATGCTAAATATTTTTTTTTTAATATTCTTTACCTCCCACTTCCCTGAAAGCTAATTTGTCCAAAAAAATTTATGAAAATTAGTTTTTTTTAAATTAATTAACTTATTTGTATATTTACTCCACAAATCAACTATGTCAATACAACCAGCTTTTTTGTCTATTCTTAGGGTCTGAAAAGCTAAATAAATAGGAAATACTTGTTACCACCTTCCAGAGAACTAATTTGTTCTAAAAGTACAAGATCATTAGCTATTTTTAATTATTTAAATATTTCATTTACTAGTCCATTGCGCTGAACTAAGGAACTAGGAAGGTACAATAAGCCAAAGGCTGCAGTGCCTGTGGAGCACAAACCCCGCTTCCTAAGCGGCCCATAGACGGTCAATATTATTGTACAATATAGATTGCACAATAATTTGACGGTTGCCCCTTAACGCTCAATAATATTGTACAAAATTTTGTTTGTGCAATGAACTTGAATAGTATGAAGGCGATATTGAAGTTTGTTGCAACTTCGCAAACTGAATAGTGCACAATAATGCCAACACACGGTGCAATATTTTCCAGGTTGTACAACATATTTTCAACTTTTCGTCAATCATGCAATGTATTGCACAAACATTCAACATCGTTTACACACGATCAATTAAATTGCACAACCCAAAATATTGTGCAATAATATTGATCGTCTATGGGTCGCTTTAGTATCATCATTACCGTTTCATACCCCAGAGTACTTGTCATTTAATTCATTCCAATAAATTAACATAAAGTCAGCACAGCCACAACACAAACACACATAAAAAACACTATACATTTAAAAATCCCTATAGCCCTGAGGTACTGGTATGGCGATCTGTGCCTTCTGCCGTACTGACAGATCCGACATGCCAAAATGTTTTTTATATAAATTCTTGATAGGATCGACCAACAGTTTTAATTGTAATGATTTAGTAATAATTTAGACTGCATTGTTACAATTTTCTAGAAACTTCAAGCCTTGTATAAATTAAAAGGTGTTCGATTGTTATTCTATCCTTGCATACCGGGCACCTAGGTTGCTTTCCTGCCAGGTAGTGTATTGTTTGAAAAAAAACAAAAAGATGTATTTTTATATGTTTATTATTATTTATACAACGGTATTTTTATTATTAAAAGAGATAAAAATTTACAATATAAGATTGAAATTAAAAGGCGAGTTTCTTCATAAGTAGGTAGAGTGTCTGGTCGACTTCGAAGCCGTGCAAGTTGTTTGGGTCGCCTTGGAGCCTCATGAGGAGTCCGCCGAAGGAGACGTAAGCGGACAGCTTTGTCTTCGAAGGCTCCTTCGAGTTGTCGTCGCCCTCGATCCTGTACAGAGTGCCGTACATGACGTACTCGAAAGAATCCGCCCTGGTCGCCTCCGACTCGATCGGCACCCACTCAGGGTTGTCGGGGTAGCCGCTTTCGTACAGGGTCGTCGTGAGTACCAGGCGGAACTTGTCCCCGAGCTCCATCGGGTAGAGCCAAGAGTTGACGTCGAGGATCAGGTCCATTTTGAAGGATTCCGACTCGCAGTGGAGCCGGCTCACTCTGTCGAAATGCTGACCGGACGGGTCGATGTCTTTCACGTTGAATATGTCCTCGAAAAGCACTCCGGCCATCTCGCAAAACTTACGATACTTACACGGACTTATAACAAACAAAAACAACGTGCGACGACGAGGTTATTCCACGGTTATCTTAAATAATCGATAACATCGATTTGTCAAGCGGGACCTACAAAATTGATAAGATGGCGGAACTCTGCAGTAAGTTCCATCCTCTACGACGCTACAGCGATCATTAGAGATATGCAAAACGTCCATTGTTTTAAGCACCAAACATGATAAATATTTATTTAGATAGCTCCACATAAATATATACAAGAAAATATCGACAATCTTATTTAAAGGAAGAAAACTACAACCTACAGCAATTAAAAAAGGATAGGATCCAGTATGGCAGAACTCTGTAGTAAGTTCCTTCCACTATAATGCTGCAGGGATCATTACAGATATACAAAACGTCCATTATTTTAAATACCAAATATGAAAAAAAATTATTTAGATCGCTCTGCTTAAATATATAACTATAAATAAGAAAATATCGACAATCTTATTTAAAGGAAGAAAAATACAACCTACAGCCATTAAAAAAGGATAGGATCCATTATGGCAGAACTCTGCAGTAAGTTCCCGCCTCTTTGACGCCACAGCGATCATTAGAAATATACAAAACATCTGTTATTTTAAGCACCAAATGTGAAAAAATATTTATTTATATTCAGTTAAATGTATAGATATGTACGTATAACAAAACCCCTTCAATAATATATAGGATCCAATATAGCAGAACTCGGCAGTAATTTGCTGCCTTTCTGACGCTACAGTGACCATTACAGATATACAAAATGTCCATTATTCTAAGCACCAATCATGAAAAGTATTTATGTAGATAGCTCCACATAAATATATAGATTTAAATGTCGACTATGCTATTTAAAAAAAAGAAAAATTCAACCTTATGTCCTTCAAAATAAATAGGATCCATTATGGAAGAACTCGGCAGTAAGTTTCTTCCACTATAATGCTGCAGGGATCATTATAGATATGCAAAACGTACATTATTTTAAACACCAAATATGAAATTTTTTATTTATATCGCTCTACTTAAATATATAATTCAATAATTTCGTGGTCCGCTTGACCAATTAATATATTACAATTAATTAAGGTTTTTAGTTGAGATAAAAAAGTCAATGGCACGAGCGGGATTCGAACCCACGATCTTCGGCTAGATACGCCGCTGTTTTTTATCTCAACTAAAAACCTTAATTAATTAAATATATAACTATACATAAGAAAATATCAACAATCTTATTTAAAGGAAGAAAAATACAACCTACAGTCATGAAAAAAGGATAGGATCCAGTATGGCAGAACTCTACAGTAAGTTCTCGCCTCTTTGACGCTTCAGGATCATTAGAGATATAGAAAACATCCATTATTTTAAGCATAAAATGTGAAAAAATATTTATTTATATCCAGTTAAATATATGGGTATGTATGTATAACAAAATCCCTTCAACAATATATAGGATCCAATATAGCAGAACTCGGCAGTAATTTTCAGCCTTTCTGACGCTACAGCGATCATTATTGATACACAAAATGTCCATTATTTTAAGCGCGAACAGTGAAAAATTATTTATTTACATACCTCCAGTTAAATATATAGATCTGCATATATATTGACAGGCAAAAAATACCACTTGTAATATAACTTGCTTTGTATATATTTTTATATATAAATCAAAGTTTCACGTTTAATTTTGAATCTTTGCCTAAAAAATTATTTAAAAAAATTAAAAACACGGACAGATAAAACTTGGAGCATTGCTTCTATGGAGCTTCAATGATCATTAGAGATATCAAAAGTCCATTATTTTAAGCACCAAACATGAATAAATGTATTTAGATATTAGATTTACGGAGTATATATCATATTTCATACTTAGACATTTTTATTCTTATTCATTTTATTGTTGGATGTTTTTGTTTGTTTTTGAATAAACTTATTACACTTTTCCAACTGTATTTTACGATTTTTCTTTTCAAATCGTAAAACACAGTTTGTAAAGCGTAATAAGTTTATTCAAACTCAAACAAATGGACTTATTGTATATTTCTAGTGATCGCTGAAGCATTATAATTTTGAAAGTTAGAAGTATAGACCCTTTCATTTTTTTTCACCTTTTCGACTTTTTCACTCACGAACTCTGCATCAAGGTTGGTCTTGAAGCCAAAAGCAAATTCAGTTCTTACTTCCAAGCTTTCGATCTATTTCAAGGTCATCATCAGGACAAAACTATCTTAACTATGCGTATAGATTGATCTATTTAGGTTTTTATATGCAATCTAAAATTTCCTTGAAGACTGACTCAGTCCATTGCCAACGACTGTAACAGTATATACATCAAAACAGTATATGTAAGTTTTTGTACTTTCCTTTAGTTAGTATTACGATAATCGACATTTTGTTATTTATAAGTAATATATTTAAGTGGAGCGATGTAAAAAAAAATGTTGTCATATATGGTACTTAGAATAATGGGCGTTTTTTATATATTTAATGATCGCAAGAGCTTCATATGTAGCGTCAAAGAGGCAGGGATGTACTGATGAGTTCTGCCATAATGAATGCTATATTTTTTTAAGGGAGTTTGTTTTATATACATATCTCTGTATTTAACTGGAGGTATATAAATAAATATTTTGTAGGTTTGGTGCTTAAAATAATGGACGTTTTGCATATCTGTAATGATCCCTGCAGCATTATAGTGGAAGGAACTTACTGCCGAGTTCTGCCATAATGAATCCTATCTATTTTGAAGGACATAAGGTTGAATTTTTCTTTTTTTTAAATAGCATAGTCGACATTTTGTGATTTAAATCTATATATTTATGTGGAGCTATCTACATAAATAATTTTCATGATTGGTGCTTAGAATAATGGACATTGTGTATATCTGTAATGGTCATTGTAGCGTCAGAAAGGCAGGAAATTACTGCCGAGTTCTGCTATATTGGATCCTATATATTGTTGAAGGGATTTTGTTATACATACATATCTATACATTTAACTGAATATAAATAAATATTTTTTCACATTTTATGCTTAAAATAACAGACGTTTTGCATATCTCTAATGATCGATGTAGCGTCCAAGAGGCAGGAACTTACTGCAGAGTTCTGCCATACTGGATCCTATCCTTTTTTAATGGCTGTAGGTTGAACTTTTCTTCCTTTAAATAAGATTGTCGATATTTTCTTATGTATAGTTATATATTTAAGTAGAGCGATCTAAATAAAATTCTTTCATATTTGGTGTTTAAAATAATGGATGTTTTGCATATCTCTAATGATCGCTGAAGTTCCATAGAGGCAAGAATTTACTGCAGTGTTTTGACGTAATGAATCGTATCCATATTGAAGAGCTGTAGGTATTTTGTCTTACTTTTTCGTACATACGATAATCAACATTTCGTTATCGTATATATTTATGTGGAAATAATTAAATAAATATTTGTGATCATAGAGGCAGGAACTTACTGCAGAGTTCTGCCAAAATGGATTCTGTACATTTCGAAAGGCTGTAGGTTGTATTTTTTTCGTTTTTAGTACTTAAGGTTACCAATTTTTTATTGTAGTTATATATTTAAGCTAAGTTTGACTTTTGAAATACTCAATGTTTTGTTTCAATAATTGCTATTATAAGCCATAAATGACTTTTTTTTAGCAATTAACGATAATACCTACAATAATGTGAATTTTTCAAGGACCCATAAAACCCTAAAATGCTATGAAAGCGTATGAAATAGGAAAGGAGCACGTAAGCATAAGCAAACCAATAAAAGAACTTGGCAGTGATCAAAAATGGTCGAAAAATCCTTCGGCTTAACAAATGAAAAAAAAAATTATTTGTGTCTAATGCAGGCCGTGCAGGCGGGTGTCAAAGGGATTATTTTGTCGATAGTGTCAATAAATACAAAATGGGAAAAATCACAAGTTGAAGTACTTCGTGTCCGGGTGCGAACGGAGCGATAGGGCAGACGTGAATTACCATCTTGGTACCCCTCCTAGTGTCAACTCGTCTTCGTCAATGACATCATTTGTACTCACTCCCCCGCCGTCTTCGTCGTAGTGGGAGGCGGTGGACATCCGTCCGAGAACTAGTGTCCGTCACAATTCCGGGCCGGTTTGACACATTTCGGAAAAAGTCGGGGAAGAAGAAATTTTCAAAAAAAAAAAAAAAACGAAAGTACACAGTGCCGTTGGGAAATTTCGAGTTTTGAATTGTTATGTAGTGTCTTGTGGATTTTTCATCTTTAAAGGTAGGACGATTTTTTTTAAATTTGTTATATCATAAACATAACTCGACTGGAAATTTTCCTCCAATAAAAAAACAAAACGATATATTAATTGTTTTTATTGCATAAAGTAGACAACTCCATAATCCAATTTCATTGTAAATTAGCAATTAAAAGAGAAAAAAGAGTTTTCCATTTAAAACCATTTTTCTTGTCTTTTCCACCCTTGAACTTCATTGATCATGGTTTTAACCCCTGCCAAGTCCTTTTATTTGTTTACTTGTGTTTCCATGCTATTTCATATGAGTTCAATTCGTATCCAAAGACTGTCGCTGCTATGTTTATTAGTTATATTAGTAAAATTAGCACTGTAGAGTTATATAGGGGGTCCTTGAAAAATTCACAAAATTTTAATTATCGTTCATACCTAAAAAGTAGTTTGCTACTAATAATAGCAATTATTGAAATGAAACATCGAAGATATCAAAAATCAAACTTGAAAATAATCTTAAATATATAGCTACACATAACAAAATATCAATAATATTAAGTAATAAAAACAAAGAAAAATGCACCCGATAAAAAGGGATAAGTTCCATTATGACAAGACTTTGCAGTAAGTTCCTGCCTCTATGACCAAACATGAAAATGTTTTATTTAGATAGCTCCACATAAATATACAGATATATAACGCAAAATGTCGACTATTTTAATTAAAAGACGAATAATACAACCTAAGGCCCTTCAAAATGGAAGGATCCATTGTGGCAGAACTCTGCAGTAAGTTCCAGTCTCTACGACGCTTCCGCGATCATTATTGATATACAAAACGTCCGTTATTTTAAGGACCAAATATGAAAAATATTTATTCAGATCGCTCCACTTAAATATATAAATATATTTAAGGGAATATCGGCAAATTTCAAGGAAGAAAAATACAACCTAACGCCCTTTAAAATGGATAGGATCCATTATGGCAGAACTCTGCAGTAAGTTCCTGCCTCTATGACGCTTCAGCGATCATTAGAGGTATACAAAATGTCCATTATTTGAAGCAACAAACATGAAAATTATTTATTTAGATAGCTCCACATAAATATATAGATATAAATATCACAAAATATGAAAAATATTTATTCATCTATAATATCTCTTTCACTTAAAACAACCTGTGTCAATTTATCACGGTTGAAATCACTCGAACGCTCTATTAAATCGATTAGAAAAATAATTAAATCTTAATTAATTTTACGATGTACAAAATATTTACTTTTTCTCTCGCTCTCTCTCTCTCTCTTTCTCTCTTCAAGGCTAAGTACTCGACCGACTCGACCCGTTTGATTATTAGAAAAGCAAAAACCAGTAATTATTCAATAAAACGAGTATTTGAAGATGTCGCTTGTTCACCGCTGGAAGAAAAACAAAAACCAACTTGAGAAAGTTATCAGGGATGAATGATGTGTATATTTATATTTTTTAAATTTCACACGGCGCTTCTTCGTTCTATTTACTCCATTTCATGTTTATAAGGTTAAAAAAGATTCGACTTCACAAAAATCACACATCGAACAATGAAAAAACATCTGACAAGAAAACATGGTAGAAAATTTTGACAAGTTAGTGAACAATCTCTACTGGGCGAGTCTTGTGAATTTTTCATAAGAAATCAGATGGGAGAAAGACATGGGAAGGACTTAGAAGCGCTTATTTTTCATGTACAGCGATGTACTTATTGAAAACTACAAATATAAATTGACATCTAACTGTGCACACCGAGCTGAATTATATAACAAACAACCAGAATTCAAATGCGACAAAGAAGTTATATAAGTTATTATCGTAAGTACGAAAACGGTAGAAAAAAAAAACCATACGTCAGTTCACAATGAGACAGAGAAAAAAATACTATGTTTTTGGATTAGGGTCCCCTAGGAATAGCAGTAAGGTCACAGAAATGTTTACAAATCCGGCAATGGATAGGATCCATTGTGGCAGAACTCTGCAGTAAGTTCCAGCCTCTACGACGCTACAGCGATCATTAGAGTTATCAAAACATCCTTTATTTTAAGCACCAAACGTGAAAAATATTTATTTATATCCAGTTAAACATATAGATATGTATGTTTAACAAAGTCCCTTCAAAAATAGATAGGATCTAATATGGCAGAACTCGGCAGTAAATTCCCTCCTTTCCTAACGTCCATTATTTTAAACATCAAATATGAAAAATATTTAAATATATAAGGAAATATCGACAATCCTATGAAAATCCTATGGATAGGATCCGTTACGGTAGCACTCTGCAGTAAGTCCCTGCCTCTATGACGCTTCAGCTATCATTATACATCTATAAAATGGCCATTATTATAAGCACTAAACTTGAAAATTATTTATTTAATTATTCAGAAATCGTGAGATGCGGTCTGGTGTGATGTAGGCTTCAGAAAAACATTTTCTTTATCGTGCGAACGTTTCGATCTTTATTGAGATCATCTTCAGAGCCTGGATTTAACAAATACATTTAGGATGTGGAAAAGTGAATTTATACAATGCAAAATATATTTTTTATATTCAACAAAAGCATTGTATAAATTCACTTTTCCACATCCTAAATGTATTTGTTAAATGTAAACAATGTTTGTACATCCCAGGCCCTGAAGATGATCTCAATAAAGATCGAAACGTTGGCACGATAAAGAAAATGTTTTTCTGATACCTACATCACACCAGACCGCATCTCACGATTTCTGAATAATTATCGATTAACGGTCACTAATCACCACACATTATTTATTTAGACAGCTCCACATAAATACATAGATATATATCACAAAATATCCACTACCTTATTTAAAGGAAGAAAAATACAACCTAAGGCCCTTCAAAATGGATAGGATCCATTATGGCAGAACTCTGCAGTAAGTTCCTGCCTCTATGACACTTCAGCTATCATTAGAGAATTACAAAACGTCCATTATTTTAAGCACCAAATATGAAAAATACTTATTTAGATCGCATCACTTAAATATATAAATTTATATAAAGAAATGTCGACATTTTTATTTAAAGGAAGAAAAATAAAACCTACAGCCATTAAAAAAAAGGACAGGATCCATTCTGGCAGAACTCTGCAGTAAGTTCCTGCCTCTATGACGCTTCAGATATCATTAGAGATTTACAAAACGTCCATTATTTTAAGCACCACATATGAAAATATTTATTCAGATCGCCGCTCCACTTAACTATATAAATATATATAAGGAAATATCGACAATCTAATTTAAAGGAAGAAAAATAAAACCTACAGCCATTAAAAAAAGGATAGGATCCATTCTGGCAGAAATCTGCAGAAAGTTCCCGCGTCTATGATCGATCAATAGATGTATACAAAATGTCCATACCGGCTGTTTATGATGGAGGTCTTAAAGTACGTTTTACATGATATTACCACTTGAAATTTAATAAAAGCGAGCTGTACTGTGATTTGGAACCAGAATCCTGGCGAATACAATTCGGTCGCCCTAACCAGGAACTGCACGTTACGATCGTGTGTTTTTGTTTGTTTTTGTTATATATTTAGTTGATGATGATGATTTTGACTTCTTAGTTCAATATGTTGTTTGGACATGTTCCCGTTGTTTTATGTTAGTTTTTCTTGGGTAGAAACATCTCGAAGGTTGAAAGTTTGATTTTGGCCGATTTATCACGGGATTTGGCAAGTTTCCCATGTGCTCAGGTGCTTATTTTGTCACCGGCAAGGTGGAAAGAACCCAACATGTAACGACTCGGCTGCGTTCTGGGGGGAAGAACTGAGTCGAGGGACGAGGTAAAATTTGAATTGGAAATCAGGCCCGGTGGCCTAAATCCGTGTTTATTCCGTCCGACACGAAATATTAAATTGGCCGGAGGAGTTGAAAGAATGAACGACGCCTGCGGGGGCGAGTTTCTTAAAAACAAAAGGACAATAAGACCGGAAAAAGCCCTCTGCAAACTCCGGTAGTCCCGTCGAAGGAAAGAGTGAAACGTCTCAATGTTGTACAAACTAAAGATAAACTCAATTTTAAGAAAGATAAATAGTGTAAATATTGACAGTTTCGATAAAACGAAAAGCATTTATTAAAAAAAAAGATAAATAGTTTTCGGGCCTTCCTTTGTCGCATTAATCATGTAAATCTCTCTTTATCTTTATACAACATTCTATTTTTTCACTATTTTGGTTTGGTGTAATGTCACAGTTCATGTTTAAAAGGCCCCTTGGAACGGGCCAGGTCTCCCCCTATTCATAAAAGGTCTAATCTTATCTTCTTGTTTATTCAATCAGTAAACAAAGACAATATCCCCTGACTGTTTCGCACTTAAATTGATTCTAATTGCCCGTTAACTGGCCTATAATTTATATTCGCCCCCGATGTACAAACACTTCAATTTTGACGGTGTTATCTCGGGGGAATGTGACACCGTTGTTTTTGTATTCGAATCGTTTTGTCGTCTGATCTTTTCAAAATGGCGGGTGAAAAATGCGCGCAGCCATTTGCCCTACTGGATTATTTTGATCACTTCTTTTAAACCAACTTGTCGCTCTTATTTGCCAATAAAGTATAAACGTATACGTAGAAGTATATCAAAGTTGAAATTTATGGCCGTAATTATTATCGCGGGAAAGTCTTTTTTTTTCAAACAAAAAGGTCCTGGGTTTGGATCTTGGCTTTCCTTGCTTAATTTTCAGTCCAGTAGTTTCTTTACTCTAAATTGCACAACTATTGGTAAAAAAAAGTTGAATCAAAACAAAATAATTATAAACGGGCTCGAATTTGGGCAAGACCATCTTTTCAAAATGGTGGACAACAAATTCGCTTTTTGAAAAATGTATGCAGCTTTCTTTCGGTTTTTATTTCAGCTCTCCTTTGAGTTTTATACGTTGATTAAATGATATTTATATAATTTGTACCTGATTAAAGCTGTAATTTAATTGGCTGTGATAGTTATGGCGGGAAAGTCTCATTTTGTTCTCAAAAATTCCCCGAGTGATGAGCCAGTCTTTTCTTTTGAAATCTTCAGACTTGTTAAGAACGGTCCAACTATTGAAGAAAAAGAGGATTATTATAAAAATAAAAATGATAATTGGACTGTAATTTGCCAAGAACGGCATCTTTTCAAAATGGTGGACAAGAAATTCCCATTCTGAAAAATGTTTGCAGCTCTCTTTCAGTTTTGACTTCAAACCTCCTTTGAGTTTTTTACTTTGATCAAATAATATTTAATTGAAATAATTAATATGGCCAATTATGGCCGCTAAACATGTACGGGTTAATATTTAGATTATTAGTAGCTCATTAAAGGCTGTAATTTAATTGGCTGTGATCGTTATGGCGGGAAAATCACATTTTGAACACAAACATTTCACGGGTGATGATCCTGTCTTTCCTCTTGGAATTTTCAGACTTACTAGGAACTAATTTGGGCAAGAATGGAATCTTTTCAACATGGTGGACAAAAAATGTCCACAGATTCGCTTTTAACGAACCTTGACTATTCTATATGTTAATAAAATACGAAAATATATTTATATTTAGACACTTAGTGGTGATATTGGTTTAGATTTGGTTGGTAGTGGGTCGTCAGAGCTTCTCTTTTAGCACAAAAATGGTCTGGGTGTGAATCCTGACTTCGATTTCGAAATTTTCAGTCTATTTTTAGCTTCTATTTATTCTTAACTGGTAACTAATCAAAAAAGGGATTAATGTAGCTGATTGAGATTTAAATTTGGTTGGCAGTGGTCTTTAGGGCGGGAAAAACGACTTTTTTAAACCCAAAACGTCCTGGGTTCGGATCAAGTTTTTCTTTTTTTTAATTTCAGACTATTTATAGTTTCAATTTACTCTAAACTGTCCAACTGTTGAAAAAAGGTTAAAGTGCTGATATAGGTTTAGATTTGGTTTGTTGTGGGTCGGCAGAGCTAGAAATTCTCTTTTTTTAACCAAAAAAAGGCCTGGATTCGGATTCTCGCTTTGCTTTTGCAATTTTCAGGCTATTTGTAGTTTCTATTTACTCTTAACTGTCTAACAATTGAAAAAAGGGGGTTAACGAGGTTGATTGAGATTTAAATTTGGTTGGCAGTGGTCTTTAGGGCGGGAAAAATGACTTTTTTAGCACCCAAAAATGCCTTGGTTCGGATCAATTTATTTTAAAGTTTCCAATTATTGAAAAAATGTTAAAGTAGCTGACATAGGTTTATATTTGGTTAGTAGTGGGTCGGCAGAGCTAGAACTTCTCTTTTTTCACCAAAAAAAGTCTTGGATTTGGATTCGGGCTTTGTTTTTGGAATTTTCAGACCACTTATACTTTCAATTTACTTTAAACTTTCCAACTATTGAATAAAAAGGTTAAAGTAGCTTGATTTAGATTTGTTTGGTAGTGTTTGGTATTTAGGTAGAGCTGGAAAGTCCCTTTTTTGAAATCAAAAAAGCCCTGGGTTCGGATTCAGGCTTTCCTTTTGGAATTTTCAAACTATTTGTAGTTTCTATTTACTCTTAACTGTCTACCTATTGAAAAAAGTATTAAAGTTGCTGGTTGAGATTTACATTTGTTTGGCAGGGATTTAAGGACGGGAAAATCCTTTTTTAGCATCAGAAAGATTCTTGGTTTGCCTACTGACTTTGCTTTCGTAATTTTCAGTCTATTTGTAGTTTGTATTTACTTTAAACTTTCCAACTATTGATAAACTGTTAAAGTAGCTGAGTGAGGTTTAAATTTAATTGGTAGCGGCCGTTAGGGCTGGAAAGTCTCTTGTTTGAACCAAAAAGGTTTTGGGTTCGGATTCACGACTTTGCTCCTGGAATTTTCTCACCTCGAGTAGTTTCTATTTACTCTAAACTGTCTGATTGTTGAAAAAAAGGTTAACGTAACTGTTTGAAGAATTATTTGAGTATGGAGTGGTCTTTAGAGTGGGAAAACCTGTTTTTTTTTTACGCCAAAACGTCCTGTATTTGAATCCTTGGTCCTTGGAATCCTGAAGGCTCTTAACCTCGAGTAGTTTCCATTTACTCTAAAATAAACTCTGTTAAAAAATGGATTGATTGGAATAAAAATTTAAAAAAAGACTCATCTAGGCAAGAATGGCATATTTGCAAAATGGAGGACAAAAAATTGAGCATTTCTTGATATTTTGATGATCGTCTACTTTGAACGCACCTTTCACCACGTTTTATATGTTGATAAAATTTAAATATGTACTTCTATTTATAAGCTATAAAGCTGAAATTTAATTTGTAATGATCTTAGGAAGGTTTTTTTTTACACAAAACGATCCTGTGTTCTAATCCGAGCTAGGCTCTGGGAATTTTCTAACTTGTAAGTTTTCTATTTGTCTCACACTACGCACTGACTATTAACAAAAGAATTAATTTGCACAGAATTTATAAATGGGCTTTTATTAATGCAAAAATGGCGTTTCAAAATGGTGGACAAGAAAACTAAATCGCATCTCGAAAAATGTGTATTATTCTTTCGATTTTCATAAACGATTAGCCCTCCTTTTTGTTTTATAAGTTGATCAAGTTTTGAAATTCATTTGGCTGTGGTCGTTATGCGGGGAAAAAGTCTCTTTTTGGATAAGTTCATGGGTAGGAAGTAAATTGTCTTTTCGACAATAGGCATTTATTTTGTCAGATTCGTTTCGGTCTAATATAGACCATCATCAGTGACTTTTTTAATAAAAGTTGTTTGATGGGTTTTTTACGTAATTATAAGTTCAAAAGTGGATGTCTGGGCGTCTATGAACGTGGCGAGTAGTCTGTTAAGAAATCTTTTTTTTTCACTACTATTTGTAATTTATATTTACTCTAAAGTCTAAACTGCAACCTGTCTAACGTTTGACCAAAACAAACAACCAAAAAGTTGACAATAACAAAAAATGTACACAGTTTCCAAATTGGGCGAGAATTGGGTTTGTCCAAACTGGAGGGCAAAATTTTAAGCATTTCTCGATAACCGTCAATTTTAACGCTATTTTTTATGTTTATAAAATTTATAAATATCTACTTATATTTTGGTTGAAATTGAGAAGGCCGTGATCGTTAGTAAGATAAAGTTTTTTTTTACTGAAAGAGATCCTGAGTACGGTTCCAGACTTTCTTCTAGGAATTTTCAGACTAGTAGTTTTTATTTATACAAAACTGGCTAACCATTAAAAAAAAGTTTAATAAAGCTGATCGAGGTTTAGATTTGGTTGGCAGTAGTCTTCAGGGTGGTAAAACCTTTTTTTGTGCCAAAAAAGTGCTGGGTTCAAATCCAAGCTTTACTCTTGGAATTTTCAGACTAATAGTTTCTATTCTCGTTAAACTGTCCAACTATTGACAAAAAAAGTTTAATAAAAAATATATATACATTTATATTTATATATAAACGGACTCTATTTGGGGCGAGAATTGCAACATTTTCAAAATGGAGGTCAGAGAAATTTCAGCTTTTCTCGATCTTATTTTGATAATCTTCAAATTTTAACACATCAGTTTTATATAATAATAATAATAATAATATATACTTGTATTTAGACGGTAGTTGACAGAGGGTAAAATTTGGTTGACAGTGGTCTTCAGTGCAGGAAAGTCACTTTTTGTAAACTAAGAGGTCCTGTGTTCGAATCCAGGCGTCACTCGGAATTTTCAAACTTGTAAGTTTTCTATTTACCCCACACTGCACACTGGCTAATAATACAATGATTAATTGGCATAAAAATGTTTTAATGTGTTAAAATTTTACGATTATCAATGTAGAAAAGCTCAAATTTTTTGTCTACCATTTTGAAAAGATGCCGTTCTTGCCCAAAATTAGATCTTGAAAAATTCCTGGGTTCGGAAAATCCAGAAAAGTCCTGAGTTCGGATGCTTTGCTCTTGGAATTTTCCGACCTCGAGTTGTTTTTATTTACTCTAAATGTCCAGTCGAAAAAACAAAGAGTCAAAGTAGGTGATAGAGGTTTATATTTGGTTGGTAGTGGCCTTCCAGAACTGAAGTCTGTTTTTTTTAAACAAAGAGGTCATAGCAGAGGACCTAATCTGTATTCTATAGTACGATTTTAGAATTTCTTTCCATGATAGATCTCCGTTTGAAATATCTCGAAAGGATTTTGAGCTTCCGACCGTTTCGACCAGTTTTTCCAACAAAAAAAGTCCCCGTTTCCGTCGAATCGAACCGTCCGAAAATTGTCGTTTTGTACCAGGGACGGTCCGAGGGGGGATTTTTTATTCATGAACCTTGAGCGATTCTCCGGAGCAGGAAGGAGCAATTCGGTTGGGCAATAATGGATTGCGGTAGGGCCAATTCTTAGCCCAATCTTCCAATTGTCATACAGACTTGCACTTGCACCGAATCCCTCGACCGGAAGGCCCGCCTTGCCGGATATGATTGATATGCTGATGATGACCATTGGGCCGAATTAGAACATAGATTGTCTCTACAATGATTTATAGACACAAAAAAATTAAAAATTCTTGAATCAAAACAGGGTGTCGAATGTTCAAATAAAATTTCCTCCTTTTTGGCATTTTTTTTTAAATAAATTGATACAAAAACAATTTTTAAAGCTAATTAAGTCTTTCAGGCGCAGGAAATGGAGCTGTGGACTGTAAGCTTGGGACTGTTTTTCGCGCTGGCCGTCGATTCTATGCCTCAGGAGATCATGCCGTACATTCCAAACTTATCCCCTAAAGGTAAGTCATTACTAATACTAATTTCAATTAATTGTTCTTTTTATCTAAGGTCTTGGTTGAGTTGAAAAAAGTAGTGTCACAAGCGGGATTCGAACCCATGACCTTCAGCTCAATACGTTGTAACTTCGAAGTCACGATAGCTCAAGCGGTTAGAACAGCACCATGTTGAGCTGAAGATTGTGGGTTCGAATCCTGCTACTACACATCTGACACTAACTTTTTTCATCTCAACTAAGACCTTAGATAAAAAGAATAGTCAATTATGATCACTAAACATATATAATTAAATTAAAATCATCTTATCTCAGATTAATATCTTCATATCTATAACTAAATTCACCAATTTCGTGGTCCACTTGGTCAATTAATATTACAATTAATTAAGGTTTTTAGTTGAGATAAAAAATCAATGGCACGAGCGGGATTCGAACCCACGATCTTCGGCTAGATACGCCGCTGCTCTACCACTTGAGCTACAATGACCTCGATCCACTCGGACGCTAACTTCCCATCTCAACCCCACCTTTTGAATTTTGCCTCCTTTTTGCCATTTTTCAAATTTTCATATCTATAACTTTTATTATTATTAACTTTTATTATCTATATCTTTTAGTTAAAATTAAGAGTAAAAAAAAAAATAAGCATACCAGCTTTGATCCAGTTTTTTTGCTGTCCTATTGTTCCGCATTCCAATTTATTTGAATTTACACATCCTTGAACATGTTCGTGAGAAAAGCAAGAATGCCTTATCTTGGGATTATCGTTGGCCTGTAACAAAGCCTTGTAAACTTTTTTTTTCACGTTGTCAATTTTAATTTAAATATCATTTGGGGATTATATCAGAAGATAAAAAGTAGCATTAGGACATTTTACAACATTCAACAAGGTTTTGTTTTTTTTGCCTTGGTGAAATTTATGGCTTTCGGAGAGATTGCTAAATTGGAAAAAAAAAGTAATGAATCGATAGTATTTCATGCTGTGCCTCAGTCTTCAGGGAACAAATATTTTTAAAAAAATTACTTTTATTTACAATTTGCTTAAATTCCAGCCTCAGCTTAAGGTGCACTGTGATTTTAAACATTTAAACCTTATAATAATAATCATAAAACTTTCTCTAGAGAAAAAAATAGTAAGTTGGTAGTATATATTAACTTCACTAATTTCGTGGTCTGCTTGACCAATTTAATATATTACAATTAATTACGGTTTTTAGTTGAGATAAAAAGTCAATGGCACGAGCGGGATTCTATCCGTATCAAGCCGAAGATCGTGGGTTCGAATCCCGCTCGTGCCATTGACTTTTTTATCTCAACTAAAAACCTTAATTAATTGTAGTATGTATAAACATTGAATTTTTGGTTGGGAGTAACAAAAAGACAGACGAGGTGGCTAAGGTCGGGATGTCCCAATGTCCAGACTCAACCACTCCTGATACAAAAATACAATTTAAAAAAATATATATATTAAAAGAAAGTTATAGCATTAGTGGACCGGATCACAGAAAAGCTCTCATGTATTTAGTGTACCAGGCCAAGGAGAGGGAGTAATTTAGAAGCAATACATAAACATAGTTTAGACCTGAATTAATGTTGTGTTAAATTTTTTTTGCAGATAGATGTAATGGTGTTGTAATTAGAGGACCTTGCACAGACTGGAGTCCAAAATGGTACTTCAACCAGACGATACAAGCCTGCCGGACGTTCATTTACGGGGGTTGCAAGGGGGAGAATGTGTTCAACTCGGAAGCTGAATGTCTTCATTACTGCATAGGAGGGCAGCGTAGGTTTAACCGGCGATCGGTTCGTTTCATTTTCACGACTGTCGTTTTATTCGCAGACACTCTCCCACCGAACTTGAGGCCGAGAAACGTAACAACGGACAAACCGGAAATCCTCAGGGTCCCAAAGACGACCACGATCCCGCCTGCGCCTTACGACGAGCGAGGCGCGAAGCTGACGTTCGCGGAAACGGGCTACCAAGAAGTATTCATGATGGCCAAAAGCAACGCGTTTATACAGTTAGATGGAAACAGGATCACCGAATTCCAATTGAGGTATTATTTTGTCATAATAAAAATCTGATTTCTCTCTGATACTTTTTTTTTTTTTTTTCAGAATGAGCAGAGAAATATCTTTTCAATTCCGGACACGACTGCCACATGGACTTTTGGTCTATCACAGCATCAAAGACAGGCCTCCTGGACTAAATCCTTACGCTTTGTACGTCATTGTTGAAAAAGGCCAGTTGAAAGTCGTCCATGTCTTCGGCAAACATTCCACATCCATGATAGTTGGTGAAGGTATTGTTCTTTTCATCTAGCTTTAACTATTATGCGGAAGTATGATCTTTGGGACTGCGGTGGCCGAAAGCGTTAGGGTGTAGGGCGGTTCTGGGTACGAATCTAAGCACAGTACATGTTTTTTTCATTTTTTTATTGAGAATGAAAAAGGTATTGTAAAGTGGTTTGGCTCTTAAGTCTAGACACAAGAGTTGGAAGCAACTGAAGGAATAAACAAAAAAACAATTCCTATCTTAAAGTCCTACCTGTTGGGTGTCAAGGATGAGGAGTCAAACCATTTTACATATTTAATACCATTTTAAATTAAAAAGCCATATAAATTAAAAAGACATCCTAACCACTCAGCCACTGCAGTCCCCTGAAATAATAAGATAAAAAATAAACGATAAATATATATGATAAATATTTATTGACTGTTAATTAATGATTATTTACAGATCGTGAGGTAGGGTCTGGTGTGATGTGAGGTTAGAAAAACATTTTCTTTATCATACCAACATTTCAATCTTTATTGAAATCATCTTCAGGGCTGGTATTCATAAAGATTGTTTAAATTATACAAATACATGTAAGATGTGAAAATTAATTTATACAATGAAGTACACATAGAAATTTTAGGTTTAATCAGAGTTATTCAGAAATCGTGAGATGCGGTCTGGTGTGATGTAGGTTTCAGAAAAAACATTTTCTTTATCGTGCCAACATTTTGATCTTTATTGAGATCATCTTCAGGGCCTGGGATTTACAAACATTGTTTACATTTAACAAATGCATTTAGGATGTGGAAAAGTGAATTGACAGAATGATTACCCTAAGCCATGAATCATTTCACCACAAGAACATAACGATATACAAACAGATCCTCCATAACAATCTCTACCCTAAACACATCATTAAAAGAATAATCAACAACTATGACTCAACACTAACACCATCCACTATTACTAATAATACTACATTAAGTCTATCAAATACAAAAAAACAGCATACATTTCCATGCCATTTATTCAAGGCCTATCACATAAATTAAAACACATTTATCTCGTCCGATAACTTCAAAATAGCTTTAGAAAATTATAAAACAATCCAAACTTTTTTCCAAAATTAAAGATTCCACACCAATAACAAATAAATCTACAAGATCAACTGTTCAAACTGTCTGGCAACTTACATCGGTCTTACATCCCAATACCTGGACGAGAGAGTAAAGCAACATATCTATGATTGCAAAAAACTCAAGCAAAATCCTACAGCACTCGCTACCCACCATTTTGAACACCAAAACAATTTCGACTCCAAAAATCCAAAAATATTACATACAGAACAAAACAAACATAAACATAATTTCTTAAAAATGGTTTATATCAACAGAGATAAACACAGCATCAATTATGCAGCTATGCCAATATCATTAATCAAATTCAATATAGATAACATGCATATATCATTACATTACATTCCATACATTAAATATTTTTCATAGTCTAATTGTCCAACAATTTAGCTTTCCTTTTCCTATTTATCCCTTTCTATATCCTGAAAGGATAATCTGGCCGAATCATTACCAACACATTGTTTCCCTTCATTGGCTCTTTTCACCTCAAAGAAGCCGACACCTTATACAAAAATGTCTTTTCTATACCGACTTCCTTCCCCACCCCTTCAAAATCCAAAGTATATAAACATAAAACAGCAAAATCTCACTGGCACTCTCAACACGATACGCAAGAATGACACAATTACACAGAAGACAAACACTTTGAGTGAGTAGAAATACTTTGTTTAAATATATAAAAGAAAATATATTTTGCATTGTATAAATTCACTTTTCCACATTGTAAATGCATTTGTTAAATGTAAACAATGTTTGTAAATCCCAGGCCCTGAAGATGATCTCAATAAAGATCGAAACGTTGGCACGATAAAGAAAATGTTTTTCTGAAACCTACATCACACCAGACCGCATCTCACGATTTCTGAATAATTATCAATTAACGGTCACTAATCACCCATATTTAATCAGAGTTTTATACTCTCTCAAAGCATGTTTTCTGTGTAGATGTGTCACGGTTGTGTGTTGTGTTGAGTGTATTAGTGAGATTGTTGTTTTGTTTATTTGTTTGGTTTTGAAGGAGTGGGGAAGGAAGTAGAGATAGAAATTGATTTTTCTATGAGGAGTCGACTTCTGTGAGGTGAAATGGACCGACAATGGAAAAAAAGGGTAATTGTTTTGTTCGGGTCTAGTTAGCCTTTCAGGATTATTAGGGAAAGGGGATAAATTGTTGGGGATTTAGACTATGTAGAATTGTTTGATGTGTGGAGTGATTTTATATGTTGTATTATATGTTTTGTGTTGTATGATATCGATATCGAATTTAATTTATCGTAGTACTCTTGTTCTGTGTTTAATATTTTTGGATGGTTGAAATCAAAATTGTGTTGGTGTTCAAAATGGTGGGTAGCCAGAGCTGTAGGATTTTTTGGGGTTTTTTTTTTTTTTTTGCAATCATGGATAAGTTGTTTTACCCTCTTATCCAGATATTGGGATGTAATTCCGATGAAAGTTGCCTGACAATTTATACAATTGGTTTCTGTAAATTACATCGGTTTTATTTGTTACAAGTGAGTACAAATACTCTGATTAAAATTTATATATTGTGTCCATCATTGTATAAACTCATTTTCACATCTTACATGTCTTTGTAAAATTTAAACAATGTTTATAAATCTGAAGACACTCTCAATAAACATCAAAATGTTTGCACAATAAAGAAAATGTTTCTAAATCTACATGACACCAGACCCCATCTCACGATCTCTAAATAATCATAAATTATAAAAACAAGCTATTAAAGAAAATTAATTACATAAAAACAATCAATTTATAATAATAAAGTTTTTAGGAATTATTTTACTTTTAATCTAGTCTGTGGGTAGAACTGAAGTTGGTGAAAAGCCATAATGCATCTGACAGACTAAAACGGTAAAGATTGGTAGTCAAAAATGATCAGAAATGACCAAAACTATAGCTAAATTTAATGACTAAATTAAAAAAATACTTATTGTTTTTTATTTTTAAATGCATTTATTTTATACAGTTTACAATTAAGAATATTTACACTATTTTCATTATAGTAATACTTAAAGATCAAATGCTGAGACCTTGAGATTTTGAAGATTGTTGCGAGCTGAAAAATATGTCGTGTCCATATCGTTGTCAGGCTGTGGTATGAAAGGCGCTTCACTCTCGTAGAGATTATCCCAGTTGATGTTTTTGAAAATTGAAAAGCGCTTTAGTTCTTCACCGTTCGGTCTTGCGTTCGGGTCGAGGGTGAGAAGAGCCTCTATGCCTTCGCGGGCGTCATCTGTGAGCGCCTCTTCTCCCTCGGGCCAGTCCAACTGCCGATTGAGTATATTCGCGAAGACGAGCTGGAGGGTGTCGTCGTTGAAAGGGAGAACTCCAGTCATGAATTCGTACATGCACACGCCGAGAGCCCACCAGTCGACTTTATTGCCGTATTCCTGCTTCAGAAGAAGCTCGGGGGCGAGGTAATCCGGAGTCCCGAGGATTCTAATATTCGAACTCTGCAGTTTACCCTTCCTCACGGATTTTGGCGTTTTGAATGCGACATTCTTCACGCTCGGCGTAACTATAGGGCTCATCGACAACTCAGCCATTCTAGAATCATCACGTTCAAGGTTGTAGTCGAGATTGAACCTGGTTTTCTTTAAAACATTATAACTATCAGGTTTGAATCTTTTCACTGCAGAAACTGGTGTCGACATCATGACTACTGGTCTCTCTTTTGCCGCAGAGAGACTTTTACTCTTCAGTACCCCTCTCAAAGGACTTTCTTCTTTAAGACTCCTTTTAGAAAATCTGTTGGGCGTTCCTAACGGATCGATATCGGACAAGTCTAGAATATCCAACTCCTGCGATATACCAGTACTACAAGGGGCGTTCTTTAATTTTTGGATCAATAAGGGCTGCATGTTTTCATTGTTCGACCTGCTCAGATATGAATGTTCGTTATTGTCTGACAATTCGCTTGTCCCACGGCTGTTTGAATAAGAAGAACATGTGAAAAATGTTGACTCGACGGAACTGTTCTGATCGACGTGGCTGCCGAATGACAGAGCGTTCGGCCTCCTGGACGTGCTTAAGCTTCGACACGGCAAAACAGGTGTTTCGGAAAGTTCCCTGCTCTTGTTCATTTCAGGCGTGCACTTTATCTGTTCGCAGGAGCCAAAGGACAGGTGTGAAGTCAACGATAAAATCTGCCCAGGGGTTCTTTTGTTGACAATATTCGGCGATATGTTAACAAGGTCTTCGATTTCCAAATCCCTCAGTACGCTGATACGGCTCAAGCCGAAGTCTGTCAACCTGACATGGCCTTGAGCGGTCAACAGCATATTGTCTGGCTTTATGTCTCGATGGATGATCCCATGCTTATGTAGGTACTCGAGAGCGAGGGCAACCTCCGCTATGTAAAACGTGGCGACAAATTCGTTGAAAAAGCCGGACATGCTTAGCAAGGACTTCAAATCCCCGCCTATCAGATATTCCATGACGAGGTAGACACAAGAGGAACTCTGAAGTGAATAAAATAGCTGGACGCAGTAGGGACTTCGCGACAGGGCCAACGCGTTTCTTTCCCTGTTCACTTGATGGACCATGTTTTTATTTATCATCTCGCTTTTTTTCATCACTTTTATTGCATAATACTTGTCCGGTTTATCATTTTTCTGTCCGAGGAACACCTTGCCGTACGCCCCACGACTTATAGGCTTGAGGATTTTAAAATCTTCGATATTCGGCAGCCTGCATGTGTACGAGTCCGTCGACTCGTTGGGATCCATAATAAAATATTTTAATTTTTAAACAAAATCACATTCCGTTAATACTCCCATCCCTCCTCACAAAAACTTAATAAAAACACTCTCCAAAAGAATATTTTGCGTTAAATAAACGTTAAAACGCCAATACAAGCGATAACTAACTTAATAACATAAAACTTTTAAACAGTTTTTAAAAAATCATGAAGGGACAGGCATTCAAACTGTTACCGGTTATTTTAACGTCAGGTTATAAGTTCGCCGGTTTGATTTTGATTTTAACGGTCGACCAATTCGTGACGTCATTGCTGCCATGCCTATTACGTCATTGACTTACGTTTAAATTGGTTCCTTTATTTAAAAAAAAGTGTAGTATTCAGTGTCCGTTAATTAACGATTATTTAGAGTTCGTGAGATGCGGGGTGGTGTGATGTAAGTTTAGAAAAAAATGTTGATCATAAAGATAAAGATAATAAGATAAAGAAAATGTTTTTCTAAACCTACATGACACCAGATTGCATCTCACGAACTCTAAATAATTTTAAAAAAAGAATTAAATATTTCTTTAAAATCGTTTCTTTGAAATATAATAAACCAATTTTTGTTATATTCATAAACATTATAAAATTTTAAGTTGCTAAACATCGTCAGGTGTCATATTTCCAACTGAAAACAACTTTAATATCGAAATGTTAATATTTTTGTTTACCCTTGTTGTAATACCCTTGTAGCTAGTGCTGAAGGCTTGCTCCATTAGTGATAGGCGAGACCTTGTCAGCAAGTTTGAGGTTGAGGTGATCAGGTTGAGCCCCTGAGCTGCAAGATCATTGTCTGCATCACTCGTGCATCGTGCATTTCTATAACTTAATTTTAATATAATTGACTGTTTTCAGGTCTAAACCGTGACAGGTGGCACAGCGTGACTGTGACTATCGACCTCGAGCAGGGAAGACTGAAAGCCACGGTGGACGACCAGTCTGGAGAGGACAAAATCCAGGGTTTCCACAAATCCAAGAACTACGGAGTTACAAAAGATTTAACATCAGTCGTTCTCATTGGAGGTTGGTACACAAGGTACAAAAATTCCATTCTAGTGCCTAAACATCAGTTAAAAATTGTTTTAAAAAAATTAGCAATGTTATTTTATATTTGGAATAATTATTTTTTCACTTTAAGTCTAATAATTTACGACAGGACTGAGCCCGGAAGAGAAACTCCACGGTGTGAAGTACATTATCGAATCGTTTGTCGGTTGCATCAAAGACGTGAGGCTAAGCGCTGGTAAAAATGTTTCCTCGCTCACTGCGATAATCCCACTCATAGCCACGAAACACGATAATGTCCTCGAAGGATGCATTGACAAGTTTGACTAATAAAATAATTTTGATCATTTAATGATATAAAATTTAAATTTTGTCTGAATTTTAGATGCAGGACGAGAGAAAATTTGTGCTTCGTTGGTAGCAAATGTATTAATCATTACAATCATTTATCATGCGATTGCTTCGGCACATACTATGAAGGAGAACAATGTGATATATACAGTAAGTTTTTCTTTTTTTAAACTGCTGTCTGCGATAGGTCCGGAGGGAACAAAAATTCAAAAAAGGCAGCTAAGGCAAAGAACCCCAACCTCCAGCCCTCTGAAGCTAAAAATCAAGTAACTGGTGTTTTTGGCAGTCCTGAAAAAGAGCTGGTGTTATGGGTGGAGCTGTTGGTCAAAGTAGTAATACCCTTGTAGCTAGTGCTGAAGGCTTGCTCCATTAGTGATAGGCGAGACCTTATCAGCAAGTTTGAGGTTGATGTGATCAGGTTGAACCCCTCAGCTGCAAGATCATTGTCTGCATCACTGAAGTTGAGACCATTGTTGAGACAATGGTAACACCTAGTGTATAACTTAACCACAGGTGGCCACCACGTGATCAAAAGGAAATAGCATTTGGCATAGAAGCTTCTAAGTATCAAGAGAAAGGTTGATGGGTGGCCCTTGGAGGATCTAAAACCTGGAAGATCCTAACCCAATTAAGAATAGGCCTAAGTTGACCCACAGTCACTTTTGGGCCAAGAGAAATTTCAATGCTTCCCCCTTAATTAAAGAGTGTCAATGCTTGGCTCTATATAGAGAGTGTGTAGGAAGACCACCCAATATGAGAATTGTACCTGAGCAGCGAGTTTTTTTTTAGAAAACAGCTATTTTATTTTATTATTATTGTGTGGGGTTTAATGACCGTTAGCTAATGATTATTTGGAGATCGTGAGATGCGGACCACATCTCACGATCTCCAAATAATTTATTATTATTGCTGATAGGTATCTCATTTTGTGAATATTGAGAGTGAAAGTATTTATTAGTGTGAATGCACAGTGTAAAGGATGATTGAGAAATATTGAGTACCCCCTCCACCCTAATTGAGTGGTATTAGGAAAAATGTTATGGCTGACCCTGGACTGACAATATCAATCAATCATCAATCAATCAATTCACTGATTGTTGTTTATTTAACTAAGATTTTTTTTCTAGCTGCCACGATACTTACACTAAGAGGCTTTTCATTTGTATCATACCGAGTCTATGACTGGAAAGATCGAGTCCACTCTAGTGTAAATAGAATAAGTTTACATTTTAAAGTAAGTTATATATTTAATATTTATAAATATGGTTTGTATTATAATGTATAAATTTTTTTTTTCGTTTTTAAAGACAAGATTTGATGATTCAGCGCTTTTTTATGCAAGTGGTGAAAACATATATCCTCCTTATCGCCACTACATAGGGATTTCTTTGCTCAACTCGACGATAATAGTCGACATTGATCTCGGATATGGTGCAGTTGTTAAGAGAATGGGCTCTCATCTGACCGACAACAAATGGCACAATTTGACCCTGCTGCATGTCAACTCAACCGTCACAATCTACCTTGACGACACAGTCGCCGAGATGAAGTTGCCAGGTAGTAATAGGCATTTGTACATCGACCCAGAAATCAACATAGGCGGTGGAACAGAGCTGAACAAAAACAAGGGATTGTACTCAGTCAATAATTTCATCGGCTCGCTCAAATACGTCTTTTACAATGATGCATCCATCCTGTACGAGCTTAACAAGACAAGTCATAAAGTGCATTACATCGGTGTCCTGGAGCCGTTGTTCGCCGAAGTTGACGTCGATGTCATTCCGATGACTTTTCCTTTCTCATCGAGCAATTTTGCATGGAAAGTAGCCAGTCGTGAATTTCTTCACTTGCAGTTTGAGTACAAATCGAATAAAAATGCTGCTGTCATTGCCGCATCGGCTGTCATGTCAGAAAAAAAACCAGGATGGTGGGAGGTAAAGTTACAATTTAAAATAAAAATATAAGAAAATGTTCAACAAATTTTGAAAATTTTTAGCTAAAAATAGTCAACGATGAGCTGAGATTTGAATTAGTTCCTGACTCTATGAAAAATGTCACATATCTTTTAAGCGTCAAGGTGGAAACGAAAAACGTCTGGCATTCTGTATGTATTTCTATTTATTTTTTATTATAAGAAAAGTTTTATTGATATTTTGGTGCCAGGTAGAAGTTTTATATTTGAAAGGCGAAGTTGCACTGACTGTCGGAAAGAAACCAAGGCAAAAGATGAAGATAACAGAACAGATTTTACTCGGAGATAAAATTGTAATTGGAAGCGCATACCCTGGCGGCAAGGCAAGTGTGGGTAAGTTCGGTATATCGGTTTAGCCCGAAAACCTTCATTTAACAGGATTTTTTAGGTTTTGTCGGCTGTTTGCGCGAAGTCTTCATTAACAGAGAGTTTGTCGAGCCGAGGCTCGTTGTTCTCTCGAAACGCACGACCGGCGAGGTGTCCCTTGACAACTGCGAACTCGTCGACCCTTGTAAAAGGCCCAACGCTTGTGAACACAACGGTAAGTGTTCCGTGAAAGACGACCGGCTTACGTGCGATTGCAAAGACACAGGATACATCGGAAAAAACTGTCATTTCGGTATGATTTATATTATTTAAAAAAAATTAACCATTCATACTAATTATAAATGTATACAGCCAAATTTAGAAAGACATGTGAAGAGCTCGCCCTCTTGGGCTATACAAAGCCTGATGTTTATTTAATTGATATCGACGGCAATGGAAGATTTCCTCCGGCACATGTTAAATGCGAATTTCAGTCTTTTGAAGATTCAACGAAAACTATTGTAGAGCACAACTTACCAAGCCAAGTGGTAAGTTCTTAGTACTTTACTAAAACATATTTAAGTTATTATTTACTGGTTTAACCGCTGGCACAGAGTTTAAGCTTATCGTGTCTCTATATTCCAGAAAATTCGCACAAACCTAAAACTTTTTAAAGTTCAAAAGTCTCTTTGCCTTGATTTGCAGTGAGGATATTATCAAAAGCTCTCTAAGAGCTTGTCATAAAAACTAGACTCAGTATAGGTCATACATGGTTGACCCATGTATATTACATGTCATAAAATAAAAGTATATCCAAGAATTTCAGCATCGCTGGGCAAGGTTCCAGGGAATATCGTATTAAATGCTCTCAGAGAACCTGATAGAAGAAAAGATTATTTGTCCTTACCAGAATCAGAATAGGCCGAATCAAGTTGATGCCCAGATACCTATTTTTGAACCAAATTCATTTTGATTTGGCCTTGGCTCTGTATAAAGAACGTGTAGGCCAGTCGACATAAAAACAAACCTTGATCACAGCAATGAAGTACAAATTCATTGTTCCAATTTTTGAAAGAGAAGAGTACTCGTATAATTTTTCCCTCTCAGAGAATACGAGCTGTAGGATTTTTCTTATCTAGAATCAGAATATGGTATGTTTAGTGACTGGGAGTTTTGGTGGCTCTGATGAGGGCCGGTGTTGTTTTGTAGTGTTGAGACAATGGATGAGACTGGGACCATGTGTGTGTGTTTGTGTGCGCCGTTGGTTGTAGTCTGTGACCGAGAGAACCGTTGGCTGACGTCCAGGGTCATGAGCCAGTTGACTCTGCAGCTGTTGAAGGGACTCTGGTGCAGCAGGTAGCTAAGTGCAACTGTTGGCCAATAGCCAAGCAGGCTGTGTTGAGAAGGCGAGTTTGAGGTTAATGCTACGAGTACCCTTAATGTCGTCGGTGCTTCATTAGTGATTGGCGAGAGCTCATCAAATAGACAAGTCTGAAGTCAGTGCAAAATGGCTCTACTCTGAACTGCTGCAGAGTGGAGGATGAGACCGTTCCAGAACTGGTAGTGACACCTAGCGGATACCATGGTAACTGCAGGTAGCCACCAGCATGCTTGGTTGACCCATGTGTATTATACATCATTAAATTAAAGTAAAGCCAAGAATTTCAGCATTGTTGGGCCAAATTTGCAGGGAGGGTGGTATCAACTACTCTTAGAGAAGTAATTGGAGAAGAGGATTTGTTCTTACTAGATTCAGAATAGGTCATATCCAGCTGATACTCACACGCCTATTTTTGAACCAAATGAATGTTTTATGATGAGTGCTACTAGTTCTTTTTTCCTGCAGGATGTGCGAAGTGCGTCTGAAAGTGACTTCAGCTTTCAGATTATGTACAGAGAGTTTACATCCGAGATGCTCCAGGAGCTGATATCTCATTCGCTTTACTGTTCTCAGTACATCAAGTATGATTGTTACAAAGCGCCACTTGAACTTCATTCTGCAACTTGGTTTGTAGCAGCGGCGAATAACGGGACTGTAGACTACCTCGGAAATGTAAAACGAGGCTCTTGCACTTGTGCAGGCAAGTTATAACTGTTTTGATTTTAACTTTTGTTCTATTGACCTCGTTTTGATTTTAGAAAATAGAACATGCGTGAGTACGGAACAGTCGTGCAACTGCGACATATCCGAGGCGAAATGGCTGTCAGACGATGGTTATTACATCTCTCCCAATTCTCTCGGTATCACTCAAATGGTGTTCCTCCAACAGACTGATCTAGAAGAAGACGCGCTCGGAAGGATCACCCTAGGCCCATTGGAATGCGTCGAAACAAGTATGTACGCATTTTCGACCAAATTGTTCCGCTCATCTAATTGTTTTTCAAGATACGCAGAAATACGTTGTGACATTTACAACGAGCCAGTCTTACATAGAAGTCCCGGGGTGGCGCAAAGGGGACATTGCTTTTAGTTTCAGAACCACAGGGGAAAAAGCTATTCTCCTGTATCAACCGCCGATAAGACCGCATCATCCATCCTTCATGGTGGCACTTACAAGTGGTAACTTAAAAAAAAAACTTTAAATTTAAAAAAATATTTACTTATATTTGTTTAAGATTTTCAACTTACATTCAATTTTACACTAAACACTGGAAATTCTCGTGAATTGGCTGTAAAATCTCAGAGGAAGCTTAACAGCGGTGAATGGCAGAAAATATGGATAGATTACAACGAGCATCACGTTAGGTTTATGATAAATACGGATTATCAAATGGTGGATCTTTTGCCTGACGAGGAATTCGGCCCGTTCGAAGGTAGCATGTTCATCGGCGGAGCAACCGAGTAGGTCTTTGTATTAACAATTAAAATTACATTTTCATTTGATTTTTTCTTTCTTTTTACAGAGAACTTCTTGTGGAGAGATCGGTGAAACAAGGCCTTATAGGTTGTTTCAGGGGTTTGGTCGTCAACGGCGAGATCCTCGACATATATTCCTACATGTCGGTGCACCTTTCTGAGATAATACAAGACTGCAAGCCGTCCTGCTACCCGAATCCTTGCAAAAATGGCGCAAAGTGTAAAGAGCTTTGGAGCACGTTCCAGTGCGTTTGTGAGAACTCATGGGCGTACATCGGAACTTTCTGCGAAACGAGTACGCATTTTTTAAAATTTTAAATCATAAGTGTTATAATGAATGTTCATTGATCATCCAGATAAGTGCTAACCACTAAAAATTGCCAAATACAAAAAATATTGACAATCTATCCCCAAATATATTTTAATACGTATAAACGACAATAGGCCATACGTGGTTTATCCATGTATAATATACAAAAAAAAGTCAAGTATATCCAAGAATTTCAGTAAATGCACTAATTTCGTGGTCCGCTTGACCAATTAATATATTACAATTAATTAAGGTTTTTACTTGAGATAAAAAAGTCAATGGCACGAGCGGGATTCGAACCAACGACCTTCGGCTATATACGCCGTTACTCTACCATTTGAGCTATCGTGACCTTGATCCACTAGGACACAAACTTCCCATCTCAACCCCACCTTTTGAAAAATGGCAAAAACGAGGGAAAATTCAAAAGGTGGAGTTGAGATAGGAAGTTGGTGTCCGAGTCTATCGAAGGCACGATAGCTCAAGTGGTAGAGTAACGGCGTATCTAGCCGAAGGTCATGGGTTCGAATCCCACTCGGGCCATTGACTTTTTTATCTCAACTAAACACCTTAATTAATTGTAATTTCAGTAATGTTTGGCCAGAGTCGCAGAAAAGATCATGAATGTCAAGTTCCAGGAGAACCTGGGTTAGGAAAGAGTCGTTATCTTCACCCAAATAGAATAGGCATATTGACTGTTGACATAGAAGGCCTTCTTTTGAGCTAACACCTACCTGAGTGTTTTGACATGGCTGCATAAAGATCTTCGTAGTAGACGTAAAAATAATCCTTGGTAACAGCATCATTTTTTCTAAGTTGCTCGTTTGTGATTCCAAGATAACTTGCGTCAGAGCATTGGATTTATTTTAACTAGACTCAGAATAGGTCATACGTGGTTTACCCATGTATTATATACATAAAATTCAAAAACATCCAAAAATTTCAGCATTGTTGGGCCAGCTTTGAAGAAAGATCATGAGTATCAAGGTGCAAGAGAAGCTGAATCAGGAAAGATGCATTATTTTGACCTGATTAAGAATAGGCCGTATAAAGTTCACAGAGGGATGCCCTTGTTTTGAGTAAAAGCTTGCCAGTGTGTTTTGACTAAGCATTTTTTTAAACTAAACTCAGAATAGGTCATACATAGTTGATCCATGAAAGGGTATCCAAGAATTTCAGCACTGTTGGATCATCTGCATAGAAGATCATAACAAACGTTTGAGGAGAACATGAGTTGAAGCAGATATGTCCTACCAGAAGCATAATAAACCTTACTTAGTTGACCACAGGTCAAAAGCCTTCCTGTGTGTTTTGCCTTGGCTCTGTATAAAGAGCGTGTAGGTCAGTTGATTTAAAAACAGTTCTTGATCTGAGTAGAAGTAAATGTATTCACCAGACTCAGAATAAGCCATACCTAGTTGACACACAGGTCATTTTTTAGCAAAAGCCTTCCTGGTTTTTGCCTTGGCTCTGTGTAAAGAGCGTGTAGGTCAGTTGATTTAAAAACATTTCTTGATCTGAGTAGAGGTAAATGTCCTCACCAGACTCAGAATAAGCCGTACCTAGTTGACACACAGGTCACTTTTTAGCAAAAGCCTTCCTATGTGTTTTTCCATGACTCTGTATAAAGAGCGTAAAGGTCAGTTGATATAAAAACATTTCTTGATCAGAGTAGAGGTAAATGTACTCACCAGACTCAGAATAAGCCGTACCTAGTTGACACACAGGTCATTTTTTAGCAAAACCCTTCCTTTGTTTTTGCCTTGGCTCTGTATAAAGAGCGTGTAGGTCAGTTGATTTAAAAACATTTCTTGATCTGAGTAGAGGTAAATATACTCGCCAGACTCAGAATAAGCCGTACCTAGTTGACACACAGGTCACTTTTTAGCAAAAAGCCTTCCTTTGTGTTTTGCCTTGGCTGTGTATAAAGAGTGTTGGCCTGTAAACATATAAAATAGTTTTTAATCATTAACTTGACTAGTTTTAATATTTTGTATTTATCTTGTATCTCTTGTTTTTCTTTATTTAGACATAAATGAAAATGGAATAACACAAGTATTGAGGGAGCCGCATGTGAGCAAAAATTTCCTCTCGATGGCAAACGAAACGGATAAGTCGACGTTCAAAAACCTCCTGCAAGAGACGATCCTCCTCAATATCAGGACGTACGACAACCATTCGCTTATTCTTCACGCAAACGACCATTTGAACAATTTCATCCAGCTGTACATTAAAAACGAAAGTAGGGTCGTTTTCTGCTTCAATTCGGGTGACTTGATTCACAACGTGAGCGTCGACTACCACGGTGAGTTTTTTGATGAAGAATCATCAACGTCTGTGACAAAAGATATTTCTTCTAGGATTGAATAGTGGAAAATCTGTTCAAATAGCGATTGTAAGAAATTACAACGAGACGATACTGCACGTTAATGATAAAAACAGCACGGTTATTGCACCTATTCTTCTTCTTACTAATTATTCCAGCAAGCCTTGGGCAAATCCTGAACAAGGTAAGTAATAAAATCCGTTTTTATTTTTTATTTAATTAATTTTTTTTACAGAAGTTTTAGCGCCTCAACGTCCCCCTGCACCACCAACAGAATATTTCCAAGTGAATATCGGCGGATATGAAAACTTGCTGAATGCTGGGCAAGACAAGCCTCTTGAGGGGTTCATCGGTTGCATCAGGGGGCTGAAAATCGGTGACACAGTTGTAAACCTGACAAATTACATAGAAGAGAAAACCGATAACGCCTCTGGTAATTTTTTTCTTTTTTTCAATAAGTTATTAACAAAAATTAAAAACGGATTTTTTTTCTGAAGTGAGCATGATACCTGGATGTCGAATGAAGTGTGATGAGAATCCATGTAAAAATCAGGGGATCTGCATCGAAGATTTTCTCAAGGGCGAGGCTTCTTGTAACTGTGAGTTCACCTCCTATGAAGGTGAATCATGTAGTGAAGGTAAATAAATATTTTTTTAAATTAATAACTTCATTTCTATTTAATAAAATTGTGTGTTACTCAGAAAAAGGTGCCGATTTCGGCGGTGAGTCAGTTCTACAGAGGAAATTCACTCTCGAAGCCAACAGTACGATAAACAATATCAAAGTCCAACTTGCGTTTTCCAGTTCTGACAACAGGCAGAGAAGCACGGCTCTTCTCTTACTTCAAACCGTTAACAAGTAATATTTGACATTGATTTATATTCAAATAATTAAATTTCTAATTTTTTCAGAAGGAGTTATTACCTAATTGTAGCACTGAATATTGAAGGCGATTTGATCATAGAGGAGGACAGAGAAGGATCAGCATACGGTGTTAAAATGAAAGACAGATCTTTCCTCAACGGAGCCAGGCATTCTGTCTATTACAAACGGATAAATGACTCTGCCATACTTCTCGTCAGTGAAATATTACTTTTGAAAATATTACAACTTAATTTTCTATTAATTTTTTCAAGGTTGACCGCGAGGAAGTTCAATTGGTACCGATACCTGTTCTAAGTTTGACTGAAGTCCCCGGGAACCATGGTGCTAATGAAGTACAAGTTGGAGGGTTGAACACAAGCGATCCACGGTTCGCGGCATACATGAGCTACAGTGGTTGTCTTTCCAGTAAGTCTTCTCACACACACACAAAAAATGTATCATCGATATAGCCTAAAAACCCATTTTTACCATTAACCCAACCTAACCTAACCTATCCATAGTAATGCAAAATCACAAAAATGGTCATGCTAAGAAATTTAATTAGTGGCGCAGATGCCTTACTTTATCCTTGCTAAGCAAGGTGAGGATATTTAATGTATTACTTTTTATGTGGAAGAAAGAGGTTAAAAAAATACTTGCATTACCGATGTCTGTTCTGAGTTTTACTGCTCAGGAACCACGGTGTTACGAAAGTACAGGTCGAAGGATTGAACATAGGTGATCTGTTGTTCACGGCATACGTGAGCTATAGCGGTTGTCTTTTCAATAAGAAAATGCTTCCCACTCGCATATTTTCTCATGGAAAAATATTGAATAGTTGATTTTTACCCTTAACCTTACCTAACCTAACCTAGTACTCGTAAGTCTGACTGAAGTACCTGGGAACCTTGGTGCTAATGCTACTGAGCTAAAGTGGTTGTCTTTTCAGTAAGTCTTCTCAAAAAATAATAATAATAATAATAAAGTATCCTTGATATTACCTAACCCATTTTTACCCTTAGTCTAACCTAACCTAATTCCTCAATCCATGGTAATGCAAAACCGCGAAAATGATCACGCTAAAAATTTTTTAGTGGCACAGATGTACTATATCCCTATTACTAAGCAAGGCAAGGATATTTAGCATATATTTTTTGTTTGGAAGGAAGGTAAGGTTAAAAAAAAAAAAAATACAAAAACCAAAGAGATAAAATTTGCAAAACTTGTCTGAAGTTCAGAGTAATTATACTGTTCAAATTTGTTACACATAAGTCAATTATAATGTTAAAATCATCCTTTCAGCCATTAAATATCTAACTTTTTTACCCAGATGTAATTCTGGAAGTTAACGGACAAGAGATGAAGCCTCTGGAGGAGTACATGTCCTGGAAAACTGGTAGTACGGTACATGTACAAAAATCCCAAGGCGTGCGAAGTGCTCAGTGTGCATTTTTTGAAGCGATGAATAAACCAAGGCCTGGTCCTGTGCTCAACCTGAGCTCAGTCAGTGTAAGTTATAATACATACAATAAACAAACAAAAAATACAAGATTAATAATTTTATATTCAAGGGAGAAGAAGAGCATACATGGGTTGAAGACCCTCCTGCGAAAATCCCTTACAAGTCGCTTTATTCTGGACCGTCGACTGCAGAAGAAGGAACAGGGAGAGGTCGGCATCTTTTCTATCTATGGCTTGTAACTGAAATTTATTTTTTTTTATCTTCCAGTTCTGTTTATAATCGCCACGTCAATGTTCTGCATATTTGTAACCGGTACGTTTTACCACGTCTATCGGACTCATGTCGCTTATAAACGGAGGAAAGAAGCTGAAACGACGATTCTATGGCATAACGCTCCGATTCAGTATAAAGAGCCTCCTATACCTATAGCACCTATCAAGTCTGTCAGGTCGAGAAGTGTAAGTCGGACATCAATTTAAAAAAATAAATAAATAAATAAAAACAATTACTTATTTTATGACTTAATCTCGTACTAATTGGTTTAGGGTAAGGCTTCTTCCTTAAAGCTTTGCCATTAATGAAGAGCTTGCTTTATAATTTTTATCTGCTTCATAATTTTTTACATTAGAAAAATAATTTATTAAAATATAAGACTTTAAAGATAAAATTTTTGTGCTTATTGTCAAGTAATTGTTTTAAATATTAATTATAAAACAAGATATAACAAGAAAAAAGTTTTCTTAAATGTGATTTTAATCAAGAGATTGTAGACTTAAGAAAGCTTTTTTTTTTCTAAAAATTATTGTCATTTTTGTATATTAATTTTGCAAGTTGAGGTTTGCTAACTTGTCGGTGTGTATTGTTCGCTTGTGTATGGATCGAAGGTGTGCGAGGGTAGCCTGTACACCGGGCAGAACGGAAGGCCTGTACAGTACCAGGAATCACTTCTAAGACCCGCAATCAAACTCACCAGGTCAAAGAGTGTGAGTAACGTTGTGCCAAAGGCGTACTGCATGATATCCTGCATCTCCTTGCAAAAAGTTCGATGAACGTTGTGCATTGTATTTTTTTTTTTTTTTTTAATATATATTTTTCTGTTTAATTTCGAAAATCTATTAGACTAAAATTCAATCGTTCAATTTTGCAGCAGGATGATAGCATCAAATCTTCTTCGCACAACGGCTCCGATTTGAAACCGGTCTACAAATCATCACCGAGCACTCCAGCCCCTGTCGTACGATTCAGAATACCTTCCGACGATCATATTATCAGAGGTAAATTTACAAAAAAAAATGTTTATTACTGAAAATAACTTGAAATTTTATCATTTAAGAAAATGGAATACAAGAGAAAAACATAGATGAAGAGGAGAGAAGAGAACTTTTGAAGCCCGTAAGTAAAAAACAACTTTCCTTCTAAACACAAACATTAAACATTTTGTGCGTTCGAAGTCTTTGACCAACGAGATCAAAGAGGATTTCAAACCAAATGAAGTTATCGTAAAACCGAATCTCGATGTAGTTACTTACACCATTGACGAAGACCATGCGGGCGAAATGGAAGAAGAGGAAGAAATGCAGCGCAACTTGCGACCCAGGAGTGTTGATTTTAGCGTCGGCGGTAAAGACAAGTTGGTAAGAGATTGAAAAATTAATTAATTCTCCTGCATGGTTTTTAATCATGGGTTAAACATAAATGATATATTTACAATTTTGTGTTTATTTATGTATTTCTTTCGACTTTTTCTTCGTTGGTCACATCAATTTTTAATTCATCGTGACCTCTGATGCGTTTTTATAGGTGCATCAGGAGTTAAGGAACAATAATCACTACTTGGTAGAAAATCCTGTAGAATATACTACATACTCATAACTCAGGTATCAGGAGAGCATGTTTACATGGAGAGCGATCTTATGCACTTGAATAGTAACAGATTTTGCTTTTATATTGTTTCAAGCTTGGTGTGAATTTATTTGAATGGCTTTCAACGCATCTGTGCATGATTTTTTTTTTATAATGTATAAATTTAACAACTCGGATTTCGGTGGCACCAATGATGTATTTCAGGTCGATGGACTTTTTTAAGGGCAAAAATTTTGATGATAATTCTTTTGGCACCCAAGAAAATTATGGGAGGTGGAAAAGTTTGTCCATGGTTTGATAAAACAAAAAATAATAATAATTTGGGTGCCATCCTATTTTCCTGGGAATAGTGAACCTTTGAAAATATACTTTGCAATGCAGTAAATGAAAAGAATTGACCATAAATAAGAAAATAAGATAATATAAAATTATATAAACTATAATAGACAAGTTGCAGTCTGCAATTAAATTTATAAAATCAAACAAAATATTTTTATACAACATATTGAACTATATTGAACAAAACAGAAAAAAAGGGAAGAGGAAAAACCTGTAATCAAGCCTGGTCTTCTCTAATACATTTTCTCTCTGACTCCCTGGATTCCCTCAGCGTCTTCCTTTTTTTCCCTTCTGCATTGCACATTCTCTCAAGATCCTCTAGAGTCCCATGCAACGAGAATAAAATTGCCAAATTAAAGAAACCATTTTTTTTTTTTTTTTCAATTACTCACAGCATTTGTCCTGTGCTTCTTGGTGTGACCTTAGCCTGCCTGACTTTGCCAAGGGCACCCCCTGTATCCTGCTGAATCTGGTCACCCCAGCACAAAAAAAAAACATGTTTTTGCCTTATTTTCCTTATTAGGCATAACAAGCCAAACTTCATAATTTTTTTTTCTTTCCTTGTGTTTTGGTTACTTTGTTTAAAGTTTGTTTTTTAATATGCGTATATATAAATTACTCTGTATAAAGTCTTCAATAAATTCTAAACAACAAGAGACAAGGATTGTCCTCACCCAGTTGAGGAAGGATTGGCACACAAGTCCCTTATGCAGAGAAAGGTAGCTCAATGTGCCCCACATAATAGAGGCGTATCATGCCTTGGCTCCATACAGAGAGCATGTAGGTATGCCGCCAGATTTAAGAATGGTTCTTGGACACAGTAGCAAGTTTCAGGGTCCACTGTTCCGCTTTTTAGGGTAATTGGGCATTTTTTTTTATTGTATATAACCGTCAAAATATGTTTTGTATGAGTGAATGTATTTATTAGAGTAAATGGGGAGGGGCTGATGGCAGAATTATAGCAGTACCCCATCGACCCCAACTAGATTAGTTTGTTATTGCAAGCAGGTTGATGGAGGAATATTAGTACTCCATCTACTAAATAGAATGAATGCAATATAGTTGTGAATGTATTTATTTGTGTGAGTGCATATTGAGTTGTATTTTGCATATTGTGTCGGGACTGAATGAACAAGATGTCAGATGCCCCTAAAAAAAAAAAATTAAATTTCTTATGGCACTAGCACTAAAAGGCCCCATAACTCCGTTCAAATCATCCCTTGATAATTCCTCTTGTGTTCTTGTACGTTTGCCTTTGTCGCCATCCTTCTGATAGTGGCTGTCTGGAAATACGATAATTGTAGGGGCCGCAGTGGCCGAATGGTTAGGGCTTCTGACTTTGTCCTGCTAGCATCCTGGGTTTAAATTTTTTTTATTTTTGAACTGGTGTACAAAAACAACTTATTCGATGGTAGATCAAGCCTAGGAAATAGAATCAGGTTTATTGAATTTCCGTTTTATCTAATAAAATATCTCCAAGTTGTTAAATTTAATAAAAATTGGACGGAAAAGAATGCTACATTACATATTTTAAGCATCTTCAGGGATTTTATCTCATCATGTGATTCATTATGTATCATTGACTCAAGTATGTAAAGTTCTGAGAGTAAGTCGTTGAAGAACTATTTTTTGCCTGTATATGACACCCATAATTGACTTGTCGCACTGATATTCCACGTCTACAAATACAAAAAATAAAAGGCTTGGAGATTATTTACTAAATATGAATGCATTTTGTACAAATTTTAATCAAGAAGACAGACTTTTTTTAATCTTTGCTTAAAATAAAAATTAAATACAAAAAAAGCTAATGCAGCGCATCAATTTGAAGGAGGAAGTCGACAGAAACAGGAATTCAATCGCTTCAAGTTCAACATCGCTTTCGTCGACGGGTAAGGAGGCTTTGTATAAAATTTCTTTATCTAAATTCAATTTTTTTCCTCCCCCAAGGCGGCAGACAACTTTGGGGAAAGCTCTTAGGACCGGTTTATCTCAACGAGAGGCTGCGCAGCTTCGGCACCCCGCTCAGCTACTTCAGGGTGCAAAGGTTTCGAAGGCCTTCGGCAAACCGAAGTAAAGAGTCGGTCATGTCTTTGGACTAGAGTTTTACTTTCATCCGAACACAAAGTGTCAAGGACCCGAAATTCAGCCAATTTTTAACTTTAGTTTATGCAAGAACCGATTGAAATTAGATCTCTTGTAATTTTTGTTTTTAATTGTAAATTTTCTTTAGATATAATTTCTTTTTAAAATTATACTCATGGAAATAGTTTTTTAATATTTAGTGTAGGCTATATGTTATGATTAATGTGATAATAAAAAGAATAAGAATGTATATAAGCGAAACTTTTTTTTTTTAATTTTTCGAATTCAGTCAGATCAAATTAATAAAATGATACCAAAATTACCAGTATCTTTTAACCCTTTTCAAATACTATAGATTTATGAATAAATAACTAAAGTTTATTATTTTTTATATGCAGTCTTATCTAAGTTAAGTAGAAAATAGATTTTTAAAAAGGCTATTGTTAGTAGCAGATGCCATAATTTTAAATGACTTTTTTTTGTAATTTAGACTGAAAATAAATTATGTATTTATAAAAGTTCATGTTATATAAATAAACACATCTATTTATCCATTTAAAATACATTCCTCTAATAGTTTTTATCTATTAGTGACAAAATTGTGAAATCTAGCTTGGATGATTTACGAGCTATAAAAATTAAGGCTGTTATAATAAAATTATACTAATATTTGACTAGTTTTTATTCTATAATAAAAAATATTTTTAAAAAACTGTAATTTGATGATTATAGATCATGGTCTGCCTATCCTCGTTGGGTAGGTCTGTCAGATGCGTTTAGACATCTTCAGTGTGTCTTTCTTATTGGTTTGTCATGATAGAATACTTTCCTAGTTTTTCTAGCATCTGAGCCCAATTATATTGATATGCGTTTCAGCAGAGGAGACACGGACCATTAGAGCCAAGAAGCAGAAAGAATAAAAAGATAGTAGAATTCACCTTATCATATCATGATCCAGGATGATGATCGGATGCTCACAAGGAGGAAAATCCAGCAAAATGTTCACTGAACACTGCCAGGCACAACTTATCTCCAGTCATTGCTTATTTCGCTCCTCTTCTTTTTTCAATAAGCTAAAATTATTGCACAAAACTGATCTTTACCCTACATTTGACCAACTTTGGTCCTGACTTGCTTCCTTCTAGTCATTGGTTTTCTGCTTCTCTCTACAGGGTAAGCACACCTTTCAGATAAACCTTTCAATGTTGGGGGAGGGTGATATAACACTTTTAACAGAGCTTAACAATAAATTGTCAAAAATGTACTGGTTGATGGGCAGCCCATTGAAATAAGCTCTCACATTCCATCAAGCCCATGTGGACTTATGCCATATAGCAAGACCAAGTCAATTCACTCTAGCACTTCAGAAATGAAGACATCCACTCCTTGACCTGAAAATGGAAACAAAAGATATCCAAAAAGTCACATTAGCCCCTCATCAAAAGCTGAAAAGTCAAATTTGAAGCAGTACACCTCGAGTTTGACCAATCAAACTTAAACTGAAATTGTTAATAATTGCGAAAGAAAAATAGAAAAACTTCTGACCTCAACAGTCAACAGAGAATAGGAGACCTGACCTTATTAATTCAGAAGCCTCTTAGAGCAAACTTGAACTAGTTTTTTTTAATTTCAGCTTCTACTCATGCTATGTCGTACCTAAAGGTTGTAATTATTATTTTTTAATTTGTAATTAAATTACATTATGATGAGTCAAAGAGAAAAATTCGAAGAATTAATGATAAGATGATAGATCGACCTGCTGTTAAACAACTTGGAAAAAGGATCTTCGGTGAAGTCACAACAAAAAAATATGAAAAATTTAAGGGATATACAAAAGTCCACCATTTGTAAAATAAGAATTTAGTAACAATGCAAAGCTTATTTTTATATTTCAACATGTAAGTACATATATACAAGGAAAAATGACTAATTAAAAAACAAACTAATTTGAATAAATCTAGCGTTGGTTAAGCGTAGCGCTATCTGTTCCAATTGAGACCAAGAATATTCCTCGCCTGCAAAACAAAACATAAAATTTGAATGTTCAAATGTTTATATAATTTAAGTATTGGGTTGTAAAATACGTCCATTATGTGTTTTTTACTAAATTGATTTGAACAAAATTGCCTTTGTTTTAGTGCCAGGGCACACAAGGCAGAGGGGCAATAAAGAGGCTGGATAAGTTGGTCATGGAAAGTTTGATGGCCCTGGAACCTTTCATGGAGTACCGAATAGCCAAAAAAATATATTCATCAGATAACGAATTAAAAATAAGTCCTCAGTTCAACGGGAATGTAAGTAGACATTGATAAAGTTCATAAAAAGACCATCATAGAAACTAATGGAAGTTCTACTAAATCTAGGATTTTAGGGAGGCAAAAACAAGCTTGTGCTAATACCATGTTTTGTTTTAAACCCTTTCCACCCTTAAGTCCCATCTTTTTGACAGCCTCCTGCCCTTGTAGAGAAAAAGCCCACGCCAATATCATTTATAAGGAAAATAAAAGAGGACTTAAGATTGACCCCTGTGAAACTCCCAAATTAATAAAACCAATGTCACATCATTTAGAGTTGAAATAGAAAACTGGTGAGAGACAGGTCAAATACGAAATAAAAAATTTACAAGTGGTAGAATTTAAATTAAATTTTTGGCAAAGCCTGATATTGAGACTATGGTTGATCCAAATGGATTGAAAAATCAAGCAAAACTAAAATATGTCTGGGCCATTTAAGCCTTGGGCAATATACCACCATCTTTCAAGCGGAAAATGTCTATTGAACACTGTGCAAAGGAGATTAAATTGTTAACAGAATAGCCAACTACTCGGACATCCAGGCGATGCTGATGGTAATGTGCCAACATAGTAATTCTGCCATTAGTTTCTGTATGATCCTTTGGTGAATTTTTTCTCATGCCTCTCTTCTGTGCTACATTCTCATTGAACGAAGGACTTATGATCGATCCGTTGTCTGATAGATCCATGTTTTAGCAGTTTAGTATACTGCAAAAGGGTTCAGGACCAATAGGTGTCATCATTGAACTTTCCTTGGGTGATTTATTAAAGCCTCGTCAAGTAAAGCCCAGACATTTGGGGGGATTATGGTCAGACATCAGGGGAGAGCGGCCATAATAAATTACACAAGGAAAGTTTGATGATGACACTATTGGCCGTGCACCATTTTGTAGCACACCAAACTTCCAAAAATGTGGATTCATCAGACAGTGGATTAAAAATATGTCCTTTGTTCAATGTGAATGTAGCCAAGGACAGAGGCATGAGAAAAATTTCACCAAAGGACCATCACAGAAACTAATGGCAGAATTACTAAATCTAGGACAAGTTAGGACCAGAATGATAGTAGAACTGCTAACTGTGTGCTGCAGACTGCAGAGGCATATGTTTAGATTTGGAGTGGAAGAAAAAAGCTTGTGCTTCTGCCAGGAAGAAGAAGAAACAGCAGAGCAAGTTCTCGAGTGGCGCAAAGGCTTGTGGAGACTGAGATTCCTACTCCTGGTAAAGGGAAATATGAGGATGCACACATCCTTGAAAAAGCTGTGGGATCTGTTAAAAAGCCTTCAGCTTAATGAGGAGCTCTAGACAGGTCGTAAAGAGGCAGATTCCTTTTCAAATCAAATCTAATTTAAAATGGAGGAAAAGTTGTAGTGGCATGTTTATAACTTAATAGTTCTTTTAGTATCAAAAAAGGGAAACGTTCAGACTGCTAGGAAAGTTTGTGATGTGTATGGTTATTAAAAAAAGACCGGATTCACATGCAATTACATCTTTTGTTTGCTAACCTTTAAATTTAAAGAAACCAAGACAAAAATTCGAGACATGGAAAGGATCTTTTGACACTATTAAAATACAGTCTTTAGGGAAAGGAAAAAAAACAGTGTCTGCATGTTGCTCAGTTTTCAAAAGTGGAGAGTTTGATTTAAAGTGCTCTGGTCAACTACAACCACTGATGATGATCAAATTAACTTTGTCACAAATAACCCTTCGACAAGAGAAATCGCAGAAATGCTGAACCAATCTCATACAAATGTTTCATGGCATCTGAAACCAGTTGGATATATTTATTGGAATATGGATTCCAAACATATCGACTGAGAAATTATTGGACTGCATTTTTTACGATTCCCTCTCAAAATGCAATGTAAATGACCAATTTTTAAAATAATTGAGAGATGAAAATCGGATCCAACAACATGTTCAGGGTAGAAAATTCTGGGAGAAAATGCAACAACCTACTGTTAACAATTACAAAAGACAGATTACAAGAAGATTATATGGAAGAGGGTGCTTTACTATGAGATCCTTCTGTCCAACCAAACTGTCAATTCTTGTTACTGTCCACACGAATTGTGTTTATTTTCCACCAGGGTAACGCTCAGCTGGGATCTGCTATCCCATCCACCTTCGCATGACAATGCCCCTTCCGATTTTCCCTTATTCCAAGCCCTGAAAAACTATTAATGGGAAAAGCTGTAATTCACTTGAGAACTGAGGAAAACACACCGAGGAGTGCATCACACAATAACCTGAGAAGTTCTGGGAAGACTAAATTACAAAATTACATGAAAGATTATTGTTCATTAAATTTGTTTAGAAGTACCTTGAATTTTCATTAAATTTACCATTAATAATTTTAAAAAAGAATTATTTTACAACCCATTATAATAAAAACATACCGTGATAAAGGTAGCTGATGCGAAGTCTTTGGCAAACTGGGATGCCTGTTCTGTCTGTTTTATGTACCTATTTATTAAAAAAATATATATATTAACATTATTTCTGAACTGTGGTGGCCGAGTGGTTAGGGTGTCCGACTCGTATTTGCCATGCTAACAGTTCTGGGTTCGAATCCCGGCATAACCCGTGGGTTTTTTTAATGGATTATAGTATGAAAAATATACAACTCCCAACAGGTAGTTGGACATTAAGCGGTCCTGCACGACAGGAATTAATTTACTTATTTATTTTTATTAATATGATTCCTGATTTAAGTTATAAACATACCTATTAAGTTGAGAAGCTTCTTCAAGCCTCCTGTCTAGGAACTCCCAAGTGTTTTTATAATCTAGAGATGAATCTTGAAGCATGTAAAGCTCCGTAGCTTTATATATACCTGCAAGAGCGACTCGTTTCCCATACCAAATCATCTAGAGATTACATATATTAAACTATATGTATATTTTAATTTTAAAAAATAATAATTACATCTATTGAATGATCACCGGCATAATAGCAAATATCATCAACTAGAGTTAGGAGGTTGGCCAGTGCAGTAGGTATGTTCTGAGGTAGGGACATCAAAGCTAAAGCTTCCGGCCATTTATCTATATAGGGAATTATCATTCGCAGTCTTTCTTCTACGGCTTCAGCCATAAGTTCCCTCGTCCTGTTAAAAAAGTTTATTATTATAAAAAAAATTTTAATAAAAAGTCAAACTACTCTTACGCTGTTTTCTTTTCTTTGGGCAGTTCTGCGTATTTCAAGTCGAGAGATTCGAAGAGAAGGCTGTTCGAGGTCTTGTAGAAATGCTCGACCAATTCTATGCCGCCCTTGGGGAAAAAGCCGTGCGTTACACCCGGGTAACCGAGAGACTCGGCGCCGGCGGTTATGGCATTTCGGGACCATCCGTGAAAGTGGACGAACTGAAGGGACGAGTCGAGGATCTGAGCCTTCACAGAGTCTTCTGAACGCTTGTCGTTCAACTTGGCACTCCCGGCGGGAGGCTCGGTCGTTAAAAGTCGCTTTGATACACCTGCAAAGCCAAAGCAACGACTCAAATCGCTCTTCTGCCCCAAATTGACACAACCAATATAAAAATAATGAACCGGCTGGTTCATGTGCAAACTGTTATTTTGAAAAAGAAAAAATTGGCAAATATATTCCTACACTAATATCCAAGCATTATACAGAATTTTAATAATTTGAGTATCATAACTCTCAGTAATTTTTAAAATTTCTTTGCATATTCATTGCAATTTAGTCAAGAAAAACATAATTTATTAATCTTACAGTTAAACTTTCAGATACATAAATTCAATAAATCTAGCCACAATAAAGCCAAAGAAAGTACTTATAGTCCTTCAACTTATAGTTTAGTTTTGTTTTTTTTATAATTAAAAATGTTCAAAAAGTGTTTCTATTTAATATAATTTAAAGTAGGAGCAAAAAGGTTTTTGCAAAAAGCCAGAATGTAGCTGAAATTTTAATAAAACATGATATATTATCAGGTTCTTTAAGAATTAAAGCAAGTTGTTACTTAAATACAAAATTTATTTGACAGTTTTTCTAGGGTTTTTCTTTTCTTTTCTTTTTTTTATGTATCAATGGGGATTTCGACTTTGTTGACTTTTGAGTAGATGAACATTGACAACCGGCTCCGGAGACTGTCGATGAGGTCAAGAATTGTAAACGATTTGTCCAGGGCTTTGATCTGCTCATCAATTGGTACGTCGCAGGTGAGACCGAGGACTTTCTTTACATCCGATTCAGACCCTCGTTCCTGGCATTTGATCAGGCCATCCTTTTCGAATACGTGCTCTCTGCGCATCACCTCGATCCTGTGCTTCAGCGGGGTGAGATAATCGTCTTCAAGTTTTTCGATGTACTGGGCGATCCCCGTTATGTTGTCCTGATCTCGTATGACAATGAAACGCAAGAGATTGAGTGTACTTATTATGCGGTCTGAATTGCGCACAAGGTCGTCGTTCAGATCCATCGTGCAAAACTGTTGGAGTAAATATTTCAGCTTTGTGCCGGTGAACTCTTTCAAATCTTGACTGTCGTTTTTATCAAGCGTTTCCACGATGAAATCTTTAAGTATTGTAAGACCGTAACCGACCAATCCAGGGTCACCCGTTTTGTCCAGACTCGTAATCAGCCTGAATCTCCCTTCTGAATTAAACTTGTAAAGAAATTGTTTATAGATCTGAACAGATTTCTGCCTTATTGTTTTTGTATCACTGTAGACCATGGTGTGCGTGAGGACTTCGATGAACTTACTTACGACTGTAAAAGGCAAATTGTTTATAGACAAACTCTTATCACAAACCCTTTCGAAAAACTTCAAAGTCATTTCTGTCGCTTTTAACTGTGTCGGGGGATTCCTCATCGTCAGAACATCGTGCGTCATGGTCAATATGTTCTCAAGGATGTATTCAATTGAATAAACATGGGCGATTTCATTTAAACCTAGTTTGTGTTTGAAAAGCATATGATAAAAAACCATCAAAGAGAGATTTGTGTAATCCGCATCAACCGTCGTAGAGCTTAATGCATCATAGACGGAACAATTCACATCGATGCAACTTAAATAATGAAGAGGGTCGTGTTTATAAACTGAAATGAATTTAATAATTTTGCATGATATTTCGTAATAACTTTTTGTCTCGAGGTCCATGAAGGCTAACGGCCTTCCAAGAAGCTTGAGCAAAAATTTAAGTATAGTTTCAACATATTCGACCCTGTGCTTTTCCTTCACTTCAAACTGTCCAGTCTCAACTTCGCGTACGAAGGGTTCGAACATATTTATGATTGAATTATAGACTTTGATTATGTTTTTAGCTTCTGCGGAGTCTTCTTCGAGAAAACAGTCGTATTTCTCATCCTCGATTTCTTTCGGTAGGTCCATGTCGCACAAGTAACGCACGATTGTATTGCAGACCCAGATGATCGACGTGCCACGCTTGTTGGGCATTTTATGAAGGCAGGTTTTGAGAGCGTCCGTGTAAATGAGAAAGCCGGTGACGTCGGCCGTTTCGACAAACTCGAGCAGCTCGAGGAGCGTCTCTTCGGGCTCGTGCTGATCGGCAATCTGCCGGACAAGATCCTTGGCATACTCGAACACGACTGTGTTTTTCAATGCAGAGTCTTCGTTGAGGTACTTGCTCACTACAGAGAACAGCTCCTGCGAGCAACTCCCAACAAGTTTCTTGTTCTCCTCCCCGAATGTGAGGTCCCACGCGTCCGAGACTCGGTTTTCCTCAAGGCACTGCCTTACATTTTCAATCAGCTCTTTCTGATCGTCTGGCATATTTACTGTTGTTTTCCTTGAGCCCATCACTTTTTTTTCTTACTTTTTTCAGTCTCGTTCTGCAACAATTGAATAAGCCATCACGACAATGGTTGTTTCTTTTTAATGAAGTGAAGATGCATGATGAACATTAATTATTAATAACGCAACACCCCTGCAATCTAATAAAGTCAATCCTTTAAGATTTTTTTTTTTTTTAAATCAGAACTACACTCTTTATTCATTTTTTCTTATATTCTAACATTTATTTTACTATTTAAGTTATGATGTACATGCAAATACTTAACATAATGTTTTTTTAAAAGCTTAGAAACTATAAGGAATTTATCAAATTGACCAAGCCTTTTCTTAATCTTTCTAGTAGGATGAGACCACTAACGGCTTATTTGATGGTGGATGTTGGTCTGCGGGTTGAACACAAATTGTACTGGCACTGGGCCACTTTCTATGCTCGTCTACGCTTACAAGCCCATAAGTGACCCACCCACACATAGTATCAGTTCAAAAGACTAAATTACTATAAACTTAAAAAAATCTAAACATACTTTCTGTTGATAATTAAAAATGATTGAATTGTTCAAAACTATACTGTAAATAGCCGAAACCACCCCTAATGAGAGAATGCCCTACATATTTTGCTTTTTAGAGTAAGATATACAAATAACATTTCTTCTTTAGGTCAGCATAGTGATAAATCAGTTTGGTCAATCCATTCTTAACCAACAACGCTATGTTCTTTCGTTAATACATCTAGGAATTGTGTATTATTGAAAAATAAATAGAATTATATACTTTTGATATGTTTCCACGCATCAAAAACCTGGTTCCGATTTTTGAAATTGGGACGAGAAGCGTTCCAAATCTTTGTTTCAAATCGACACACTCGAAGACTGTAAAGTTGAGCCAACAGAAATAAAGCTTGTATCTTTTTAAAAAGATAGTTCTTACAACGATCCAGATTTCAAGCTAGCTATCGTCAGGTTGAAGGAATTTACAACCACATCTTTCAATGAATTGTAACAGTTATTAATCATATTATATTAGTCATTTCTAATAATCATTAATACATCTGCACTAGTTAGGAATCGTTATTATTAAAAAATAAAAAGCAGTAAATAGAAGTAAATAATAACTGTTGACTGATGATTACGGTTGATTTATATACAGTACAGATGATTCCCGAATGTGTGGATGCTTTGAGTTCGGCTACTTCACGAATATCCATGCACTTTGAAGCGGACAATTATTATGTATTATATTATCGGAAACTGACAATTGGCTGAGGCAAGCACCAAATATTGATTCAAATAACCGAGCACACATCCCTACCAGTTGAGATTTGGTGTACCTTAACTCGGCATTCGGCAAATCCTGCATATCTGGAGCCAACTATAGGCAGAGCATAAGCCAAAGTGTCGAGTACCTCACTGTAAAAGATCAGGCCTAGGAACGCAGAAGAAATAAAGAAAGACCTAACGGTTCAGGATTAGGTTTAGAGATGGTGTATGTCGCCAGACGTACAACTAAATATTGTGCAATGTCAACAAGAACAAACGAGGACAGGCAAGATCGGAGATAGTTTGGTGTAAAGTTAGTACATTTCCTTAAATATCTTTAAATTGAATTTATTCGCAAACCCTAAGCCTTGTTCATTTCTAAGACTATTGACACAATAAGACCTTTTGGTAATTAAACACCCAAAAGAGTAGAGAAATGTTATAAATTTGGCTTTATTCGTGTAAAAGGCTTTTTCAAAAACCTAAGCAGCCATGGTATAAGATTTTTTTGACTTTTGAATGACTCTTGGCATGGTTTTTTTTCCCCCCCAAATATTACTACTCACCGCAAATGTTCCTCTTATATGTAACGGGCCATCTAGAAATGACAAATACAATATTTCTCGCCATCATCAAAATGCCTAATATTTGAGTAATTAGCAGAGAGAGAAAACAAACATTGTACAATTATAGCGGACGACTGAACTGACTGAAGGTTATGCACCTGTTTTAGGTTTGAGATCTGTTTTAGGTTTGAGATGCTGTTATAGCACGTGCTTTCTCACTCATAAAAAGGCAAAAAAAATCCTTTTTTCATTTTCTTTCGAAGATTTTTTTGTTAAAAACCTTTATTGTTAAATAGTTTAAAGTTTAGAAAATTAATGGTGTTTGTAGTTTCGACTTGTGATCGTGACGATACGATTGTTTCCAACTTGAGAGGTCTGGCATTTAAGTTTTTAAAAATAGAACTTTACAGCCCCTTTTTTAAAATTTAAAATGAACACTCGCATCAAAACAATTGGCCTGCTGAACTGCTGATTGCTAACTGCTGACTGTCAAATGTATACCTTTCATCAGCATGAGGACCCAGATGGCACTAAACCCAGACTTTTAATTCAGTGTTCATCCCTCCTGATACCTCTGTTTTCATTATTTAATTTTTTAAATTTATTTTATTGTATAGAGCTTGTGTAGAGGACAGGAGATATTATATAAAAAAAATACATGCATTATAATTACAGACCAATTATTAACACATGACTAAACTTGTTTTATATCTGGATTTTTCTTGGTTACATTTACATAATTATTTAGGTTATATTTTTGATTAATAGAAGTAATAAAAATACTTTTCATATTTGTAATTTCTTTTCTATCTTTTTAATAAGAAATTCATTTCCAATGCAGATCTATTAGATGGATTAAAAATAAGTCCTCCGATTAACAGGAATGTAGCCCAGGAAAAAATCATCGAAGGACAATTGCACAACTAACTGCTAAATCTAGAAAGTGTTTGAACTGAACCCAGGCTTGGGGTGTCCAGCGCTATGAAACAATTGAAACCCTACAGCGCTATTTTATCTGTAAAATTTATCATCTCCCTTCTTTCACCCCTAACTACATGATCTACCTTGAGACCTCAGCTGAACTTTTGTTTCAATTTACATTAAATTTGCATGCTTCCTATGTCTGCAGGGTCCTAGACCTTTCTAACTACCGCCTTTCCAAGAATATTGCGCTGAAAATCTTATGGTCCAAAATAACATGGTTCTCTTCCTGGACTTGGCTCAACAATTTCAGCTGAATGACAATTTTTCCCTGGACAATTTTAAAGAGTGGCCATTTTTACACTCAAAATTGATCAAATCCGCACCTCTCACACAATGAAATGTCTCCTTCATACTCAAAATTCCTCTAGGTTTTTGCTGTATAAGGACCTATCAGTCATTCTTTATTGAACACAGCGCAAATTTCTAAACTTCCAACCATTCCGCTAGCTCACTGGTTTTTCAAAGTTAGGTGCAAGTTACTTCATCTATAACCCCACAAGAGTCAATGGTTCCGATAAGTACTCTCTCTGCAACAGGCAAGCTCGATAAGATTGTTTTCACTTTTTAGCAGAATTCCTAGCACGGCATATAGGTCTGCCCACGTTGACAATGAGAGCACCTAATCTCTTTATTAAATAACCCCGAGTCCTTAAAATTAGTAAAGTTTGTGATGGAAGCCTGAAACTACAGGAAAATACTAGTTTTTTTATTTCAATTATTAAATGTTTATTGTATATATCAGACACCCTGGTTATTTATATGTGCGTAACTGTATGTAAATATACATAGATATGTTGTTATTTTAGTTTACTTATATAGTTTTTTCTCTCTTGTGTTTATTCCTAGAGAAGAAATGTGTTGTTTGTTTATTAAAAATTTATAATCCGACTCCGGCAGACAGTTGCTAACCATCGCCGTTATGTGCTTTTTAGTTATGTACAATCTTTTTCTTTCTTTTGTTTATCTAATAAAGTACTTTTTTCATTCATTCACGTGTTAGAACTGGAATAATTGTTGGACTGTTGACTGGACACCAGAGGCTTATGCATAGACTTGGAAAGGCGGAAATAACCCTTGTGCAGTCCTTGAAAAAGCTTTGGCATCTGGTAAAAAGCCATAAGCTTAATGAGGAGTAGACAACAATGAAGATGCACAATAGACCAATACTCATACTCAAACTCCTCTTATCTAATCAACATCAAGAAACAAATTAAAAAAAAAATTAAAATAAAAAATTGCAAACTGGTGCTTGAACAATGAAACAATCAGGAAGAACTATAAGCTATCAGCATCACCGTTTCTTGCTTTACTATGGACGGACAATCATCTATTGACAAAATCAGTTATCCTTGCTGCATACATTCTATACTGATAGCCCTGAAAATTATGCTGAATGAAGAAACTGACTGGAAAATTGCCATTAATAAAAAAAAAAGAACTCTGCAATTCATGGGAATGAGAAAGATTTGGCAGTACAGGATAAGAAATTTGGTCCTTAACGATCATCTGGATCTACCTATACTTGCCGGGTCGGTTAGACAACACCGAAGAAGGCAAAATGCCAAAATGTGTATGACAACCAACCCAGGATATTTCATGATTTAACACTTCTAAGTATTTTTTCTCCTAAACGTTTCCTTTGAACAGAGGAAAAAAGGAAATAGCTCGAGAGAACTAATGACCTCAACATTTTTTAGCCAACGAATGATCCAGTCCCTCTTGCAAAAGTTATACAAGTCCACAATCCATCCTAACACTGTTGCCCAAGCCTCGGCACTTTTCCATCCCGAGAACCATGTTCTACTTCGGCCTCGAGACCTCCTTGCCCCATTTAATCCCACATATTTAAGTGCCAGCGCTGGCTGGTTTCTCTTAATATGTGACCAGGTACTGGCCAAAGTATCAGTGTTGAGACCAAAAGAAAGAAAAACACAAATTTGTCAAATGTATTTTTATATGTACAGACTGTCCTATTCACTTTCAAAATATTAAATTTCATGTTCTAACAGTCATTCAATCTTTTAATCATATTAAATTAAAAAAGGTCCGCTTGACCGATTAATATCTTACAATTAATTAAGGTTTTTAGTTGAGATAAAAAAGTCAATGGCACGAGCGGGATTCGAACCCACAATCTTCGGCTTGATACGCCGCTGCTCTAGCACTTGAGCTATCGTGACCTCGATCCACTCGTACACCAACCTCCCATCTCAACCAAATATCGCGTATCAAGCCGAAGATTGTGGGTTCGAATCCCGCTCGTGCCATTGACTTTTTTATCTCAACTAAAAACCTTAATTAATTGTAAGACTTTTAATCATAATTACTTAGAATCACTTATCTTCAAACTTTCTCAATTACCAGAACATATTAGCTAGCAAATTCCTATATTATTTTATTTTATTTTATTTCCAATATGCTTGTAGGGCTCCTGAGACACCTTGATAGTTACATTGTGGTCTTTAAATTCACTGTTTTGTTTATCTTTCATGTTTTTTGTATAAGTCTGTCCAACACATTTCTGCATTTTGTAATCTTTAGTATGTCTAGAATACTCGTATTATATTTTTTTGTTCTGACAGGTGCAAGGTCATTAATAACGCATGTTTGGACCAACAGCCAAAAAAATACCATATTCAAAAAGGAGAAAAAAAAGGTAAAATATTGAAGGCCTGTTGAGAAAAGTTTACTTTCTTTCTACAACTGTCTTGATTTGTTAATTATTGTACTAGGTGAATCATGCTGAAGGGGTGTTTGTCATTTCTGTAGCTGCCGATGTTGTATCGCCTGATGGCGGAGGTGCTTCTTTTATCTCGAGCCAGGGGAACTTCTTGTTCAATTCTTGCCTGAAAGCAACAATTTGTCAGTATTCGACTGGAAAAATACTACATGGAGCTTACCGGTATTTTGGATGACTTATAGCGTAGACATAAGGATCGATGCATGCCACGGCTTTGCAAGCACAAGCTGGTATCATCGTTACACCCGGAGTTAAAAGATTTCTATTTAAAATATTTTTTTTAACTAAAAAAATTTCTTATTGAGTATAAGTCAAACATACTGGTTTCCAAAGGCACCAATCAAGGCAAGGACAGCATACGGTGTCCAGGAGGTGACGAACAAAAAGCATATCGTTATCGCTGCTTTTGCTATTCTTATTTCAGTAGACGTCTGCTGCATATTGGCGTTACTTCTTAGCGACTCGACATTCATTTTTTTCGCCTTTGTTAAATATCAGTTATAAAATTGATTTTTTTTTTTTTTAATAAATAATTACCTGTTCTCTCAAATTGTGTTCATGTATAATTACATGGGAAACCATCTGTGAATAAAAATATATGACTAGACTGAGCGGAATAACGTAGCAAATGGCGAACATTGTGGCGACCCATGAGCGAATTTCATCGGTCTGTGTGAGATAGTCGAAAGTACAGCTTGTCAAAAAGCCCTCTTAAAAAAATTGAATTTGTAATAATTTTATTTAAATAAATAGAAATTATCGAATCGCACCTGGTACATATCTAGACCATTGGTTGAAAAGAGGAAACAAAGCCCATGGAGTGACATATATCCAGATCAATAAAAGATACAATAGCGCTTTTCCGACTGTCAGCTTTGGAGCGAATGGCGTTGCGATTACTCTTTGAAAAAAAGAAATATTGAAAAAATATTTATATATAGTAAATTGTGCCATAGCTCAGTGTTATTACCTGTAGCGATCATAAGCTATGATTGCATTTGTTGCCGAAGCCCCAATACCAGAAAATGCTCCAACAGTTCCAAACACCTTTTTAAATTTGTAAATTTTGTATACGACTAACTTTTATACTACCTGACATCCTAAGTTGCCTAACGCAAAGCCCAATTTGAAAGAATTATATATGAAAATTGGAGTTTTCAGCATCATCAGGAAATCGCATATTGCAAGATTGACGACGAACACATTCGAAGGGGTTCTCAATGACCTTACCCTTTTACACACACAAATAAAAAATAAAATAAAGAACAAAATATTATATAAAATTACTTACGATGTGAATATCCATATGACAAGCCCATTCCCAACAAGAGAAACGATCGTCAAACCGATGTATAAAATTCCAAGTATGTAATTGTACAACGGCTTAGGCTCTGGATAGCTCAGCCAATGTTCTGGTATGTGTTTAAGCTCTTCTGGGCTCAAATTCCATCCGAGCAGTTTTATTGGACTCACCCTTTTAAAACAGAAATAAGATAAATTGTAAAAAAAAAGTTGAGTGATCGCTTACCTTGGCTCCGGTGCCCAGAATGTGTTGTTGTCGCACGACCCATAGTCACAAGGTTCCATGCCTTGGTGAGCGTTTCCAGTTTGCCCGGGGTCTTTTTATTTATTTACGCTAATCGGATAATCTACTGAATTGCTTATTAGATTATTAGGATCAAGCCTTAAAAATTCCAAAGTTCAGGCAAATCCGCTTTGATACGTTGATAAAAGGCCAGAAGAATTTGATATAGTTTAATTTTGGTTATTTGCTATAATCTTAAAAATTGATGAATAATAATACATTATTACCAACAATGAAATACATCTGCCACTACTGCCTTTTGATGTTTTTAATTTTCAACATATTTTATCTATTCTATTATAAATTGTTTATTTATAGTACTTTAAACAAAAATGATGACAGAAATTATCAAAATATATAAATAGCAAAGAAACAAAATGGAGAAAATCTGCCCAAATCAGATTTTTGGTTATCAATAATTGTCATAAATTAAAACATTTTTTGAACAATTCTTTTAATTAAAAATGTTTGTCTAGGTTAGATTTAACAAAAATATGATAGAAATTACAAATCATATCAATAATAAAGGAAAATAGCAAAAAGAAGTAAATCTGCCACTTCTTACTTTTTCCTGTTTATATATTTCAACATATTTGCCATATATTAAGTATTTATGTTTATATATAAGCAGGTTGAGACACAGGTGGTCACCAAAATGTCTAATAACAATAAGATACGGCCCGGTATATACCCATGAGGTACTCCACGCTCAATGAACCTATTAGCGCTTAGAGTGGTTCCCATCCTTACTCAGTGGGTTCGCTCTGTCAAATATGATTGAAACCACTGCAATGGACTCCCCCTGATGCCCATGTCATTCTAGATTTTTGGCACAAAATTTTGTGAACTAGCATACCAAATTCATCAGTTATGTTCAAAAATAAACCTGTCACCATCCCATATCATGGTACACTTTTTTTACCCAAATTTCTTACAATTTCTAGAGATATCATACAATTGCCAGTAATATCACGTTTAAAATATTAAAAATTAAGTCAAATTCCCTTTTCATGTTTCCTAAGGTGAAGAGTGAAGGATACTCCTGAAATCATCCTTGGTCAGGGTTTATGGTGTAAATTCGTCTTATGAGGTTCAACCCATGGCAAAATCCCCTGCCCAGTAATGGTCGTTGTTTTCTTTAGATATATTCTTTTTTTTTCAGTTATTGTACTATTTTTATATTTTAAATTCAATATCATTGTGCCCAACTGGCCATGATGCCATATGTGTATAGCTTAGAGCCAATCAGCTGCTAGAACACCACATCCTTCTCAATGGACTACACTGGGCTGACCGTGTACAGTCTGAGGATTACAGTTTTTCAGGTGTATAGTCAAGATACTGGAAACGCAGCTCCAGGACACTGAGGTGTATTACAGTCCACGGTGTGAAACCGGTCAAAGTTGGCCCCGCAATGTTTTGAGAGCCCGAGGTATAGTTGAGTCTACTCAGAAGCTACTCAATGTGCGACATAACAATCACACTGAAACTCCTTCTAGGCAGACAACAGAGCCTAATTTGTTTGCTTACACTGCCAGGAAAACCACCGGCAAGGGAAGGTGAGAATGTCTTCATCTAGGACCCTTAAATCCATGGCACCAGTTGTCAAAATACCCACTTCCAAGAGAGGAAGAAGGAAGGCCAACTAAGAGTCATAGTTACTCTAGTGTTTGTGTCCTTGTAGCATTGTTGTTGCTGGTCCTGACTTCATTGATAAAAAAGTCTTCACCTCCCTAATTTAATTCTTGTTCATTGACAATTGGACAACCAATATATTTTATATTTTTCTTAAGACCGCTGTTTATAACAAAAGAAAATTAATAACAAATTATCGGTAATGACTAAATTATACGACTATTTTGCAACTACTCCTGAGTACATACTATGTGTTTAACAATTTTAATTAGCAAATTACAAACATTGCACCAGAGTTCATTTAAGCAGTGCAAATGTTTTCCTATGGTTCGTCGAAAAATGCACCACCCCGTATACAGGGATGTTGCAAGCTCATTAGTCATTGGCTGCCTGCCTTAAAGGTGGTACCATTGCTGAAGCAGCAGCGATGCCTAGTGAAAGTGGTATTTTTCGGTAATCATAGGTTAACACAATATGTTTTGTGTTAACCTACGTTCTGATCTATCAAGCAGTAATTTTTTAGTCATCATCTGACACAATGTGTTTTTTATAATTTTTTTTTAAATTGTTAATAGTAAATTACACACAATTGAAAGCTATGATTTTAGTTTTGAACAGACACTATTATTCTTAGACGATGTAATTGGAGGATGTGAAGCTTGGGCTTCTGGATTGGCCATGGAAGTAACTCCTCGTAAAGATCATTTTGCTTACACAAGAGTCATAGCAGAGAGTAGTATAAACGGTGTCCAGGGAAAACACCCGTTTGATGACGTTCACCATGTTCATACTCTGTTGAGTCTCGATAAGCGTGTCCGGTGGATGATACTTGAAAAGGATCTTGCAGAATCTTCCGTCCACAATCCTCTCCTCAGTCTCTTCGTCGAGCCGGAACTGTTGCTCGATCTGTACCAGCTTGGAAAAGTATTTCAGGATGTATTTGCCGGAGGCAAAGTCGAGGATGAAATGGGTCGGCATCATCTTCATGGCGATCTTCCTCTTGAAGAAGTTGACGCCCAGTTTCTGCATGTATACGTCGAAATCCTCCATCCTCGTCAGCCTGTATATCAGACCTATGTACTCGTTGAGAGGAATGTCCCCGGACGATGAGGACTGTGTGATCGAGGAGTTTACATTGATGTTCACATCCTCCTGGTGTTTGTTCTTCTTCTTTTTCGCCTTTTTCCTCTCCTTCCTTTCTTTCTTCATTTTCTTCTTCTTCACTCTCTCCTCTTTGGGCAGCGGCTTTAGGGTCTGAATGCTCCGACTCCACTGAGCCTTCAGCCAATGGAACATGGTTTATCTGTTGGCTTTCAATTTTCTTAGGACAATTACAGATTGAACCTCATGTTTCATATGCAGCAGAGCTACTTAATTGGAGAATCCTCAATATGCCATGACTGCAAAACGACAACTTTCTTCCTTCCACCCCCATCTCACGCTTACATCTTGTGTCATCAATGTCAAGACTTACATTTTACACATGGGACAATGAAAAAATCCATTTACACTTATGGTAAATAAATAAATAAAACACCTGTAATTGGAAGTTAGTATTTTCTAAAAATTTCTAAAATCAAAAATTAAAGCTAAGTATTAAGATATAAGTTGCTTGGTTCTTCAGATGCAAAGATGTCTTAACGAATGGCATAAATTTAACCACAACAAACTGAGGGAACATAAGAAAAAGGTTAAATATACTTATGCTGGAGTAAATGGTCTTGGTATGACTAAGAATAGGACATTGCAAGTTTACCAATAGATTCCTCATGTCAAGGGAACCTCTTATTTGCCAAAGCTGTACGAACTAACGGTCAATTTGACCTTGATAGGAGGACATGTGGTAGTTTGGTCTGTCTGATAGTTTGGGTTGGAATAGTCAATCCTTCAATTTCTTAAAGCTGACTGATCTGTTTTCTGAAATTTAATATTTAAAATACTAATGTACAAAGTAGAGTGGCAGCAGGTGCTCTGGGTCTGGGGTTTCCTGAGGTACTCAACAGAAAGGAACTGCTGAACGTACAATAACTCTCAATGAGGAAGAAGAAAAATCTGCTTGTGCTTAATTATCTTAACAAAATCATCAAGCTATTTTTCTACACCGCCTGTAAAGTTAACCAGAATAAACTGAGTAAAATTAAGAGAAAGTCCATTATATTTAGTGGTCGGATTGACCAAATTACTTCTTTCAATTAATTAATCTTTTTATGTAAGATATGATGTTCGTTGATCGACCTGCAGATAATCTAAATAGGGTCGCAATCTTTGTACAAGTCATTAGACTGTCTTGATAGCTTGAGTGGTTAGAGCAGTGGCGTATTGAGCCGAAGGTCGTTTGTTTGAATCCAGCTCGTGACACTAACTTTTTCATTTCAACCAAAACCTTACATAAAAAGATTAATTAATTGATTAAGAGAAAAGATAAATAATGACCCTATGCTTCGAACAGCCTGTAAGGTCTTGGCACACCTGAGAATAGGACATAGCAGGTTTTCATATAGACATCTTACGATTTGCCAAAGCTATCAGGAACTGTTTCTGATTTGACCTGTAGAGGAGTCATGCAGTACATCTGATAGTTTGTGTTAATGTCTGATGATAGTTACGGAATAAACAACCTTTTCAATTTCTTAAGGCTGACACAATGTAAATAGCGCTTTACTAATAAGGGGGGGGGGTGAAGAGCACGTCCTTGGAGGATTCCATTTACGAGACAGAGAATATGATCTGGAGTAATGATTGCCAATTCGTATTCTAAAAGATCGTTTATCGATGAAATTGCTGGTAAAATTTAGAATTTCTGATATTTAAAATTCAAAACACTAGCATTCAAATTGGAGTGATTGGTGTTGTGGGCCTGGGGTTCTCTGCGAGTAATCAACAGCAAGAAACAGCTGAACATATGAGAATTCTATAATGACAAAGATGAAAAATCCGCTTATGAATTAAATTATTTTCAACAAAAATCAACAATTAATGAGCCAGATAAGGGCCAGTAGAATGAAACTCCTTAGTACTACTAATCCAGTGTCCAAGTCCAGATTATGACACTTAACCCAAAGAATCAGAGGTACTGCAAGGAGCTAACAACTCAAAAATAGATGTCTATGGATAAAAAAAAATTGTTTTAATGATAAAAAAAATGTAAACTGAATTTTATATATATTAAGCTATTAAATAATCACCCTTAAATAACTTAATTTTTTTTAATATTGATTATTGTTAACAATCACGTAAATTAACGGTGTTTTAATTAATAAATACTATTATTTTTTATTTTAAAAAGTATATTGACCTTAATCGAGGAAATTTTGTAAAAAAAATTTTACCGGTTGATAATGATTTGTGGTTACAGAAAAGGAAGGTTTCTTCTTAATAGACAAGTTCCTACTGTCAAACTTAGTCCGTTATTGTCTTATATAAAAAGGTAGTCGGCATGATGGTGATTTACGTTATTTTATAAAAAAAAAAGACTAGAAAAAGAACATCCAATGTCCACTCTACTGCGAATGAAGGCCGGGTTTCTGGGTGCCCTGAGGAGGAACTTGGCCACCGGCCCTGGCAGGGGAGGCAGGCAGGACCATAGGCTCAGGTCTACCGTCTACTACGTAGGAGCTATCGGCGTTCTCGCCGTAGGATTGACCTACGCGGCGGTACCTTTGTACAGGATATTTTGCCAGGTGAGATGCATTATAGACGAGTTAAGACAAATTTGCAAAATTCGAGACAGCTGGTGTGTTGGGTATACAAATCAGACGTGACAAGATTATTTTTCTTGTCGTCATGTACATGACAATTGACAGCAGTTGGAGCATGTCAGGTCTGGTTGTGTGAATGGTTATCCATACCAGCCGTCAGACGCCATGATTGGTTTGTTACAATCATGCCATATTAAGAAAAGGTCGACTACATTAAAAATGTATTTGTCATATTATCAGGTCTGACTGTGTAAAATAGACATGACAGATTTTTTTTTATAAGATCACTTTGATTGTGTAGTTTGTGTCAGTCTGATATTAAACAGTTATCCATTCTAGCCATCGGACCCGATACTCATGGCCCCAAGAGACGACATGAACAGAATGAGTTGAAGCGAAAGTTCCAAACAAATTTATGTACCAAAAAGAATAGGAAAGAGGGAAAAACCCTTGATGATCTAGAATGCAGGAAAGTACGAAGGCAGGAGTATCAGTCTGGGAACCAAATACTCAGAAACTATGGGAAAATACACGTTTCCAGGCTGAAGTACTATTGAGAGATGTACCCAGTTCAACTTGAACAAAGGGTAAAAAAACAAGAAAATCCTCTCATGCTAAGCGGCCATCAAACAGCCTGACGTCCTTGGAAAGGGGTGTACTGCTGATAGGTCCTGAACCTTTCTGTGGCCTAGGGATTCAGTGAATATTGAAAGCAGTTGGATAGCAGGCTTTATGTTTTCTGTTGTCAAGTTTGTTAAATGGTTTATCCATTCTAGCCATTGGCCAGAAAGGAACCACCATGTATGTCTGTCTTATTATCAGGTCTAATTGTATGAAATAGTTATTCTTTCCACCAGGCACCATGACATGTTTTTCTGAAGGTGGCTCCAGAAGTGTGAGATTCGCCAAATGTCAAGCATAGGCCGAATTCCCAACTAGTGTGGATGGGTGTTTGTAGCCACTACACAAAACAGTAACTACAGCTGTATCAATGACAGTTTCATTGTTGCCCATCACTATTGGTAGTAAGTTGAGGACTTGCACGGCACTTGGCAAATACGTATTGATGTTCACAACTGGTTGGTTGTATGATCCCCGCATGTGTGGACGCAAAGGCTTGCTATTGATGGATGCCAAAACGAGCATCTCGAGACTTGACAAATGTTAGGCAGCAATTGGTATTCGGTGAATACCGCATGTCTGGAGCCACCTTTGTATCCTTCTTCTCATATTGTATGTGATGTTTGATGGCATCAGATGGCTTGTCACAGTTGCCTTGATGGTTTCTTAATATCAGATCATAATTTATGCAATAATTTACAGCAGACGGATTGTATGTTGTATGTTTCCTTTGATCAGGTTATGTGAACTGGTTATCCGTCACACCTTGGTTGTATGTTATTAGATCATACTGTATCTATCAGTAGTCGGATGGCATGTAGTTTGTTTATATTATCTGATCTAAATCCGTTCCAGCCATCAGATGCCTTTATAGTTTGTTACTATTAGATCATAGTGTACCTATTAGTAGTTGGATGGCATGTGGTATATTTACATTATCTGTTCTAAATCCGTTCCAGCCTTCAGATGCCCTGATCTTTTTTCTTACATATTGTGTACATAATCAGATCTGATTGAAATTTTCGACTGTCGTATAGTTTTTTTTTCTCCACATAAGAATTCAGCTCTCTTGAACATTTTAAAATGTTTACTAATCAAACTAAAATATTTTGAAATAAAACTCTATTTCACAGGCGTACAGCTATGGAGGAACGACAGTGACCAACACGAAAGATGTTGAAAACATGAAGAAGGTAAAACATAGAGAGATAACAGTAAGATTCAATGCTGATAGAGGTGCTAACATGAGGTGGAATTTCAAACCACAACAGTCTGAAATCAAGGTTTTTTTTGTTTTTTAAATAAATGTTTAAATTTAGTATTTACAGTTTATTGTTATATTTATTCTAGGTGTTTCCTGGAGAAACAGCATTGGCGTTTTATAAGGCTAAAAACAGTACGGAATTTCCAGTCACTGGTATCAGTACTTACAACGTCGTTCCTTTCGAGGCTGGACAGTATTTCAACAAGATTCAGTGTTTCTGCTTTGAAGAGCAACTGCTCAATCCACACGAAGAGGTGACCGAGTTTCATTTATTTTATAATAAATTTATTCGTAAATTCATTTTTTTTTTTTTTTTTTCAGGTTGACATGCCTGTATTTTTCTACATTGACCCTGATTTCACGGAGGATCCTAGGCTAGAACTAGTCGACACAATAATCCTTTCTTATACTTTCTTCGAGGCGAAGGAAGGGTTGAAGCTGCCATTACCTTCATTCTTGAAAGCGCACGCTTCGTAATAAGTCGATAATTATATATTTTATTTTCAAAGATGTACATAGTGGTAATTTTGCACCATTGTTAAAAATGGCTTTCAAGGCATAAAACTCTGTTTAATAAAAATCGATGAAATTACTATTTTACTTTCATTAGACAAACCCGATCGGATAGAAAGCCAGTGTATTCAATTATAGTAATGTTGACAAGTAAATGTTTCATTTACAACCTTCTTCCTACATGATATAATTTTTTTTTTAAAGAAACATTATTTTATTCACAGAAAAATTTATCTGTATATAAAATTATTGCTTACAGGTACCAGATGGTCTGAAATAGGAAGTTTAAAATTTTTGTAAAGGCATGCAACCGCTATGGGTCATAACCCTGAACAGAATAATGATGAAGGCGGTATAGCAAAAAACAGAAACCAACGACCGGCTTGCCTATGCTATAGGCTTTTCAACACACTTGCTTAAGCAATTGACAAACAAAACAATCATGGGCTAAAGACAAGGGATTTGCAAGCCTATGTGCCATCTACATCATCTACATCCCTCAAGTATGCAGTAAGGACATAACCTAGATGTACTGTCAATATCAGTACCACAGCAGCTTCATTTGAGGCTGATTAGTCCAAGTTGGTCGGAAACCTTAGCATCTTGCAGTCACTTGAGATTCTTTGGGTTTTATGTCATCTTTAGAAGGACACCAGTTGGTAGTACTAAGGAGTTTCGGTCTATAGACATTTTTCTAATTACAGTGGAAACCCATTTGTTAAAACATTATAATAACATTAATATAAACGACGAATTAAGTCCCATAGTTGAATTATGAATTTTTAAAAATTAATACACATGCATTGAGAAATATGAAAAATTTATTTTAAAAAAAAATATATATATATATTTTAAAATAAATTTTTCATATTTCTCAATGCATGTGTATTAATTTTTAAAAATTCATAATTCAACTATGGGACTTAATTCGTCGTTCGAAATTTATAAAGGCCACCAAATCAAGGCCCTTACACTAGACACACAATCAGAGAGGCCGACAGTTATGTTTTTGTTAAAATGTGTGTATAAGGCGTCGGCTTCTTTGAGGTGGAAAGAGCCAACGAAGGGAAAAAATGTGTTGGTAATGGTTTTGCCAGATTATCCTTCCAGGATTATATAGAAAGGGATAAATAGGAAAAGGAAAGCTGAATTGTCGGGAAATTAGACAATGTGAAAAATATTTGATGTGTGGAATGTAATGTGATGATATATGTATGTTATCTGTATTGAATGTGATTAATGATATTGGCGTAGCTGCGACTGAGTTTACATGTATCTGTTCTGTAATTGATGCTGTATTTATCTCGGTTGATATAAACAATTTCTAAGAAATTACATTTATATTTGTTTTGTTCTGTATGTAATATTTTTGGATTTTTGAAGTCGAAATTGTGTTGGTGTTCAAAATGGTGGGTAGCGAGTGCTGTAGGATTTTGCTTGGGTTTTTTGCAATCATAGATATGTTGCTTTACTCTCTATAAACACAAAATAGCAAAATCTCACTGGCACTCTCGACACGACACGCAAGAATGGCACAATTACACAGAAGACAAACACTTTGAGTGAGTAGAAATACTTTGATTGAATATATAAAATATATTTTGCATTGTATAAATTCACTTTTCCACATCCAAAATGTAATATGTAAACAATGTTTGTAAATCCCAGGCCCTGAAGATGATCTCAATAAAGATCGAAACGTTGGCACGATAAAGAAAATGTTTTTCTGAAACCTACATCACACCAGACTCTGCATCTCACGATTTCTAAATAAATAGTTTTTGTTAAAAATGAATAAATAAAAAAAGGTGCATCCTATTTCAAAAGACAGAAATTGTTGTGTTGTGTTGTTCTTATGTTGGCTTCCATAAAGGTTTTTTTATTACGTATATTTTTATTAGGTATGTTTTATGTATAAATTTTTCGAGATGTCCGGACTTAAACAAAACTAAAACTATCTATTATTTTAAATATAACTTGATATATGAATGAAAGTGTTCACTTTCATGTTTTTTTTCCTGTTTTTATGACACAATACTAATAAAATCACAAATTTTCAGATTATCCGGACTTTCAATCATCTGGACTAGTCCGGGTACTTTCAAGTTCAGATAAACGGATTTCTACGGTAACTGTTTGATGATTTTTGTTGAAGATAATTTAACATATATAGATTTTTCCTCTTCTTCGTTGTGCTTTTACGGGTTCGACTGTTGTGTACCCTAAGCACCTGCCATACCACTCTAATTTGAGTGCCACTATTCTAAACTTCAGGTAAAAGATCAGCTGGCTTTAAGAAATTGAAGTGGTTTTCTATTCCGTGACTATCATTAGATAGACCCAAAGAACCACATGTACTCTCCAGGACAAATTGAAAACATTTGCTTGACTGTTAGTTCATGACAGCTTTGGTAAATCAGAGGAGGTTCCCTTGCCATGAGGAATCCATCGGTAAACCTACAATGGCCTACCCTTAGTTGTGTGAGGACCGTTTCCTCCTTCCGGGTTGTTTGAACAGATTTAAACCTTTCTCTTAGATGGCCCCTCGTTTGCTTGAGGCTTTTTACCAGACCCCGAAGCTTTTTCAAAGGCATGAGTATCCTTCAGGCCCTGGCTTTTCCTCTCACAGGATTAGGACTCTTATCCTACATAGGCCTTTGCACCAACAGAGGACGTGTTCTCCTGTTTCTTCTTCTTAGCAATATCTGTGCATGCTTATTTCTTCCACTCCGATTCTAGTCCTAGCATGTCCTAGATTTAGCAGTTCTGCGATGGTCCTTTGATAAACTTTTTCCCAAGCTTCTGTTTCGGGCTATATTCACATTAAGCAGAGGACTTGTTTTTAATCCATTGTCTAATGGATCGACGTTTTTGGCTGTTTGGTAAGCCATAAAACTGTTCAGGGCAAATGGGTGTCCTTATTGAATTTTCCTTGGCCAATTTATCCACCTCTTAATTGCCTCGTGTCCCTTGGCACCCAGACAAGGGTACGTTTGTTATTTTCCGAAATGTCTGACAGGGCTCTAATCCGTCCCAAATGATTCTGGAAACCTTTCTCTTAATTTCTTTCAGTTTTTTGTGGTTAACTTCATGCAAAAAAGTATTTTATCTTATTTAACATAACCTCGTAGTTTAAATAACCTCATAAAAAATTAAATTATTGTTATTATTATTATATTCATATTTAAAGGTGATAAATGTAAAGGAGGCAATGTATTAAAAATGTAGTGGACAAATGCACGGCGTTTAGTCTAGGCTAAACCGTAAATACCGTTCGGTCTTGCCGAACTATATATCTAGTAAGTTTTCGTCTAAAAGAAATGTATATATAACTTACAAATGAGCTTTTTTCAAAAACACCGACACCCGTGGGTTCATATAATCTCGTAGTTTAACTATCCTCATAAAAAAAATGTTTGGCAATTCTGCTGGCGGCTGTATATCCAAGCAAAATATGCTGTCGTTGAGTTATTTTGTTTTATTTCGCAAATATCTTTATTAATTAACATGATTATTATTATATTCATATGTAAACGGGACAAAGCATTAAAAAAAAGTAGTAGGCAAATGTACAGCGTCTAGTCTAGGCTTAATCGTCAATACCCTTCGGTCTTGCCGAAATATATATCGAGTAATGTTTCTGTTGGGGTCAACTGGTATTATTTACTTTTTTGTCTATTTTTAAACGGTTATTTTTCATTTAACAATTTGCTAAAAACTAGAGTGGATTTATAATCTATGTATAATAATATTAAGGTAGTTTTAAGTAGTATATAAGCAGGTGCGATTGGCCGTAGGCTTAATTGCGTACAGAGTTTTTGATAAATCAGCGTGGAGAGTGGGGAGACAAGTGTGACGTGTTGAGAACGAGCGTGCGAGCCTGCAGAAGCGTTCCTTTCCTTCTGCCTAATTTTTGTCTACTCTCCATCGCTTCTCCGAGGCTGAGAGCCGCGTTGTACATCTGTGCTAACTTACTTTACGAGTTATCTACGGAACTGAGAGTCAAGAATCTACAAACTTCGTGGATCATCTGTTCATTCTAGCACCCAGCTCCATCTTTTCCATTTCCATCCAGCCTGCAGCATCTTGGATACTAACACTCGGTCAGATTGTTCCTTTTTATTGTATATCTATTAGTTATATTAATATCTTCTTTTAGCTTTACATTATTAATTTTATTACCATAATTGACCTGTGTTATTGCATGCAATTCTAATTCTTCTCATGTGAATTTATAGTATCTGTTCTTATATGTTTATATATTTTTAATTACAACTTGTATTAACATTATAACTCATTTTATAAGCTCAATCCTGCTCTCGTTATTAACAAATTCTTGAATTAATATTATATTAATAATAATATAATTAGCAAATTATATGAATACATTTCAGGAATTGGTTTGTTTGAAGACATCATACCCCTTCCATCAGTGTGAGGGGGTCATTCGTGGAAAACAGGTAAAAATACATTAGAGTTGGGATACCCTAAATCTTCTGGAGCCCTGATTCAAACAGTTTCGTTAAAGAAAAAGGGTTATTTTTCAAAACCATCCTGAGGGCTAATTCATATAACCTTGTAGTTGAAGTATCCTGGTAAAAAAAGAAAGAGGCCCTAAGTGAGAGCCCCGAGGAATTCCTCAAATAACTGTAAATTTAGTAAATTTAAAAGATTCAGAAATATTAACTTTGACTATTTGGGATCTATTTTTATTTCAATCTTCTTCATTTATTTTTCCTTTATTTTTTATCTTTCTTTATAGTATAGTGTAGTTTAGTTTTATTGAAAAATAATACTTTTATCCAAAAAAAGGTCAGAACTTTTTGTTTAGTTCAGCTAACATTACCATGGATCATGTTTAGGTCAGCTAACGTGACTATCCGTTTGGCAACCTAAGAAATTAAAAAAGTTAAAAGTTATTTTTACATTAATCAGTTTTATTATACATACTTGTTGCTAATCAGACCTGTAATGAGCATGAACAACATTAAAAATTGTTAATTTATGTAATAAAATAAACAAAATACTTGCTGAAACATGTCACAATACTGTTTTATTGTATAATGATATTTTGGTTAAAATAATAAATTTTAAAGATTTGTTAATATAACCTCGTAGTTTAAATAACCTCATAAAAAATGCAATTATTATCATTATTATATTCATATTTAAAGGTGATAAATATAAAGGAGGCAATGTATTAAAACTGTAATGTGGACAAAAGCACGGCGCTTAGTCTAGGCTAAACCGTAAATACTGTTCGGTCTTGCCGAACTGTATATCTAGTAATTTTTCGTTTAAAAGAAATGGACTATTTTGAAACCCATCCTAAGGGCTCATTCATATAACCTTGTAGTTGAAGTACCCTGGTTTAAAAAAAATAAATAAAGAAAGAAAGAAATAAACCATCAGCAAAGAGAAGAAAATTTATATCGTTAAATACAGAGTAAATGTCATTTATAAAAACAAGAAAGAAAAGAGGCCCTAAGTGAGAGCCTTGAGGAATTCCTGAAGTTACTGTAAATTTAATAAATTTAAAAGATCCAGAAAAATTAACCTTTACTATTTGGAATCTATTTTTATTTCAATGATTATTCAGAGGTAGTGAGATGCTGTCTGGTGTGACGTAAGTTTTAGAAAAACATTTTCTTTATCGTGCCAATGTTTTGATCTTTATTGAGATCATCTTCAGGGCCTGGGATTTATAAACATTGTTTAAATTTTACAAATACATGTAGGATGTGAAAAAAATGAATTTATACAATGCTAGAAAATTTTATATTAGAAAAAAAAATTATAGTGTAGAAAATTTTAGATTAAAAAAAAAGAAATTGATATATAATGATAGAAAATTTTTGATTTAAAAAAAGAATGAATTTATACAATGCTATAGCATGCTTTTTTAAATCTAAAATTTTTATCATTATATAAATTCATGTTTTTTAATCTAAAATTTTGTAGCACTGTATAACTTCATGTTTTTCACATCCTACATGTATTTGTAAAATTTAAACAATGTTTATAAATCCCAGGTCCTGAAGATGATCTCAATAAAGATCGAAACGTTGGCATGATAAAGAAAAGTTTTTCTAAAACCTTCGTCACACCAGTCTGCACCTAACGATCTCCGAATAATCATTGACTAATGGTCATTAAACACCACACATTTTTATTTCAATCTTCAACATTCATTTTTTTCTTGGTTTCTTATCTATCTTTATAGTACAGTATAGTTTAGTTTTATAAAAAATTAATATTTTTATCCAAAAAAAGGTCAGAATTTTTTGTTTAGTTCAGCTAACATGGCCATCCATAGTTGAGTTAAGTCAGCTAACATGACCATCCATTGGCAACCTAAGAAATTGAAAAAGTTAAGAAATATTTTTACATTAAAATGAATCAATTTTATTATACATAAATGATACTATTCAGACTTTTACTGCTCATGAACAATGTTAATAATTGTTAATTTATGTAATAAAATAAATAAAAAATACTTGTTGATACATGTCACGATTCTGTTTCATGACTGTCTTATAGTATAATGATATTTTGGTTAAAACTATCGTTAATAATAATCAATAAATTTCGAAGATTTGTACTGTGTTCTATTTGATAAAGTTTGTTAATAAATATCTGTTGATTTTTCTTCGAACGGATGCATGTCGTGACTTGGGTCGATTGGCGTCTATTTCGATGTATCGAGTCTTGAAAGGAGGTTTCGATTTTAACGGTCGCCGGCCAGGTTAAGTTTGTCAAAGATCAGGTCGACGAGATTTCACCTGATCCGCGCGTCCCTGAGTCGCCTCCTTTTTGCAGAATGAGCCGAGAGGACACATTTACATCAATGCTGACAGAGTTCAGAGGCCCTGAGATGGGCTTCTTCAACCGGGCCAGGAAAAGCGGCTTTCCAACTCCTCTGGACAACACCGTCTCGTACGACGGGTCGAAAAGCACGCCGAAGAGGCCGTTCGACGACACAGTGCTCAACATCAACGATTCCATCATAAGAAAGAAGATGAGGAAGTCTCTCGATGATTCCATCATCTCGAGCGAGTGCGAACAGGATGGATTATGCGGTGAGAAACTATTTAGAAAACTTAATAAACAAAACTTTTATTACTTGTTTTTAAGCCTTAACCGGATTAATTGTTACACTCTGAACAATTAACTCAAACAATAAAGATTTTGTGGTATGTTGCGTTGAAGTTGAGAGGTGTTTAACAATGATCTCTGACCATCCTCTAGGAATCAACATTGTGTATAGTTGGTATGTCACAGTCTGTATGGATACCATACATCTTGTTTGGTCATGCAACTAAAGATGACAAAATGCAGGATGATCGGAGTTGATCGGGCTTCAGATTAGGATCGTGTTATTTAATTCAAATTATGATATATTTTTGGTCTATAATTAAAGGAGTTGATCGTCCAAGTCATCATCTCAAGGCCATCCGTCATCTTGTTTGGTCATTTAACTAAAGATGTCAAAATGCAGGATGATAATCAAGCTTCAAATTAGGATTGCTTATTTAAATCAAATAATGGCAGACTTTTGCTTCATAACTAAAGAAGAAAATGATAGGCTCAAATCATCCTGATTTAGGAAGACCGTTTCACTGCCATTCGCCATCTTGTTTGGTCATACAACTAAAGATGACAAAATGCAGACTTTTGATGATCAAGTTTCAGATTAGGATCGTGTTCTTTAATCCAAATTATGATATACTTTTGGTCTATAATTAAAGGAGTTGATCATCCATGTCATCCTCTCAAGGCCATCCGTCATCTTGTTTGGTCATTTAACTAAAGATGTCAAAATGCAGGATGATTGGAGTTAATCAAGCTTCAAATTAGGATTGTTTATTTAAATCAAATAATGGCAGACTTTTCTTCATAACTAAAGAAGAAAATGATAGGCTCAAATCATCCTAATTTAGGAAGACCGTTTCACTGCCATCCACCATCTTGTTTGGTCATGTAACTAAAGACAAAATGCAGGACTATCGGAGTTGATCAAACGTCATATTAGGATCATATTATTTAATGCAAATTGGACTTAGATAGACTTTGGTCCATAATTAAAGGAGTTGATCATCCAAGGCATCCTCTCAAGGCTATCCACCATCTTGCTTGGTCATGTAACTAAAAATGCCAAAACATAGGACGATCGGAGTTGATCAATGTTCAAATTAAAGCTGGGCCCCATAACTGCACCGGACCGGTGATGGAAGACCCCACTTGTCCCTACCATGTTGGACAACACACTCAGTAGTTCAGTATCTTCAAAGCTACATCGTTTGAAGCATACATTGTTTCATTGAGAAAAAATATTAAGAAGTTACAAAAATAGTGAATTATGGATGATAACACTTTCTTTAGAGGAAGGATATATTAATTGGCAAAGAAATCATCGCAGAAGGAGAATAATGTGGGATCACGCATGGAAAAAAAGTTGTGTTGAGAATTTTACTCGCTGCTTCCACTTCTAAAGTATGATGAGACAAAGTTTTATATAAAATTATAATTTTTTTATATAAAATTGTTCTAAGATTCACTGGAGCTCACACAATTTGTGTCCATCAAAAACTAAACCAAACTAGTCGGGCACGGTGTGGAGAGTGGGGACTAGCCAACTCACTTCCATTGACCTATTCGCTCTCCATGTGATGGCAGGCAGACAGCAATCATGTGGGGTTCAGCCTTTGAGATCCATCATTTAAACTAAATTATGACAGACTTTTGCTAACTGAAGAAGAATCTAATCATCTTGCAATCTGCTGATCTAGGAACACTGTTTCACTTCCATCCACCATCTTGTGTGGTCAAGTAACTAAAGATGACAAAATGCAGGATATGATTGGAGTTGATGAAGCTTTAAATTAGGATCGTATTATTTAACGTAAATTATGACACTTTTGCTTTTTTTAACCAAAGAAGAATCTGATCATCTCAAATCATCCTGGTCTAAGAATACTGTAGAAAAATTGGAGAAGATCCTGCTCCAAATAAAGCTTGTTAGCCCTGACTGTTCACCTCCCGGATTTTGGGACTTCCGGTCAAAATTTTAGAAAAGTATATCATTTTCGACGTCAGGGGACGGAAAAATTCCATTTTTTTTGTAAGGGGTACCTCTAACGAGGCAGGGACCGTTGCCGACCTAGGAGAGAATGACGGCAGCCGTGTAAAAGGGTTGGACGCCTGGATCGGGAACTGAGACGGCGGCGGACTGGTGGGGGTGGACGGGAGTAAGGAGGCGGAAGCAGGCAAAGGCGAGCAAGCGGTGAGAGATGAGAGGAAAAAGAGAAAAAAAAAGGAGGAAAACACGAGAGGAATGAGGGACATCCTTTTCTTTTTCCAGTGTGGGAAACAGCCGTTCTCCTCCGGGGACAGGATACGCATCCAACCAGGAGCTAGGAGGACAGGCGTCGAGACGAGGTGCTCCGGCGAAGTCCAACGTGTGGAGACAGTTTTTTTTGTGTTTTAAGAAATAGTGTTTTTTTTTATTAAGAATTTTTTTTTGGAGAGGATACTCCAATTATTGTAAATTTAATTTCGTTTGCGATTGTAAATCAAATCGTAATTATTAGAATTTTGTTTAGTCTAAATTCAGATTGTTCCATTTTTTTTATTACTTATTTATTCGTTTTGTTTCAATTTTTTTCCCGACCCCTGGCGAATGCCGGTCTACTCACTTTAATGATTGAGTAAGGTGAACAGTCAGATACTAACAAGGCAGCTCGTAGCGCAGGGGAATCATATTCGTTTTAAGACTAGAAGGTTGCAGTTCGAGTGCGTTTGAGGTCATTTTCAGTCCGTTGATTTTTTTTTTTTCTTTTCTTTTCCCCTTTTCTTTTTAGGGATTCACTATTTTCCCTGAATTAAATAGTGTGGCGCCCGACTATAGTATTGGTTCCCCGAGAATCCCCCCTTCTCCACTGAGCGTCAGTCAGCCAGTTACTACCAAAGGTAACAAGCTTCTTCTTCAGGTCCAATAAATCCATGTACTTACCCAGCTTTATTTATTTATTTTATTCACAAACATCTCAAGGGTTCATGTAGCCTCGTGGTTGAAATACCCTGGTTATTTATTCCCCCTTTCTTTGATGTAAATCATGACAGACCTTTATCCCATTACTGAAGAAGAAACTGATCGTCTATCATCGTGCTGGCCTATAAAGACCCGTTTCATTGCTGTTTGCCGTCTTGTTTGGTCATGTAACTAAAGATGACAAAATGCATGAAGTTCGGAGGAATTCAAGATCCAAATAATTTTTGTTCGTTCTTTATTACAGATTATGAAAGACTTTTACTTCACAATTTAAGAACCTGATCCTCTCAAATCTATCTGGTCTAGGAAGAATATTTTAAAGCCATTCACCATCTTGTGCTACAAAACTAAAGATGGCAAAGTGACTGTCGAAATGCTGCCAGATCAGTATGATTTAAATTGGTCAAGCTCCAAATAAATTTTTCTGTAATCAAAGTATATTATGTGACAATTTTTCCTCTATAATTGTCTTAGAAAAACATTTTAAGGCAATTTGTCATTTTTTTGTACATGGAACTAAACGCAAGATGATTGCAGTTGAAAGTTGCAAGTTTTTTTTTCTTTAAAAAAAATTATGACAGCTTCATAATCAAAGAACTTGATCTTCCAAGTCCAAGTATCTGCTTTAAGGAATAAGATATCTAATTTGAAGCTTGATCATCTCTGATCATTCTGCGTTTTGTCATCTTTAGTCCAGGACCACACAAGATGGCGAATGGCAGTGAAACAATCTTCCTAAATCGGGATGATGTGTGATGATCAGATTCTTCTTCTGTTATGTTGTTATGTTTCAAGGCCATTGGCCGTCTTTTTCGGCCATGGAATTAAAAATGGAAAAACGAAGGATGATCGGAGTTGACTAAGTTGCAAAAAAGTTTCTTCTGCTTTTATACCAATTATGACAGGCCTTTTTTTCATAACTGACAATTTAAGCAAAAGGGTTCAGGACCAATAGGTGCCCTGATTATACTTTCCTTGGCTAATTTATTGTCAATTTGCCTTATATGCTTTAGTACGAGAAAAAGGGTGTGTTTATTGTTTTCATCAATGTCTGTTAGGGACTTTATGAAATTCCAAACAGCGCTAGACTTCCTATAGTTTCAATCATAGTAGATAACAACGCCTCTATTTACTTATGTCTGTAAATTTATAATTTTCTAATTTTTCCAGATACGCCATGGGAAATAAAACACTTGTCTTCCGAACTTTCCCAAGCGCGTGCCGAAATCAAAGCGCTCGAGACGAACATCTCGCAACTCCATGGTGTCAGGCGTGAAGCTGAAGTCCTATTCGAGAACGAAAAGGCTTCGCTTAAGGCGTCGCTAGATCGCGAACGATGCACCGTGAGTTTTGAGTCTTAATGGGATTTTTCTCCCTACGATATTTAATGTTTTGTCATTTATATGGGCGAAGGTGAAAGAATTGGAAAGACGGATCAAAATAATGAAACGCAGGGAAGAGAAACTCCACGGCCAACTACAAACGGCCATGTCCAAGGTGAACACAGACCGACAAGACTACGAGCAGAAAGCTGTCGAAATCCAGGAGGAAAACATGAATCTGAAAGAAGAAATTCAGAACGTTAGCTTCTTTATCATTCTTAATAAATATTTTTCTATTGTAAACATTTTTTTTTTTTTTTTCGCAGTTAGATAAGGACAAGAAAGAAAATGAGTTAAAACTCAAAGTGGCAAAAATGACTTCAGAAAAGCTAGAAAATGAACTTCAAATTGTAAAAGAGCAGCTTGAATCAATGGAAAAACAAATGACAGAAATGAGAAATTGTATCAAAGACTTTGAAATTAACAAAGCTGCTCTTACCAATGCCGAGCATAGAATAAAAGTATTTAAAAAAAAATTGTTTTAAATAATTTAATAAATTATAAATGTTACAAATGTTTCTAGGAGTTGGAAAGTGAAATAATTTCTCAAAGTGAGACAGCCGCTGTTATAAAAATTCAGCAGTCGAAACTGTCCAAGTATGGTGAGCTTGAGAGACAGCTTAAATCTCTAACACAACAAAACAACAAGCTCAGGTAACTATCGCATGGAGTACTTTACAGGCCCATATAATAAAATTTTTGGAATTTCAGAGAGTCGACAACGAATTCCTTTTATCTCGAGTCTGTCGTCGAGGAGCTGAAAATCAAATTGGAAAAGATGGACGAATGCGAGAAAAAGCTCGTCCAGTCGAATGTCAAGCTCAGCACGCTAGAAGGCCAGCTCAATGAATTCAAACGGTTGAGCAAGGACGTATCCGGGGCTGGCTCGTCGGCCGATGAACTTTCAAGCTATATTCGCCACCTGCAGGCCAACAGCCTCGTCAACTCAAGCCAAATATCTCAACTCAAATCAAAGTAATTTTTTTTTATTGTTAATCTTTATATAGCACCGTAGGGGGACCGCGGTGGCAGTGTGGTTAGGCTGTCCAACTTGTATTTGCCACGCTAATAGTCCTGGGTTCAAATCCCAACATAGCAGATGGGTTTTATTTGTAAATAGCATAAAAAATATATTGTTGCTTTGATCCTTCGTCTGCGACACCCAACAAGTTGTACATTGAACCCAACTGTGGAATTACTTTAATTTACTTTTTATTTTAGCATCCTGGTTTATATATTCTTGCTAAATTTGTCTATGATTCAAATTTATAGACAAAGTACAATGTTTTTCAAAATTTATCATTTTGGTCTATCACTGTGTTGGCTTGTCAGTTGTTTCAGCATTCCACCATATTCATTACATTTTTCCTCCTGTTATAATTTCCGGTTGGTATTGTATTTCTGCCATGATTATTAAGATGCAGATTTAACACTGAAAATGGCTAAATTTCATACCAGCGCAATGAGGATATGCAGACCAAAACGATATTGATAAAATTTCAGGTTTATGATTAAATTTGACCAATAAATTTTTTGTTTCCTTTTCATTTTTCAGGGTAAAAAGCCTGGAAGAAATGGCTCAAGAGTCTAACAACAAAATAGAAAGCCAAAAGACAGAATTGGCGGATTTGAAGAAGGAGCTCGACACGTGCAACCTGAACCTTAAACGTCTCAGGAAACAAAACGCCCTGATAACTTGGGTAAATTGTCAATTTAAAATCCACAAATGCGTTGTTAAATTTTTGTTATATACCTTTTATCCACTAGGAAAGAAATGATCTGAGAAGCCTCATAGATTCCTGTCAAAAAGAAGTGACAATCGGAAGTTTGCACGACCCCAGGGTTGAAGCCCTTGAGAAATTGGTGTCAAGCTACAGAAACAAACTGCAGCAGATCGAATCCAGCCCTAATATTCTATCACTGCCTGGTATGAAACAGAAAAATTATCCATTACAGTAATATTCATTAAAAAAATTATTTTATAGGACCATCGTCTGAGGTCAAAATTGATATGGCTGAGTTTGAAAAGTTAAAAACAGAAAATCAAAGTCTAAAAGAAAAAGTAGATAAATTTGAGTATGAAATTGCCCACAGAGCGCTCAAGGGTGATTTTAGCAACATGAACACTAAAATTTTGCATTTCAAGTAAGAAAATCATAAGTACTATTATTCAAATAATAAAATAATCTTAAATATTTTCTTCGCAGGAACAATCCTCTTTCTGAGGCCGTATCAAAACAAGAGAGCGAGATCGACGTGCTCCGCAAGGAGAACATCGAGCTTAAAGAAAGACTGAGGTTGATGAAGGAAGGCGAATCGAACATTACGCAAAACCTCGCTGGAATAATCGACACTGATATATCAAAGACGCTTCAGGAGACGAAGGAAAAGGTGAAAAGTCTCGAAATGCAGAACCAACGCTTGAAGGAGGCGTTTAAGAAAAGCATGCACGATTTCCGCGAGGCGATTTTCTCAATTTTCGGCTACCAGATCGACGGCCTTCCGAACAAGATCTTCAGAGTGACCAGCCTTTATGCCGAATCGCAAGAACATCATTTATTATTTAAGGCAATTTTTTTCTTCTAAACTTTTTCAATAAATATTACAAAACAAAATGCTTAAATCTGTTTTTGTTTTTTTAGAAGTCAAATTCTGGAGAGATGGAAATGCTTGAAACTGAATTTTCCAAGACGCTGTCCGAATTAATAGACTTGATTCTAATCCAGCACAATTCGATTCCTGTTTTTCTCGCCTCCCTTACAATAGATTTATTTAAACGCCAAACAAACTGTGTACTTGACTCAGTAGTACAACATTAATTTTTAAGTAAAACAAAAGAAAAAAAATTAACTGACTTTATATCTTTTATTGATTTGTATATATTGTTGACTGTGTACATAAAATATTTTTGTATATGTTGTTTTACTAAAGTTCCCTTTTTTCACATTTTCTTTGTAAGAAGTCGGCCTCTTTACGATCTTGTATGCCACAATCATTATTGATGTGAATTAGGGTTGTATTTTTTACTTTATAAGTGAAAATGGGCATCTGGTAAAGAAATTAAATGTAATTATTGGAATTAATCTCCTTATTCTGAAGAACACACATGTGACAAGCAAGCATTACACATGATTAGAAAAAAAAATCACAATTATAGTACTTAACTTATTAGTTTTATTTTGTTAATAAAAGGAAAGAATTTAATATAAGCAATTTACAGATTTGAATTACAAATTTCAAAGATTCCATTAGAGGATGAAGTACGAGCCGCAGGGTACCGCCGATACTCATTACTACCAATGCCCCGTTTGCCACAAGTTCGACTTGACCCCCATGAACTATGGCATGGCGACTCCATACCCGCCGTACGGAATGCACCAATCGAGGATGGTAGAACAAAAGGTGATTTGTCCTTGCTGCCGAGTGGCGCCCAGCGCGAGGATCGACGAGCAGGCCAAGTTCTTCGGCCCTGGTGCCAACCCTCTGCCTCCAGGCACCGCCTTTCCTTGCGACGTCGTAACCCAACAGGGCAAACTGTACTTCCCCTGGTTCAGAAAAGCCAGGGAAAAGATGCTGGAGAAGATGAACCCCGAGGAAAACCCGAACTACATGAAAAATCTTAAGAAAAACGAGTTGAACAGAAGGATCAAGTTTGTCGACAGGTATCTATAATTAATTGAACTTTTTTTTTTTTTTTTTTTTCTTTTCAAGCCTTATACTACATTAAACATTTCTTGGGTTTTGAAAAACATATGTTGGAACAATTGACAAATTGATTTAATTATTTAACAATGCTGAAACTGTTTTTAGGTAGGTTGATATATGGATATGTGGGCTAGGTAGATTGATGAATTTATGGTTAAGTAGGTTGATAGATGGACAGGGGGTAAGCAGGTTATTATTAGAGTGATGGATTGGTGGGTAGGTCGATATATGGACGCATGGTTAAGCAGGTAAATTTATGGTTAGGTAGGTTGGTTGATGGACAAAGGGTAAGAGGTAGTTAGTAAAATGATAAATTGATGACTAGGTTGATATTTCAATATGTGGGCAAGCAAGTAGTTAGGTAGATTGGTGGATTTATGGTTAAGTAGGTTGATAGATGGACAGGGGGTAAGCAAGTAATTAGTAGAGTGATGGATTGGTGGGTAGGCCGATATATGGATACATGGTTATTATTATTATTAATTATTTTATTTTTTATTTCTCATTTCCCTTTCGCACCGACCACCCGGGCGCTGTAAGGAGCCGAAAAGGCTTAAGGAACAGTGTCCCGGGGGGACCCGTGGCGATGGGGTGATCTCTTTCTTTATTTATTATTATTATTTATATTATTTTCTTTCCTTTTTATTACTATTATTAATTATGTTATTTTTTATTTTTCATTGCCCTTTCACCGACCACCCGGGCGCTGTAGGGAGCCGAAAAGGCTTAAGGAACAGTGTCCCGGGGACCCGTGGCGATGGGATGATCTCTTTATTTATTATTATTTATATTATTTTCTTTCCTTTTTATTACTATTATTAATTATGTTATTTTTTATTTTTCATTGCCCTTTCTCACTGACCACCCGGGCACTGTAGGGAGCCGAAAAGGCTTAAGGAACAGTGTCCCGGGGGGACCCGTGGCGATGGGGTGATCTCTTTCTTTATTTATTATTATTATTTATATTATTTTCTCATTTCCCTTTCGCACCGACCACCCGGGCGCTGTAGGGAGCCGAAAAGGCTTAAGGAACAGTGTCCCGGGGGGACCCGTGGCGATGGGGTGATCTCTTTCTTTATTTATTATTATTATTTATATTATTTTCTTTCCTTTTTATTTTTTTTCTTCTTCTGCTGCTCCTTCTTTCTGACCCCCAAGTTCTTATAGCTTCCGTCTATAATAAAAAAGCAAGCCAAAGAAACTGTAAAGAGCCGGCGACGGCTTAGGTACAGTACAAAAAAAAAAAAAGGCCAAGACAGTTAAGTATGTTGATAGATGGACAGGGGGTAAGCAGTTAGTTAGAACGATGGATTGATTAGTGGGTTGCTATATGGATATGTGGCTAAGTAGGTAGTTAGGTAGATTGATGGATTTATGGTTAGGTAGGTTGACAGGCTGAATTCCTTCATCTTACAGAAACCAGTTATTTTTACGGTTCAATATCCACAATCATGATCTTTCCTCAGATGGCAGTTCTAGCCTCCTAAATTTATCCCTATGTCCAATTCTAAATCATCGATCTTGTCAGTCCTCACTTCGATAATAGATTTGGACATACAAATTATGGGTCACCGCTAAACCTTCCATCCAAATATATTTCCAATCCAAGTCCTAAGAACCATTGACAACCCTACTACATCTACAACCCAACCCTTCAGTACAACCTCCAACCTTCATTAAAATCCTATAAATTTTCCACATAAATCCTCTTATACGCATTAGCCCAATTAATGTTCTACATAATCCATAACCTAGTCAGGCCACTGAAGCGTAAATAGCCCTTGGACCTACTAATTGATAGTGTGTAATGTGCTGGCTCCCCTCAGGACCAATGACATATGAGAAAAATATTATATGGTTACTCATTACATGTTTGTACAGATGGTAAAATAAATGTATAAAATTAACCATGAAAGATTGATATTTATTTAAAAAATCTGTTTTTTAGATGTGCCAACAAACTTTTAAATTCCCCTTGCATGTCATTTGAGAGTGATGATGAGGAAGAAAGTTATGTTAAGAAAGACCCAAAAAGATTCCTCTTTGACCCTTGTGGCCCTTGTGCGCCGTGTTCGACTCAGAGGTACCCGTACCATGGCCACCACACGAACAAGGACACTTTGGCCGACCGTCTTGACAAGCTGACAAAAGAAGTTGAAAAACTCTCCAAGAAGATGGGCTATGATTCGGAAAAGGAACGTAGGGATTCGACGAAAACGAAGGAACAATTTTTTCCTTTTTACTTCAACCAGTCAGAGTATGGCAATCCGTTTGCACCCTGCTTCAACGACCCGACTTGCAGTAAATATTTAGAAAGGACCGTACCGGGCATGTATCCGGTCACGATGGAGAAGGGGAGCCAAGTGCACAGAAGAAGGAGGCGGAAGAAGAAATCTACCACGTACAGTGACACACCCACACCCGCCACACAGGAAATCTCTTATGAGAAAAAAACAAAAGGCAAATCACACAGAGTACATGAAAATTCGACCTCCCTCTCAGTTTCGACTTCACAGCAGACGAGCAATTTGGACGTTTACAAGCCTTTGAGAAAATCATCGTACAGAAAGATTGTCGAGGAAAAGAGAAACAGTTACATGTCTTCTTCCTCGACTCCATCCGAAACGGAAATAATCTACAGGGAAAAGAAGAACTCAAAAAATAGATATTGTCAGTCCTAAACAGTAAAAACACAGGGCCACAGTTGTTGTTTTTTAACATGCAACTAATATTAGGCAAATTGATGTAAATACAAATAGTAATAAATAATAAACAAAATTATCTTAAATTTATTCTTTGAAACCCTAACCCTACCAAACCTAACTTAACCCCTCTCTCTATAAACTTTACATGACAATCTTTCAGGGAAATGAAAGAAAATTAATATTGTCTTCTTAATCATTTTATTACTACTTAAGCCTAGATTTCTTCCCCTGGATTAAGATATTAAAAAAACTCATTTTTTTCCTTCACAGAAAAACAATGAAACATGGATATGCAACTTAATCCATCGTTATTCCTGGACCCTGCCTAACTAAAACTAACTTGCCATGCTATGCCCTAATCCTAAACCTAACCTGTCCCTAATCTAACCTAAATTTTACATGATATTAATCCTAGTTTCATTTCTTCCCCTGGATTAAGATATTTAAAAAAATTGTTTTCCTCCTTCACAGAAAAACAATGAATCATGGATATGCAACCTAATCCATCATTAATCCTGGACCCTGCCTAACCAAACCTAACCCACTGTTCTAAGCCCTAATCCTGCCAAATCTAACCTCTCCCTAATCTAACCTAAATTTTACACAATATTAATATTAGTTTCATTTCTTTCCCAGATTAAGATATTAAAAAAAGCATATTTTTCCTTCTTCACAGAAAACATTGAATCATGGATATGCAACCTAATCCATCATTATTCCTGGATCCCTAATCAAACCTAAATTTTACATTTCGCATTAGTTTCATTTTTCCGCAGGGCTAAAATATCTACATACAAAAAAAAAAAAAAAAAAAAAAAAAAAAAAAAAAAAAAAAAAAAATCCGACCCTAACCAAACCCAACCTATGCTTACTCCCCAGAAATGTGAAATTGATCACCACACAATTAAATAAAACACAAATAAAGTATAAACCATATTTTTTTACAAAAATATACAATGAGATTGTAAAATATTTGTATTTATAAATATTGAACACTACAAGACGAATCTAGTAAATCGGCTCTTCCAGTATCGATATTTGTAATATGCAAACCTTTATAATTAATTATAATGGTTGTACATCAAAACTAACAAGAAGAAAATAACACAAATACACAAAAAAATACAAAAATTAGTTAAAATTTATTCAAATAAAATAAATAAAAATATAAAAGTAAAATTTCAAAATGTTAAAAACTAGTATTAGCCATAGTCTGAGCTAACAGTTAATGAAAACTCGCCGTCTTTTATGTATGTATCATGATACCATTGTCTTGTATCAAGAAGAACTAAAAATTAAAAATAAAATAAAAAGTTTTCTAATAGTTTAATTATGAATTGATAGAACTTACGAATATCGCCGGGGTTCATGGTGAACGAGTGCCTTTGGCAGACGTCTTCGCATTCGGGCGGTGGGTTCAAGCGCCAGGTCTTGTGCCCTCGGAGCTGCGCCTGCCACATCAGTCTGCTTATGTAGTCCAGCTGGAAAAAATTACAAAAACAAAAAACTACAGATGAACACAAGAAAAGCTATAAAAATAAAAAAAACTTAAAAAAAGAACTTTACATGCATGAATGCGCCTTGCTGGTATCCCATAAATATGAAATCGACGTGTGAGTGTTCAGCGTCCTCCGGGAGGAAGTGTGGCTTGTTGTAGAATTTTCGCATAGTGTTTAACACTTCTGCGTGACAGTTGCTCCTGTAACAAATTTTTTTATTACTTATACAATAAAAATATACATGTCATGAAAAATATATTTAAAATAGCTCTATGGCCTAAATATTAGACAAATCCTCCTATTTTGACCGAAAGGAACAAGTTTTTCATCTTTAAAAATTTACCCATGGAACTACGGTTCAGCATTAATCACTGAGATTTTTTCTTAAACTATTTATGTTCAGGGGTCCAATTGAGCAAATTACTTATTTCAAATAATTGTTCTTTTTATGTAAGGTCTTCATTGAGGTGAAAAAGTTAGTGTCACGAGCAGGATTTGAACCCACGACCTTCGGCTCAAATGCCGCTGCTCTAACCACTTGAGCTATCATGACTTCGATCCACTCGGACACCAACCCTCCATCTCAACCACAACCGTTCAAATTTTCCTTTCAACCTTTTGAATTTTGTGTAGAGATTAGTGACCGTTAATCGATAGTTATTCAGATATCGTGAGATGCGGTCAGCCCGACCGCATCTCACGATATCTGAATAACTTTTGAATTTTCTCAAATTTTTCTTAAAATCTGCAGGGTGAAAAAAAAATTGTAATTTGATCATTTTCCAAGCATTCTGCTTTGCCTGTCCAATTGTGCCACATTCACCTTTCACTGAACTACACGAGGGATATGCCTCTCGCTGGGGTGAAGAAGGCAAAATGCCGAAATGGAAATGGTCCAGCAAGATTGGCATAAGGATCAAATTACGAATAGCTATTTAACCGATTCAGCAAGACAGACTAAATCAGGATCAGAGGTGATCAGAAGATTTGTATGAAATGAAAAGTCTAAGTACAGACATCTGATCCAAATTAAATTATATGAAGACCGAGATGACAGAGGGGAATTTTCTGCATGTTCTTAGATGTGTAGGAAATGTCTTTTTTACTAGGTGATCGTTCTGCTACCATTGATTTTAAGAAATAGTGAACTTCTTAAGGGTTAAAGAAGAATGGCGGTGATCGTAATAGATTTATGTCAGGGTGATGAGAATGATTAGTTATGGGGTAAAAAGGTCATATTTGATGAAAATTGTACTCACCATCCGATGTACCAGGGCTGGGCACTGTCAGAATTGTTCACCCTCTCTTGTGGCATTGTGAACACCTCTCGAAGGCTGTATAAATCCGTTTTGAAATTTAAAAACTGGCATTCCTCCTCGACGCTGTCGTACGCCCCTGGAGTCCCATCGAACAGGGTCTTGAAGAACCCGTAGTCGAAGTCTTCAGCTGCAGGCCAGTCCCTGGCAGCGCCACGGACGACCATCGGCCTGGAAAACGCAATCCGATGAGGAAAATGTTCTTTTTTTCTTCCTTTCAGAGGTGAAGAACCTGTAGGAATAGGCGAACGGGGCGAAATTCTCTCGTGTCACGTTCTCGAGGAAGAGTACGTCGTTTTGGCAGATTCTGCAGTCTGCAACCGGCCTCGTCGCTTCCCAGATGAAATAATTGTTCGGCAAGACGCACTTCACCTCGAGGGCGTCTTTTACGATATCGTTTACAACGGGGAAATTGTAAAAGGCCGTCGAAAATACCAGGGCCAGGCATGCCCAGGCGAGGCCGCATTTCCTCCTGGGAGCTTCGAATTTTCGACTTTTTGCCAATTTTCGCAGTTCGCTAGCACGATGACCACTTTTCAAAAGGGCCAAATGAAGAAATATCAATCTTCCGAAGATTAAATGCGATTTTAAGTCGAGAGCACATTCCCGGACTACACTACGAGGCGCCATCTTGGATAAGACAGCCGCCCGGTTGTCTTACTAAATTACTTTGAACTATTCTGATATCAAATAAATAATTTATCCATACAAAATACATTCTTAAAAATGTACCTTTTACTAAAAAACTACAATAATTTTAATTTTTTAACTGACAATTTTCAACTTTTTTTTAAACAATTGAATCTTTCTCAACTTTTTCTCAGTAAAATTAAACAACAAACCAATAAAACATATTATTAAACTCAGAACAGAAATTTTATTTACAAATATATACATTATACATTATTTATTTATTTTTACAGGCAAAGCCTATTAAAATTATACAATAGTTACAAATAGACTTAGGAGAGCTAATAAAGAGATTCATTTCAAAACAGTTAATTAAAAAAACAACTGAATTAGAATTACAATACAATAACAAATAATATGATGTATAAATTATTAAGATTCATACGTCAAAACAAAATTGATATAAATACATTTCCCTCGTCATATATTTTTTCCCCTCAGAATAATGTATTTAATGTACGGCAAATAAATTCATTTTCGCCTTTATTTTTGTCCATTAAATAAAACATGACTGTAAATATATGCACAGTTAACATAATTGAATGATATGATCGGCTGTCCTTAATTAATCAATTTGCTAAATATCCATGTTCCACAGTGTAATACCAGACAAAAAATATTGTTTTCAAAATCTAATTATAATATAAATTATTTAAAATTTAGTCCTATTCCTAGAATCATGGAAATGGGTAATAAACATCCTCTACAATGAGACTTTTTACCTTTCCTTAAGTCAATTTAAGCCTTTTTTTTTAATTGATCATTTGATTTGTTTATATGCTTCTACTGTTTGTTTAATTAAATTTTTATCATTCCTTCTCACTTTTTTTATATTTTTATACACTTGTGTATTATGACACAATACTTGCAATATTTTATTTGTGTTTGTTATTTTTGAATATGTCTATATTTTTAATTATTGTTATATGTTATTACTATTTTTTTAAATTATTTTATCAGCTTCTCCTTAATTAATTGAGTATTTATATAATTAAGTAGAAGCTAATAAAATAATTAAAAATTTAGTATTAATCTAGAACCACACCTGTGAATCGTACACAGTCCCGCTAATGTAGTACAATCGTTAATAAAAAGTGTTTCTATATCAATTCCAATTCTTACAATAGGAATAAAATCGGGGAGTCGAAATGAGAAGTTTGTGGCATCAGTGATCGAGGTCACGGTAGCTCAAGTGGTAGAGCAGCGGGGTATTCAGCCGAGGGTCATGGGTTCGAATCCCGCCTGTGACACAAATTTTTCATTTTGAAAAAATTGTGTATAATTAATTGAGTAGTTACATGTTATGTTTCATGCATTATTACCTATAAATAGTTTAAACTCTTATAGAACTTGTAACTGGGTATATTTAGCTGAATAAATAAATAACTAACCTAGCATAATATAATATATTTGTAAATATTAAACAGAATGATAATGAGACATACATGAAAAACTGATATGAAAATAGTACATAAACTGACTAAACATTTATATCTTGAGTGTAGAAATTGTCTGATTTTTAAAAATGTTAATATTATCTTGGTATGAAAAGTGTGATAAGCATTATCATGTGCATTAACCATTTATGGGACTTTCTTTTATGAAATTAGTTTTATGAGCAGAAATGCAGAATATTTTATGTTTCCGGGATGAGAGCTGGAGAACATTAAAATTTAATTTGGAAAGTAAATAAGGGGTCTCAATCCGATTATTCATAATTTTATAAAGGAAGAAGAGGTCAAGGTAAATTCTTCTCTTTTCCAAAGTTAAGATGTCAAAGTAATCCAAAATATTAAAGTTGTCGTGTACCCGGGGAATTTTAAGTTTGTAAACTGCATATCATAGAAATTTATTCTGAACCTTTTCCACCAAATAGCACAGCAATAATCAAAATGGGATCTGACAAAGAAACAGTAAATAATTTGTGTATTCACCGGTATTCTGATTTTACAAATGGAAAAAGTTGCATTTCTAAATATTCAGCACCGTTGAATTATGTTGACACCTTTCATGAGTAGAGTTCAGGTCAGACTGAAAATCAAGACTATCCTGAATATTTTGGAATTTGATGGTTTTATAAAGTTTCAAATCATCGGGATAAATAAGAAAATTGCTATTTTTAACAAAATATTTTAAGTCATTAATATAGAGTTTAAAGAGTATGGAGAGATTTCAATTTTGTGACACACTCATGGAAATAAATTAAAAAGGGATGTTTAAGTCTTCAGTTCCAAGTTGTAAAGAGAAGAGGCAATTAAAGAGATGGAACTTAACGATGAAAAGGGATGAGGCTTGATAAAGAGTTTAAGCCCACGATTTGGGACTTAGTTTTCTTTTAATATTGATTTTTTCCCCTAAAAGTTAAATGCACAGATTGTCTTATTTTACCCTCCCCATCGTCACGCTAAGCTTGCGTAAAACGTAGAAGAGATCGGCTAATCAGAAATATCATCTTTGTAAAAACATTTTTGCCCACCACTGATAAATTTATTGTTTGTCACAGGTACATTATCATTTGGACTTTGAACTCATTGGAAACAGTCTATTGTCAATAGGTTTTAACTGTCCTTTCTATGCAAATCTACTGTCTCATAAATCATGTCGAATTCAACAACAGTAAGTTTAAAATTTAAAAATATGAAGTTTAGTATTTGGGCAAATACCACTATTGGAATGTCTCAATTCTAAGTTATAAATTCTTTGGCAACCGTTCTTGTCTTTTTAACTCATCCTTAGATTTATTTTTTGTTTAAAACTAAGGAAAAAGAACACAAATTTAAAACTGTGTATTATTCTGTTTATTGACTGCGTTTATATAATATATATATTCTGAAGTTTTCAGAAAACAAACCTACAGTCAAACGTATTTTTCTTTTCTTTAGGATATTTTCCAGGCTGAAGACAATAAAAGGTTGCAAATAACATTACGTCGTTTGGAAAATTTAAACAAAGGTAAATACAAAGGATTCAACAATAAAGCCCAATTTTATAATAATTTGTTTAACAAGAACACCAGAAGACTCTAGAATTGAACAAGGAGCTGATTAAAAAAATAGTTGAAAAATCATCAGCGCTTTCTAAAGTCAAGAGTAAAAATATCAAGCTGACGAGGAAAGCATTAGACCTAATGAATTCACTGAGCCTGAAAACATCTGAGAACAATAAGCTAAAGCAGTTAATTTGGGCAATGTACGCAAATATGGACAAAGTTCGTCTCACCTTAGTTGGAAACATTTCTACTGTACTACAGAAGACCAGACTGTATTTAACAGAACACAAGAATTGCTTAGAAGAGTTTGGTAAAACTGCCTGTATTTATTCAGTTCACTTTTATTGTTAATTTTTTGTTTTTTAATCACGACATTATTTTTTTAAATTGTTATTTTAAGTATCAATGACTGCACACCAACAAATGTCTCAAGTAACAAATGAATTAATGATTCTTTTCTTTGCCTCATGGAACCACATTACATGCATTCTATCCTGTCCTCAACCAATCAAACTTCATATAACCTAACCCTAACTCTACATGTAATTAATCTTAACCTAACCCCACCTCTACTTGTTCTAACCAAACCCTAACCCTATCTCACCTAACTTAACTCTGCCTAATGGAACCTTACCTAACCCTAAAAAACTTCTAGGAAAGTCAAAACTATTGCAATTTTCTTAATCACTTTACTAATCCTTTGAGCCTAGATTCAATTCTTCCCGCTGAGTCCTAAATATCTCACACAAAACTCTTGCTTATTTTCTCTGTTTCTCAAGAAAAACATTGAATAAAGGATACGTAACCTAACCCGTCCCATTTCCTAACCATACACTTAATAATACTAAACCTAACATAACTCATCCTACATCCAGGAAAGTTAAAACTTGCTACCTTCTTAAACACTTTATTAATCCATTAATCTTAGTTTCTTCTTGAAACAAGTTATTTTATCTAAAATATCCACCACAAAACTCTGGCTTACTTTCTCCACTTCCCTTTCCCCAAACAAAAAACCCTAGTCCTAACTCTAACCCTTAACGAACCTAACACTTCCCTACAGGATTTAGGATATTTTCCTATCCTAACCCTAAGTTTACTTGTCCTGACCTAATCTAGGCAATTCCTAACTCTAACCTAACCTAATCTTAATCCTAACCTAACCCATCTCTAACCTTATGTAACCATTTCTAACCCAACCCACAAGCTCCTTTTTCCGTTAACTCAAACAATACTGCACTCAAAGTGCGATAAAAACTGTCATAATCTAATCTTGGCAGCTATAACGCTAATCAAACAAAACTTAATCTGTCTAATCCTAACCTAACGTACCTAATCTAACCCACTCCTAACCCAAACATAACCATTTTTAAATTAACTTATGAATATACCTGAAAATGTGAAATCAAGACAAAACAAATTTGTGTATCCAGCCCAAAATCATATTCATGTTAGAATTAAAAGGAGGTATTAATAGATAATCTATCACAGATAAAGCAAAAACACCTGAAGGTCAGATGATCAAGAGCCCTTTAGTTAGTATTAAACCTTTTAGGTATAATCATGCAAAACTTTCTGCAAGAAAGAAATGTAAGTCTATTTTAAAATTCAGATGCTCTTCTAACCTGGTTTATGTTAATAATCATTCATTTCTAGATGAGAGAGAAGTTAAAATACATCGTGAAACATCAGATATACTCAGTCCCATTTCTGAATTTACAACACCCAAAATAGTAAGTGAAAACTGTGCTTTGAAATTCGCAAAAATTGTAGCTTTATCATTCCAATCTTCCTGGTCTGCCCAGTCTCACTTTGCAAGACAACTATTGAGCATAAGCAGATCAGGATACACAGATCTTACCACAATGATTCACAATTTTTCTCTTTTTTTAGATCCATTCTGGAAGTAGTCAAGGAAGAAAAGTGTTCTGTAAATATTGTTACTACAATCATTTTAGGAAAGTTTTAAATGTATTTTTGTTTCAAATATGTAGGCATTGAAAGCCAAAAGAATAAAAGAAATAAAAGGAATCAATTATCATCACCTAAAAGCAAAAGTAACAATAGCAGCAATCCATCAAATGACAGAATGCCAAACAAGAAGAGAATACACTCAGAAAAGTCAAATTCTTCTAAAAAAAGGACTGTTTCTGCCAAATTGTCCTTCCCCAGCGAACCGAACGCTGGGAAAAACATTGTAAAAAAAGTCGAAAAAGCGACAAAGAGGCAAAGTGAACGGTTAATATTTTAATAATATTTAAATTAAAAAACAAACAAAATATAAGAACTTTTGTCTGTTAAATTAGAATCAGGAGGAAAAAGAAGCAAGCTGGATCTACAAAAGCGTAAGTAGTGCACGGTATATATTGATTTATATTTATATATCATTTCAGCCCAACGCTTACAATTTTTAATTTTTGATACATTCTTTACTATTCGGCCTTCTCACATTAAACATTCACGCTAAGAAATACATTCACTTTTGATATACACAAAAGGAGATATCTATCAGTATTATATACAACAGATCTGTTTTAATCTAAAATTGAAACAGGGCTGAAATACCAAGCATCATTTTAATATCAGGTGGCATTCCTACTCACTCCCTATATGGAACAAATGATACTTTTCAATTTTTGCTAAACAGCAACAGCAATCTCACATGACCTATTCTTAATTGGGTGAGTATGATCTTCAATTCTGGCCCTCTGAGGGCCACCCAGCTTCTCTGTTGATCGGACCCACTGATGCTATTTCCTTTTGATATATATATATATATTTTTTTTTTACATTTTAAGTAATGCAGGGCCAAAGGCCTTAGGCTCCTCTTCCTCCTTTTCTTTCTCCTCATACTACCTTTACCATTTTGCCAAGACGTTTGATTTTTTTTTTTTTTTTTTTTTTTACTTATTTAGGTTCCAATCGAATAAAAGGATAAGTAACTCTTATTTTTCAGACAAAGAAAAAGAAGACAAAGGTATTATTAAATTAATAAACAATATCATTTATTTATTTCCCTGTATATTAATTATATGATTATCTAGCGGGTGGCTCTATAAGAAGGTCAGAGAGGATAAAAATGAAATTTATAAAAACAAACATGTCAATACAATAATTTTATGATTTTATCGTCTTAATTATTATGAGTTATCCTGGCTTTGGCAATAAAAAATAAGCAATTATGCTGAGAATAAATTTTTGGACTAAAAGCAACAGTCATATAATTTTAAAAGCAGGAGAAAGAAAAAATATTTTTATGAAATAGGTATTTGATTTTTTTTTTTTTTTTTCATAAGAATTTATTGTCTTTATTATCATTGAACAGTATTAAATTTTTAAAAATGAACTTAGTGTTTTTCTTTTATGCCAAAAGGATTCAATTCCTTTCAATTATGTGGGACGCATCTTGATACCTTTCTCTACCTCCCTAAAACCTAAAATCAAAGCTCTTCTCGTTTTTCCCGGCATGCTTGGATAATCTTCACAATCTGGTCCACTTAACTTCATCTCCTCTTTACTCAGCCTCCACATTGTCCTCATGGTATGGTATAGTATGGTATGGTGGAAGGGATGCCGGGAAGCGGGGCTCGTATTCCCCAGGCACTGCAGCCTTCTGGCTTATTGTACCTTCCTAGTGCCTTAGTTCAGTCAATAGACTCAATCCTTCTTCTCAGAAGTATCAGGTCATTGACTGTTATTGCTGCAATTTGGTTCCCTGAGTCTTTTTCGTACGTTAGGTTAAACCTCCATTGAGCTGTTGCTTCGCATTCGAAGATGATATGAGTGGCTGTTTCCTCCTCCTCATTACATAATCTGCAAATGGGATCATCATTGTATATACCCATGTTGGGTAGATGTTTTCTCAGATACCAGTGACCGGTTAGTAGTCCCACCACTCCTCTGAGTTTTGCCCTCTCCAATTGTAGCAGTGTTTTTGCCAATTTTGGTGAGGGTTGTTTCATCATAAGTTTACTATGTCTAGCATCGCTAGAGTTTATTCACTTCTCTCTTTGTTAGTTTGGATCCATTCTGCGGTGGGGTATTCTATGTTTGTTTTTGTTATCCCAAGGATAGGTTCGGGGCCTATGTATGGTCTTGCAGATCCTCCTCTGGCCAGTTTGTCTGCTTCTTCGTTACCCAGAATTCCCCTGTGCCCTGGCACCCAAGATATCATCAGGTTGTTGTGTTTTCCCAGGTTTTGGAGATTTTGGATACATTCACTGACTAGTTTTGATGTAATTCTTTTACATGCCAACGCTTTAATAGCTGCTTGGCTGTCTGATCTTATGAGGATTTTTTTGTCAGTGTAACCTCTTTTAAAATTTTCCAGGACACAAGCATTGATGGCATGTATTTCTGCTTGAAAGACCAAAGTATACTTCCCTAATGAGTTTGATTGCTCATGTTTTGGGCTTGTACAGAAAACGCCTGATCCGGTTCCTTCGTTTGTTTTGGAGCCATCCGTATTCCATATCATTGTATCTGGTGCTTTCCTGTGTTCTTCCTCTCCCTTATAGTGTTGAGACTTTATAGGAAGTTGTGAAGATTGTTTCCGGGATCATGTAGTCAGTCCCCATTTCTAACAATGGGTGTCTGGTTTTATTGATTATGGTTGTATGCCCGAATTGTTTGGTTCCTTTCCAATTTAATTGTTTCTGGAGTCTAAATGTGCTTTTCCTAGCCTCTCCTTGTATGAATATCTCTAGTGGAGGTAGGTTTAGCAAGGTTTCTAATGCGTTTGTAGGGGTTGTTCTCATCGCCCTGTGATACATAGGTTTGCTAATCTTTGTAAGCTGCCTAATGTTTGGGTAGCTACTTTTTGTTGAGCTTTGTTCCACCAGATTAGTGATCTGTAGGTTATTCTGGGTCTTATTACTGCCGTATATAGCCAACAGGCCATTTTCAGTTTTAGTCCCCAGGATTTGTCTAAGGTCCTTCTTGTGGTCATCAGCCTGATGCCTTAGTAACTATTATGGATATCGGGCACGTCTTCCTGTTATCTTCTTTCTCCTAAATATCTGCAATTTTTCCTTATAGAAATGGTCTAAATCATGGAAACAAGCTAATAGGAAGCTAGCCCTTCATGGAATTCCACCTTGACATCCACAGTGATTGACGTTAAACATATAGACGAGAAATTACCATTTAAGACTTTTAAGAGTTAGCAAGTTTGAATGGTACTTTCCTTCGACAATAAATTTTATTAGTATAAACAATATCATTGCAATTAAAATTTCTTCTCTACCTAAGTGGATTTTAACAGCTTTCTTGCCAATGTTTAATTATATCCATAATATGAAATAAAAATTTAAGGAGGACAGGAAGCTTTATTTGTGGATTTTGACAGACGAGCACACCATATCTCCCCTCTTACATAATATTTGAACCTGAACATATTCTGATTTATCTCTCTGAAAATTTTTAAACTACGTACAATAATTCATGTTAAACCAGCATGGACCCAATAAGTGACCTGCCAGTTCAGTTGAGTGAGTTCACCGACTTGCAGACCAAAATCTTCAACGACTCTTCATATATTAATAATAATATCAAATTAAATTGCACAATATGTTTATATATATATTTTCTTTTTAAATATTTTTTTTAAAGTTGGTTTATTTTTTAGATGGCTTAGTTGGTTTAGCCGGTTTAGGAGGCTCAACTGGCTTAAGAGGCTCAGCTGGTTTAGGAGGATCAGGCAATTTAGGAGACTCAGATGGTTTAAGAGGCTCAGTTGGTTGAGTTGGTTCAGTAGGCTGAGTTGTTGGAGCCGCTTCTTTAGCTTTTTCTATTGCATCTTTAGCAAAGCTAAGGAATACCTGTTCGAGACTAGTGGCTGTTACAGTATATTCCTCAATTCCTTTTGTACTGCTCTTGATTGATTCTATTTTACTGAACTCCTTCGACCAATAAAAATTTATCTCATTTACAGCAAATGACAAAAAACCCTAAAAAAGAAAAAAAAAGTTAAACAACGAACCTTTTAGAGATTGTATTCGCATTACCTGGTGTTCATCTTGAAGCATACATTTTGCCCCGTATGTGTTCATGAAGACTTTTTTAATATTGCTGATGACCTTTTCATTAGCCTCGACATCAATCTTGAGGTCGATCGTGAAGCCGAGGGTGAACTTGTGCTTGAGGTACTGTATGTCTCCGATACATTTCATCCTACCTGCGACCATAATGGTAAGCTTACTGCAGACTACTTCGCACTCGTCCATGCTGAAATTACAAAAAGTCATTTTTTGATACTGAGAATTGTCTTGAAACGGCAAACCTATGAGAGGTGAGAATCATGGTCTGTTTCGTGTGTTTTATCAACTGGAAAACCTGCCACAACTTCCTTTTGGTAACTAAGTCTACTCCAGTCGTCGGTTCGTCCATTAAAATCAACTTTGGTTCACCGATCAAAGCGAGGCCTGTGCTCAATTTTCTTTTATTGCCACCGCTGTATTTACCACATGCCTTGTCACAGTAAAGATGTAGATCTGAAAAAACACTGAGAAATGATTCAATTATTTTTAATATGAAAGTATGAACAAACCTAAATTTGTTATCCACCAATTGATGACTTTTTTGACATTTTTTAATTTCACACCTCTCAAAAACGCAAAAATGTACAATAACTGTCTTGCAGATAAAACATTTATCAGACAATGGTCTTGAGGGCAGTAGCCGATATTTTGAATAAAAGATAAGGCACTGTGTTCGAGTGAATATAATTGGTCTGCTACAAGTACTGCATCACCCTTGGTAGGAAGGATCAAACCAGTCAGCATTTTGAATGTTGTGGACTTGCCGGCTCCGTTCACCCCAAGGAGTCCAAAGCATGCACCGCTCTCAACTAAAAAGCTGACATCATGGACCGCTGTGGATTTCCGGTTGTACTTCTTGCACAAGCCGTTGATATACACGGTGAACTCCTTTTCCGTCTTTTCCGCAATAACTAATAAAAAAAAAAATATTTTGTGAATGATTACAGATAAAACCAATGATAAATTGGAGATCAATTTTTGAATAATTGTGCATTTTATAATGTTACACTGCAGCTAGGTCCTGGATTCTAGCTCTAATCCATGCCTTCATAAAAAAAACTGCTTCATCTAAGACTCACAGAGCAACATCTCACTATCCAAACACACAGGAATAAGACCGGATAGTACCGAAGATCATCAGACAAAGTAAGTTAGTCACAGTGTGTGCGAGCAAGGGCGACCCAACTCAATTGAGGATAATCCCTCACTCTCCAAACTCTAAATTTATCTAGAATCCGCTAAATATCAATTTTTCCCAGATTGCAGTCCATCAACATCTCATACGTAATGAAAAAATGGAAAATTCAATCCTTATAATTAACACTTACCAGCCCACAATACGTGTAAGTCAATTACAATTCAATTAATGCATACATTTAAATTTGAAATTAATTATAATTGTACAAGAACCAAGGAATTAAATTTAAATTTTATACAAACAAAAGAAAGGCGCCTGATACATTAGATTAGACAAATTTTCAGCAATGCGATAATAATACAATGGTATAAGTATTAAACAAATATAAAATAAGTTTATAATTTTAATAAAACAAAGAGACAAAAAAAACACATAAATTGTCTAAAGCGAGAAAAAACTCACGGTGAGGTCAGCGAGTGGAGCGGCGAGTCACAAACTAAATGCGGAGGAGATCGACACGCACAAAAGAAGAAACGGTCGCGAATAAATTGCGCATGTAACTCGTACACAAAGTCTTACACAAATTTACGGGTTGCGGGACTGCCTCGAACACGTGCGAGTAGCGAAGAAGAGTGTCTCTGGGCCTCGTCGTCAAGCGAGTCTCCACAACAACAAAAAACCAGTCACTTAACGGCCTTTTAGATGCGCGACGTACAGATCACAAAATTCACACTTAACAACAATAATTACATGTAACTTATACTAATTATTTTTTAAAACAAAATATATACAATATATACAAAACATAGTATGCGTTAACACAGTGAGAGGGAAAATAGTAAGAAATCAGAATTGGTTTTGAGTTCATCACTTGAATACTTAGTCTGAGTTTGGAAGTTGTCAATAAAAAAAGGGCCTCCACTGTTCTACCGCCACCAAGATTTATGATCCAAGTGACGTTTCCTCCCTCACATGAAGACTATACACTCAACCCATTGGAGCATTTATTTAATTAAATTATTTTTCCTGTATAACCACTCTACCTCTTTGAGGGCGGTGACCCAAGACACAAGACATCTCTGCCACAAATAAAATCAGGAATCGACTAAATGGAGAGAAAGAGTAATGACACGAGATGAGTCAGTAATAAATGATGGTTCTAGGAGCATTCTGTGTTGAGAGTAAGATAAGTCACCTAAGTCTAAGTTTATAAGCCCCATCATAATCAGAAAATGAGTATTCTACCGCCTCAAATATGAAAATATTCCTCCCCAGCATGAACTTTACACTAATAAAAACTAAGCTTGTTGCACCACTGACTGCAATATTCATTTATAAGATCGCTTCACGTCTCAGAGGGAGTACCCCTGGGGCACAAGAGACAAGAGATCAAGCCACAAATATAATCAGGAACCAGCTAGATGGAGAGAAAGTGTGATGAGATGTGTCAGTGGTAAATTATGGTTGTACACAGGAGAAAAAAGATCTGCGCCACAATACAACTTGATCCCTTGCCAAAATATAAAAGGATTTTTTTTCCAGTTATTAATTTTTATTGTAGAAATTAAACTTAGACAGAAATTACCATTATGGAACTTACCCTGTTGCGAGCTGGTTGTTTGCAGTGGTATTTTCCCAAGCGTTGAAGCCTCTGTATCTTGGGAAGAGTTGCTAAATCTTTTTAATTGTAATGTCTTCTTTCCTTTTTTACTCAAAACTGAAATAGTGAAATTTTTTTACACTTCATTTATTTCTGTCTACAATTGTACATGTATTTTATACAACCAGCAGATTGGATTTTAATTTATAATTATAGTATTACGAGCGATAACAACCCTGATAAGGGAATTTAGGAAACATACAAAATATATAGCATTTTTTAAGGGGTGGGTACTTCAGGGTATTGTACTAGCCCTTATTTTTTTCTTAATATATATCAATGGTCTTTGGAAACAATATAAAGGGCCAGATTTTCAGTTATGCACACTTTATTGATTTTTACTGAACAGATTTAATGAATACTATAATTTGAAATAAAATTAGTAAAATCGGTTAAATAACAATTATGTAATTTTAATAATAATAAAACTTGTATTATAACTTTTACTCTAAGAAAAAAATTATCCACAATCCTTTAATATTATATTAAAAATGTGGACATTCTTATTAAAATCAATTACTTTAAACAGAAACTGTGAATTTTATAAATTTTGAAAATCGAAAATTACTTATGAACAAAAAAGACTTTTATATGTTTTAATAGCGTGAATTGATCTACAATGGAAAAAAATCCGAGCTCAATCAGAAAAATTGTTTCTCCTAAAAAAATGTAAATTTTTGAATTTTCAGTATGCTTTTTTCCATTTTTTTTTTTTTTTTTTTTTTTTTTTTTTTTTTTTTTTTGTATAGAGCAATGATAGGCAAACAATAGTGGTGAGGAGGCATAAAAACACCCAGTAATGGAAAATGTTGAGATTTTAAACTAAAAAAAAATAAATAAATAAAAAATAATAAAAATAAATAAAACAATTTTGTTACAATTGTTGGTAGCCAAAAATTAAAGATTCAAACTTTACAGAAAACCCTAACTACGAAATCTTAGTGTTCTAAGAGAAATAACCAGCCCCAAGGGATTCGGAGCTTTAAAGATGCTTTAAATAACTTTTCGAAAGCTGTGAAAATGTAAAATCAATATTTATGTGCAATATATATTAAATTTTTGTTTTTTTATTTATTCATTTATTTATTTTATTTTTTTATTATTATTTTTTTTTAAAGAATTTTCTTCCTGCTTACTTATATTTTGCATGTGAGCCTTCGTCGCATCTCTGTGCGCTACTACATCATCATCTTCCTTTTCCTCTTTCTCAGCTTTCTTATACCTCGGTCCAAAGACTTGGTTGTAGAAATCCTGAATTATATTGTAGTCCAAAGCGATTATGATAATGATAAGTAACATAATAGTTTCTAAGAGAGCGTTAAAACTTAATTTTACATAGTCATTTTCTAGAAAGGGTTGCTGTACTTCTACAATACAAAAAGAGACAAATAAAGCATTGGGACCATGAAACAATATTGGATTTTCTAACCTAAACACTTCTCTTTTCGTGTTTCTGTCATACACCTTTCACATCTATTTCTTGCTAAATGATTTGGGATAAGGACTAGATTTATAAAAATTATTGCTCCAAATGGAGAAAATGGCAACATGGCTGTCAGCATTTGGCCCAATGTTTCATTAAATGTGGCCACACTGGTAGCGACACCTGCAAAATCAAAATTGCTTAATTAAATTGGAAATTTGAGTAAATTAAACATACGCACCCAATATAGAAAGTACAAACAATATAGTAGCTGTTGCTAGATCATAATTTGAGAACCAAAAACTTGTCAAGTAGCATAAAAGAATAATTACTATGCTAAATGTTAGCATCATCAGAAAAAATGTACCTTCAAAAATGAAAACGCTGTATTTTTGTTTGTTTAACTTAATTAAATTAAATTTAAAATACCGAGCAATTCTACACTCCTATATGTGTCCTCCGTGTCGAATATTAGAATAGTTAAAATGACTAAACTCAGTGAAATGGAAACCAAAATAATATCAAATAATAAATTGGTGGCCCAGCACAGTATTGAACTCACTCCTGTCAGTTTTTGGAGGTGTCTGAATCCGATGGTTCTTTCCATAATCGGATAGGCCGAAAATACTCCAAGCGAGGTCGTGAAAAAAATAATGAAAAACAACCACAATACCGTTATTTCCAAATTTTCACCTACCAAGTCTATTTCACATGATTTCTACAATTAAAAACTTGATATATTTTTTAAGAAAATTCAGATAAAAGAAAATATTAATTATCACATGAACTTACAGCATTAAATTCATAAGGTAGATTGATTGTTTCAATTTCACTTCCTGGTTTTTTTATTTCAATTAAATAATTGAACATTGCATCAACGGCAATAGCTGGTGAGTGAAAAGCGAATGGAGAATATAATACTGTTGTTCTATTTATTAAATCAGCAGCTATTATATAATTATTTTTGAATTCTTCAATATTGCGTAGCAATGATTTAAAGAGCACTAAAAAATTATTTACATATTACATTGGGGACTTGAAGGTTAAAAATGTAAGAAAAATTATTTTTAAAGTAAGGATTGAATAATTGCTAACCTGCTGTTAGATTTTGGTCAACTATGGCCTTCGCTTTATTGTCTTTAGCTCCTCTTGTAAAAGCCCTAGCAGTGGCGCTGTCCGGTATTGCTCCGATCAAAACGGTCGTTTTTCCATACTCAGCAAGTTTCAACCTAAACGGCGGGCTGTACGGCGTAATAACCTTTGCGGATAGTAGCATTATGATTATAGTAATAATGATGGGCACTATTACAAGCTGAAAAATAAATGTTTTAGGCATTCCTCGTGGCGCCAAAAAAAAAGTGAAATACCATAATGACTAATGTCGGCCATGCGTATCGCAAGCATAATAGCCTTTTGTACATTAAAGCAAGAAACTGCTGGAGAACTAGAATAACTTTAAACAAAAAAAAAAAACAAAAAACAAAATTAAACCACCGTTACATTACAATTCATCATTCTTACATCCTGTTTGCTTTTCTGTTAGATTAAGAAGAGCCAATATATCTTCCTCTTTGTATCCAGTCGAAATTCCCTCCTGTTCAAGAACTCTAGAGTTAAGAGTAAAAAATTTTCAAGTTCCATTGATAAAAAATAATTATAATTTAACAACATATACTTACTTAAGGAAGACTTCTTCCATTGAAGAAGCCGATACTGAAATTTTGCTCGAACTGCTAATTGAATTTTCAAGTTGATAGAGTATCGTGGACATCTGGGATGTATTTTCCATTGGTACGTCGATTGTAATCTTTTTCAACTGGCTGAATTCTATCACTCTTGTGAACGAATAGCTTTCGGCCATTTTTACTATAGCTCTGGTGTTCTCCTTTTGATAACTTATTGTAATTTTATGGCCAGAACCTGAGAAGAAAAATAAATAAATTTTAAATGATAAATAAGGAGACAATTTTTACCGAATTGTTTCTTAAGGAACATCGCTGATCCATAGCATCTTAATTCGCCGTGTGCTATAATGGCGATTCTATCTCCGAGGACGTCTGCTTCTTCCATGAAATGCGTACTAATCAAGATTATTCTGTCTTCCCTCAGACTCTGTTCAATTAAATATTTTTTTTTATAAACAACTAATAAAAAAGTAATATTTTGAAACTTTACCAACAGAACATCCCATATGTTACGCCTTGACTCAGGATCTAATCCTGAAGTCGGTTCATCCAACAGAAGTATCTGTAATATTTATATAAGATATTTATAAGTTTCATAAAACGGGAATAAAATCTTACAGGAGGGTTGTTGACTAAAGCGTTCAAAAGGCATAATTTGCGCCTCATTCCTCCTGACAATTTTTTTGGCAGGGCGTTAAGCTTATTTTGCATTGCGAGCTTTGCTATTAAGACTTTTGTAGACTGCAGTACATTTGTCGGAGCTAATCCTTTCACCTGTTATTATATTTGACTGAGAGGTTGAGGAAAAATGAAAGATCAGTTATTTCAAAGGATCACCATTCCAAAAAACACGATTTGTTCTTTCACGGTGAGGTCTTCAAGAAGTAAGTTGTCCTGCGGGCAAAACCCCAATGATTCCCTGAAGAAGTGCAGGTCATTGAATATGTCGATATTGTTGAAATAAATATGACCAGACGTTGGAGCATGAATTCCTACAAATATAATTTCCAATTACAAATCAAAAATAAATTTTAAAAAATATAAAATTAGGATTATGGCTCGTTATTTTATTTTATTTTTTTTTTTTAATAAAAATGTACAAACCTGATATTATATAAAATAGAGTGGTTTTTCCAGCTCCGTTATGACCGAGTAGAGCGGTTATTTGATTTTTGTAAATATCAATTGTGAGATTGTTAATGGCATTAAAACAACCATACACTTTATATAGGTTTTTCACTTGAATGCCGACAGGTAACTTGACATTTTCAAGGATCGGTGCATTACCTGTCGACTCTGGGATTATTTCCTCCTTATCGTGTTTCTTGAAGAATGCCTTTAGAAACAATCTGCCATTAAATTACATCATTTAATTACGAAGAAACGCTGGATTACATACGCTGAAAATAAAGTGCCAAGGTTTGCCCACTCCAAATTTACCGGGTTTTATGGCATCTATATATAACTGTAGCCCGATGTAAAACAAAATCGAGAATAGCATAATCAGTATTAACAAAGGATAAGGCCCGTACTTTTGATTGGACTGGAAAGTAAATGCATCCGAAAATCTTAAACCGTCTCCTACAAATTAAGACAATGATTACATATTTAAATAATAATAATAAAATATAATATGCTGAATTAATCAATTATCTCCTCTGTATAGTTTAACAACTGACATAGCTATGGGTGGTGAGGGATGGTTAGGGCCATCATAAGGCCCATCATACTCAGGATCTAATCCTAAAAAATAATCCTATTCGTAAAAAAGCTCAGGACAAGATTACTCAACATCGTAGAACAATGTTGTTGAACAATGAAGCAAACCAGTCATTTACAGAACAGTCAAGTCCAGGGAGAGTCTAATCAATACCAGGGAGAAATGAGTCGGGTCAAGACGTAGGAGAGTCTAGTTGAACCCAGGGAGGCACAAATCGGGCCAAAGAAAAGTGAATGAAGTTAAGTACATCTTGGAGATTTGAGCCTAGCCAGTCATGTCTAAACCATGTAGAGTGATTCAAGTACAGTCGAGTGTAATCAAAACTAGGGAGAGTCAAGTTCAGTTGAGACCATGAGAGTCAGGTCAATGTAGAGTAAAGCCCAAGGTGACCCAAGAGCAGGAAGAGTTGATTCGAGTCAAGACCTTGTAGGTGAGAGTCGAGTTATGATGTTGTCACAGAGAATCGTGTCTAGCCATGACCAGGGAGAGTAAAGACCATGGACAGAAGAGAATATGGAACTTCAAAACCAGGGAACGTCAAGACCAAGCAGAGTCGAGACCAGGGAGAGGCAAGTACAGTTCAAACCATGGAAAGTTAAGTCAACTGAGAGTCAAGCCCAAGAAAGCTGAGACCAGGAAGAGTTGATTCAAGTTGAGTCATTACCTTGGAAAGGAGAGTAAAGTTGTGTTGATGCCACAGAGAGTAAAGTCTAGATGAGACCAGGGACAGAATAGAATATGGAGAGTCAAGACCAGGGAGTGTCAAGTACAATGGAGACCATGGAGAATAAAGAGCATGGGGAGTTGAAACGATGGAGGGTCAAGCCCAAGGTAAATTGAGACCAAGCAGAGTTGAGTATATGTATGGGTTCATTAATCTTGTGGAAAGCTTAATTAACTGCTCGAAAAGGCGATGCATCACAGTGGCAATGACAACAACCCCGTCAGCTGACTTAAAAACACTATTAAACCTACCTCCATTGAAATACAAGAAGCTAGGAAAAGCTTACATAGATGGGGGATACAAAATTTTGGACATACTGTAATAGCAAATAAATTCAGACACCCACCAGACATGGGGACGACCCTGAAAAGATTTTTGGGAAAAAGAAATCAGGATAAAATCAAATACAATTATATAGAATACAGATAGCCCGGGCCAGACATATTCTGTTCAAGCTCAAATATGAGCCATCAAACTCATAATGGGAAATACTCCTAGGTATTTCAAGCTGAAATACATGCTTGTACCATGGAAAATCTTTTAAAAAATCACAGCTTGGCTGTGCATCCAAAACCTGGTTAAATAGCAAATTAAGGCATGAAGGACTTTTAGTTAATGAACAAGCAGACAAACTGCCCAATGAAAAAATGGAAATCTAAATCCCTGCTTCCTTGTATCTTCATCATCTTCATCGTGCTGAAATGTTAAAAAAAAAAAAAAAAAAAAAATTAACAGCACCTGTTTGTTCACCTTCTACTATTAACAAGAGGCCTTGTATAAGAGCCCCAATCGGTATAAACGAGATGATGACCCCAAGAAAGGATGTCGTATAAATTTTTAGGTACTGAATTAATGAATAACATAAAAATATCACCAATATTATTAACGACTGCGCATATGTAGCTGGAAATAAAAAAAAGTATTAGTAGCGATTTTGAAATAAAGTAAGATAACTCACCAACTCACCCTTATTAAAAAATGAGCATACTGTAAGAATGAAAAACGTCATCGCAACTGAATGCAACAGAAGAAGAAACCAATATACGAACCAGTTTGTGTTTGAGAGTGTAGCAGTTGAAAAGAACGGTATTTTTAACAGCAGAGTCGATAATGTAGCAACAAAGAAGAATAAAATGGCAAAAAAGACAACCCAATAGGCAAAAATCAACGGACGTTTTACACCATTGAGCACCATCAATTCCTGTAATATTTTAGTATATTTTGTAATTTATGAATCAACTAAATTCCATTGTAACTACTTTTACTCCTAGTTACTTACTTTTTCACCCTTGGACTTTTCCTTTATTACATAATTTATCATTATTATGTAAAATGGGTACAATTGTATAATGACACCTAATATAAAGTTCCATTGGTTGTCGATAAGACCTAAAATTAATGGTCTTGCTGGAAATGGAAATACTTGCATATGCCACTGAAACAGACAGACAAAAAAGAGACAAATAAATCTTAAAAAATCCAGTTCAGTTTATCGTTGTATTGAGAAGGAAAAATTAAAAAATTCCTACAACCCTAATCCAACCCATGTACATTCCCAGATAATACAAAATCAAAGATGCAAGAATGGTCAAGACCAAATGTTTATCCAGCCCAAAAAAAAACATGTTCATGTTAAAATCAACAACCATTATATATGTCATAAACCGGCAAGTACACTTAAGTGAGATGATAGAAAAAGACGACCAATCAAACTGTATCTTGTTTCATAACCAGATGTAAATAATGCTTGAAAAATTGTAATTGTTAATGTAAGGCAATGAAGGAATTTAATATATCATAGGAAGTAAATTGTACAAATGGCTAATCGAGTAGTAAACATTGTAATGTTTCCAAAAATCTAGTGAGTGAAGAAACAAATAGCTCCAATAATAACAAAAAAGATGTATTGTTTATTAGAGAGTTTATGAGAGAGAGAGAGAGAGATAGAGAGAGAGAGAGAGAGAGAGAGAGAGAGAGACCAGGTAGAACTGTCTGAAGACCAACGAGTCAAACCTAGGGGGAGTTGAGACGAGTCAAGACCAATGAGAGTCAAGCCCAGGGAAAATAGAGTCGAATCTAGACAAGTAAAGTCAGACTTGGAGAGAGTCAAGACCAATGAGAGTCCGGCCCAGGGAGAGTCAAGTTGAGACTAGGGAAAGTCGAGTCAAGACCAATGAGAATCGAGCCCAGGGAGAGTCAAGTTGAGATTAGGGAAAGTCGAGTCAAGACCAATGAGATTTGAGCTCAGGAATTGTCACGACCAGTGAAAAAACGGACATAATCCGACTGACAAGAGTTCAGATACCAGAGACAAGGAGAGACCAGAGAAGGCAGCAAGAAACTGAGGAATGTGAAAACTGAGGTTGGTGAGTGTTTCTTGTGATGGTCATATGGCCTCAGGAATTTGCCCTACCCTCAACCCTCGTTTTTAGAAACAATATAAAAATGGAGGAGTAGAAAATCAAGTCAGTCATAGCAAAGAGAGTTGAGTTAAATTATTTTATTATTATTATATTTTATTTGTTTATGTATATAAAATTATTTTGATTACTTACAGTTGACTCCTCAACCCCTATATAGGCCAAATAGCCTGAATTTATCAACGATTGAATAAGAAGGAACCCACTTGCACCATAATCATCTGAAATGAATGTTGATTATGAATGTTTGTAAATTTTATGTTCACATGAAACTTACATCCGCTAAGAAAAGGATCTGTGCCTTCGATAAGCAACTCATCTGTATGCCAGTCCAACATTTTTGTGCATCTTATCGTGTAAATGAGTGATGTGGTTGATGTCTCCTTGAATATAATCCCAAATCCGATGTCATCTTCGCTTTCATTGAAATGCTGTTTGTGCAACCACGCCTCCATCTTTTTCTCAGTTTCCATCCCTTTAACCTCCTCTAAACCGAAAATGATCAGAAAATAATTTTGATTGTTAAATATTTTTTTTTTTAAACTCACTTAGAGCAGTTACATTATTATCTTTGAACTTTTTCATAATCTCTTCTGTGTCTTTATTGACTGGAGTGTACAATACGTCAACAGTAGCGTAATAAATTGGTATCTCACTCACTAATTTGTGTCTACTTATTAGCGGGGGCAGTATAATGTTATGAGTGTTCTTTCCGATGTAGTAAGCTGTTAATAGATTCGACGAAATACATATTACCATAAATAATGAAAGTAAGTGCTTTTTCCGATGGTATGTACATCGCAACTTCCAACTTAGAGCTTTAATCACATCCATGTTTTCTAAGATAAAACAATATTTATTTTTATTTTTAATAAATAAGTCAATAAAAGAGACATAGAAATATTTTTATAATAAACAGTTAAATATAATATTTGAACTTTTATTTACCAACATACGCTTAAGTTCTACATAACATAAAATACCTTAGTATTTCGGCTCACTGGTGAGTGTAGGACATAAACCAAAGACAATGCACCAGAAGAATAGTACAATAAACAAAATAACAAAACTAAAATGAAACTAAGTTTTCATGTTTTACAAAATCAGTATCAAACATATGTTCACATCATGATTCTGATTGCCAAATAATTGTGAATTAACTAATTCTTGCATACTTTTTTTAAAAATATTTTATATAGTGTTTGTCATCCAGCAAATAAACAAATTTCTTAGTTCAGAATAAAAATCCGTAGCTTCAGGCTTTATATCTAAGCCTAAAAGTTAAAAGTTTTCAGTGGGCAAATGAAATTTTACAATTTTACACTTTTGTTATATCTTCTTTTGGAGTTAGTACAATTAGAGCGATAACAATCAGAACTGCTCTCAAGGTGGTGTTTTGTCACCTTACATCTTTGACGATCTCCTCAAACTGCTACATAAGGTCCTGGGATTTGCATTGTAAACTTAAACAGAGGAACTAACAATTAACCCCAAACTGACCAAGAAAGGTGTTCTTAAGCCACTTGTGCTAAATGGATTTTCTAGAGAAATGAAGTATCTTTGACTGAAAACTTTCTCGAAATCAGCAACTAAATAAGAGCACACAAAGAGCGAAAATTGCCATTGGGCCAAGGATGTAAACGCCTTTGTGCGAAAAAGGAGTGTAAAGGATATTCATATGGTTACATTCAGTGATTTTAAGACCCATTGATAAGATTTTTATTTAGTTTTAAACGTTTTTTATTACAAAGACACAGTTATACAACAACAGGTGACACACACCAGGAACACATCCAATAGACAATAGACAAAGGAAAGACTAACTCAAAAATGAACAAAGGCGTGCAGTGTTGCCAATCCACCTTCATCATATTGTGACAACAGAATTTACTTAACACCCATGATGACCTATGAATCGTTAATGAAAGCTTGGTGGGCAAAAACATAGCTTTCTGCTATGACCATCAGTATTGACACATTAGCCCCAGGAGCAATGGGAATCACTCCCGCTGCTGATCTGGAAGTCCTCCTAAATCTACCACCTCTACTTTCAGGAGGCTAGAGCCACAATTCATAGGCTAATGCAGATTCAGGCTTAAACGGATGGTGCAAAAGGGAAGAGTCATCAATAAACCACAAACCAACCAAGAAAATGCTGCTAGAAATTCTTAAGCCACTTGTGCTAAATGGAGGTGTCCTTTTCTAAAGAAGTGAAATATCTAGGTGCCATCTTTGACCTTTAGCTGATTACTAGGACCCTCTTTATTGCCCAGGCACATTACCCAAGGAGCAATAAGAACGACCTGCCACTGCTGCCCTGGAAGTCCTCCCAAATCTACCACGACATATTCACAGTCCAAAGGCTAATGTAAAGACAGGCTCCAATATTACCTGCATAAAAATGAGCATCACATAAATCATATTTAAAAAAGCGGACTGAAAAAAAAAAATCCCAGTTAATATCGATTGATTTAGTATACAGATGGCTTCAAGGCCCAGTACAGGTCAGGGACCAGTATCTATGGGATAAACCAAGAACTAAAATTGTATAAGTCACAGGTAATACATCACTGTATTTCAGGCAGAGACTGTGGCTTGAACATTGTGCATACAGTGGCACTAAAGACAACCTCATCAGTAAAGTCTAAAGCCTGGGAATGCATCAAGTTAGACATGATGAAAACCAATGAAATCACCCTTGTTTGGGTCCCAGAGCAGAGGAGCAACAAGGAAGACGAAAAATTAGCCAAGGAAAGTCCAGTCAGGACCCCTGTTGCGCCAAATTGCCAAAAACAATATGAGACAATGGGTTAAGATTAAGACCTCAGTTTAATTCAAAAGGACAGAAATGTGCAAAAAAGTTCATTAACTGCGAAGATACAATAAGCTAGAAGACTGCCTGGGTAGCACAAATCCCGCTTCATAGTATCCTCTACCCATCTCCATCTCTCTCCTTAATAGCTGAACCAAGAAGAATTAAAAAAATAGGCCTTTTATATTGGCCATTACTTATTTAATTACCACCTTTTAAAAAAATGGGGAAAACAGTGACTTGAAAAAAGTCAAGTCCAGTCGTTTGGGATTGCGTCAGGACCCTGTCAGACATTGGGACTCTCCTTTGTCTCTCGTCTAGACTTGATTCAACTTGTCTTCCTGGCCTTAGCTCGACTCTGCTTGACTCTCCATGGTCTAAGCCTTGACTTGATTCGAGTCGATTCTCCCCTCCTTGGTGTTGGTTTGACTCTCCCCACCCTAATCAGAACTCTACTTGGGCTTGACTCAACTCTCCTGGGCTCGACTAGGCTTGACTCAATCTGGTCTTGACTCTCCAGGTCTAAGCCTTGACTTGATTCGAGTCGATTCTCCCCTCCTTGGTGTTGGTTTCACTCTCCCCACCCTAATCAGAACTCTTCTTGGGCTTGACTCAACTCTCCTGGGCTTGACTAGGCTTGACTCAATCTGGTCTTGACTCTCCATGGTTTAGACCTGATTTAACTCGATTCCCCCTTCCCAGACCTGAACTGTCCTTGGTCTACTCTCCATGCTCTTTAATCTCTCTGGACATGACTAAACCAGACTCTCAAGGTTGAGGTCTCAATCAAAATATGCTTTTGCACTGGCCATTGCCTATTTGTTTTAAAAATGGGAAAACAGACAAAAGTTACCAGTGGAGATATCATATAGCCACTTTGGAAAGGCTTATTTGCTTAGACAAATAAATAGGAACCCTTGGCTCAACTACCATGGGTCAGTAATGGTTTCATGCAAGGGTCAGTACTACTGAGAAATCAAAAAATAACATGCAAATAAAATTATACACAATTTATTGTTATACTGATGATTCAATCATGAAGACAAACAAAGCTCTCAAGCCCTTAACGCCGTGTTTTGGACAATCTGTGCAATAATGCAGTATGGCTTTTTGTGTACGTACTCCATTCTTCTCCAGCACTTGCCAGCACGCACTGCCACCTGGAAAAAAACGAAAAAAGGAACGTATTATCGAAAAAAAGCGTTGTCGTGCTTTAAAGTAAAGTTATGACTTTAACGCGATGCTACAAGCTGTGCGTAAAAGTTGAAAAAAAGATTAAAAAACGAGTGTTTTTAGTGAAAATTTCGGGCTTTTCGATGTATTTATTGTTATTTTTATGCTCACGTCGCAGATGCTCTTCGTCGGGTACTTGGCAAGCATGAAGGCCATATAGTTGAAGAACGGCACTCGGGTCATTTTAACGGACGACGGTGCCACGCAGTGGTGCTTGGCCAGCTTCTTGACGAGGGACCTCAACTTCAACACCTCTGAGGACGGCATCGTTTCAGGGAATATACAAAAATAGAAGAAAAAATATACGCCCGATTATAAAAGTTACTTCAAACGGCTCGGCCCGGTAGCAGAGGGACGTACAAAGAGCAAAATTTCGAGTGTGGATTTTTTTTTTAATATAAAAAGAAATTTGGAAAATTTAGTTGGAGTCTGTCTGAATTGATGTGTCACTGTCGGAAATTATGAATTTTAAGATACATCTGTTAATTGTACATCTGCTGAATTAGCGTCATTTGTTTTCAATTTCTAGTTTTTTCAAACACAAACGACACTGATTAAATAATTATTTAACTTTTTTAAACGTAAATATATTTATAAAGGCAATCAACCTCCAAGAGTAATTTTTTTGCCTTAAAAATTAAAATTAAACGAACTGTAACAGAGGAAATCCAAACGAGCCGCACTTCCCAGGTCCCAACTGACTTGTTTTTTTCTCAGAATTTTTGCTGTTACCAATTAAAACTATCATGACAATCCATAGCCCATACCATACCTCAGGTCTGAGGTCAGGCATGGTGTTTATGGAAATAAACCAAGGATCAAAATGCATAAAAAAAAACCTTGGACTATATGACACTGTCTTTCAAGTAGAGACTATGGATGCTGAAACTGTGCCAACGTGATTAAATGGCTAGGTATTGTTAATGGAAAAATAGCCATTTATTCAGACAGCACTTGAGCACAATTATCACAATAGTAGTAAAGTCCAGAGTCTGGGATTGCATTGGGGTCGCGGGACTCTCCTTGGTCTCAACTCTACTCTTTCTCAACTCAACTCTCCCCTGCCTGGTCTCGACTCTCCAAGGTCTTTGCTCTTCCTGGTCCCGGCTCGACTCAACCCCCCCCTGCTTAGTGGGCTCAACTCGACTCTCACCTCTCTGTTCTTGACTCAACTCTTTGATCCCTAGTTTCAACTCTCAATGGGCTCAACTCTCCATGGTCTAAGCTTACCCTCTGTTGAAGAGGTGACTCGACTCGACTCACCTCTTTCTGGTCTCAACTCGACTCTCCATGGACTTTGCTCTTGGCCTCGGCTCAACTCATTTCTATTCTCCTTGTGCTTGATTCGATTCTCCCTGGTCCCGACATGACTAGAGTCAACTCAACTCTTCCCACCTTGGTCAACTCAACTCGACTCTCCATTGTCTTTTCTGGAAATGACTCTCCCTAGTCTCAATTGGACTTGACTCTACCTGGTCTAGACTTGAATTGACTCACCTCTCCTCTGCCTGGTCTTGACTCTTCCTTCCCTCGTTTTGATTCGACTTATCCTCTTCCCCCTTCCTGGTCTCGACTTTGCTCTTCCTAGTCTCGGCTCGACTCAACCCCCCCCCCACTTAGTCTTGACTCAACTCCACTCTCACCTATGTTCTTGACTCAACTCTTTGCTCCCTGATTTCAATTTTCCTTGGGCTGACTCTCCATGGTCTAGGCTCTTACCCTCTGTTGTCTAGATGACTCGACTCACCTCTTTCTGATCTCAACTCGACTCTTCATGGTCTTTGATCTCCCTGGTCTCGGCTCAACTCGACTTCCCCCTGCCTGGTCTTGATTCGACTCGACTCTCCCCACCTTGATTTTGTCTCATCAAGATGAGTCAAGACTCTCCCCTCTCTGATCTTGACTCAACTTTCCTCTCCCAGGTTTTGAACTCTGCTTGGGCTTGTCTCGACTCTCTTTGGTCTCGACTCTATATTATTTCAACTGGACTTGACTCTACCTGGTCTAGATTTGAATTGACTCATCTCTCCCCTGCCTGGTCTTGACTCTCCATGGTCTTGTTCTCCCCGTTCTCGACTGAACTCATTTCTATTCTCCTCAAGCTTGACTTGATTCTCCCTGGCCTCGACTTGACTAGAGTCAACTCAACTCTTCCCCCCTCGGTCTTGATTCAACTTGACTATCCATGGTCTTTTCTGGAAATGACCTCTCTAGTCTAAATTGGACTTGAATCGACTTTCCCTGCTTTCCCCCTATAGTAAAGTTAAACATTAAATAAAAATCTCTACAAAAAAAAAAAAAAAATGAAGATATTATCTACTTCCTTGTGGACCATTATGGACTTTGATCAAATTAAATTGAGCAGCAATTGATGAATAATGCATTGTACGTTGATAGAATGTAACAACGTATGCAATACTGTTAATTTATTTAATATTTCTGTTTCCTCATTAAAACGTCAGTTACTTAAAGCATAATAATTTTATTTTGTAAAAAAAGCTAAAAATTACAATATATTTAGTTATAATGCTTTATTATATTATTTTTTTTTTTTGTTCTAGTTGTATAATTATACAGACAGGGTGTTTAATTAAATATTTATGTTGTTATATTTATATGGATTTTATTATCTTTTTCATTGATGTTTAGTATAGTGATTTATGTTGAGTTAATTATAAGCATTGCTTTGTATATACATTTTTTTTTCTCTTTACTTTTAGATATGTTTTTTTAAGAAATGGGTTTTTGATCCGTAAAAAATAAAAATAATAAATAACAAAAATAAAAAATTAGAGCCCAAGGTAATCAAGGTTCCAATAGTTATTGAATCAATTGATTATTGTTTTTGATTTTTTTTTTTTTTAAATATAAAAGAACATAATTTTCATATATCGACATACTGATGTGTAGAAAGTTCCTGTAATTTAAAACTCGTTAAGGCTTAACTTCCTGGCAGGTATCTCAATTTGAATCATGAACCTTGCAGTTTGGAGCGACATATTAAAATTAGTTTACAAATAAGCACGCGCCCAGTCCGGTCAATAAATTAAAAATGAAATTACTTTTCTTTCTTGTGGTAAATTAAAAAATAAATATATGTTATTTACACTGTTAAAATAATTTGTCATTCGAGATTTCAGCTAGTTACGCCATTAGGCAAGGAGGATTTGCTTCAGGGAACCCAGAAGATGGTAATTGAATTTCTTTGGTTCTTATTATTATCGATTTTTTTTTTTCAATTTTAATCTTTACAGATGTAGAGGTGCTAACAACCCAAATCCCTGAGTACGATGAAGAGGATGAATGCGAAGAAAGCTTTTTCGAGTTATTCAACAAGATTTTATGCTTTATAAAATTGGTCGTTGGTCTGTTCACCGGATCTTCAGACCCTTGCTGTTCGTTCGAACTGCCATCTTTTGGCTGACTCGACCCATTGGTTAAATAAGAACTTTAAAACACAAAGAGTAGAATTCGTTTTTTATTTTTTATTTTATTCACCCATGAAATCAATGTGTTATTTAGTAACTTTTCATGCATATATGAAGGAGAGTCCTTAGTAAAGAAAGAACCCGGAATTTTAAAAAATATTCCTTAAGCACAAATTCACATCTTTACATTATGAACCTAAAATGTTATATGTGAATGCTTCAAGATTTAAGACGTTCGTTGATAGAAAATAGTGGATGCTTGCGTAAGTGTGTTTACAGAAAAAATCTAGTCCTTCTAACTCCTCTGAGCCAAAATCGCATCAAGCGGTTCCAAAATGCTGCAGCAGCATTATATAAGAATAGACACCTTGCATAAACTGTAAACAGAAAAGCGTAACAAGGCATTGTGTTACAAGTGTTAAAAATTTAAAAAAGTAAATACCGTCGTAAACTGCTCCAGCTCGAACTTGAGGACGAACCTGAAATGAAGCTGCATTGGTCTAGCCGCCATTGTCATAAATATGAGCAATTTCTTTCTCGTACTGACATCGTTCTTATACCACGAACTTTCATATATTGCCCTGAATAGTTTCTCATTCTAGAAATTAACGCAAAATGTAAAGTTTGTAAGTAAAACATTAGGGGGTTTTTTTTTTTTAAACCTCTGTTTTGATTATATTCCCTCCCCAAGTAAGTGTATACGGAGTGATTAGTGTTATTATGGCTAAAATAACGAATGAAAGGAAGTTGGAAAAATCTCCCTTTTTCAAGTCGAGAAAAAAAGCAACTACTCTCGCAGCGACTTCAATGCCGTTGATGACCATTTCCATGAAGTAAACCGTTGATAAATAATTGTTTATTTCTCTGTTATGCCTAGAAAAAATAAAACAAAGCTTTATTAAACAGCGTAAAAAATTTAAATTTCAGTGTTTTTACACACTTTAAAATTTCTTGGTAGAGTATGTAAGGTCTGTTTCCAAGTTTTTTCATATCTTTTTGTATTAAAAGTTGCTGGAGGTATTTCAGGTTAAAAGCGGAGTATGTCGTAATCAAGAAGAGAATGTTAACGGAGACGCAGGTGCTGACCAACCCGCAGTAAAATGAAGTGATTTGAAATGAAAAATTCGACCAGTACCAGGAGTAAGGAAACGGCGCGTAAGCTGGAAGCGGGAGGATCCAGACCTCCTGATTCCAATTGTTTAAAAGACATTCGATAATGACCAACGGGCAAAGGCCTACAAATATTACAAAGTAGAAGACTGTATATTTTCTGATCATATAATCCTGTTCTTCGTACTCTTTCTCCATTATATTCTCCGCAGCTCCTTCTTTCCAAATCGCGTCGAGCCTTTTCACTATCTTATCGACAGTTTTCGCTCTCAACAGTGTATTGAAATGCCTCGTCACGATGTGCACCATGCAGATGCAGAACTGACTTGCGGCCAGCTTGTCGATCAACGGCCTGTCGCTCAGAAGATAAAAGAGAGACAGGAAGAAGTACGCACTCGTGAAAAAAGTTTGGTAAACGACGTATAAATATACGAATTTAGAATGCTTTTTAGAAGGGTCTACAATCATCCCTGCTAATCGCATAGCCAAAAAATAAAAATATTCAGATGGAGCCCTCATCGTCGTATGAAAACCAAATGAAAAATAAGCTTTACGTAATCATTCCTCACCTACAAACCATCTTGGTCAAACATTCCACTAAATTATTTCTTTTTCAGCCTTATTAAGTAAATTGGATGAAGAAATTGACTTGGAAATAATTTGTGTGAGTTATTTATTTATACGGGAAAAAATATACCCAGTACAGGTTCAATAAGAGGTTAAACCATACATAAGTAATAATGAATAATTATAAATACAAATAACGTATAACAATAATTAAAAATATAAACATATTCAAAAATAACAAACACAAATAAACAAATTATGTCATAATATACATATTTATAAAAGAAGTAAGAAGGAATGATAAGAAATCAGATCCATATATTTTTTTTAATGTTTAAATTGATTTAAGGAAAGGTAAAAAGTGATACAATTTAAAGGAAATTTATTTCTCGTCCCCATGAGATGAGAAATCAGACTAAACTTTAAGTAACTAGATAATAATTAGATAACTGTAACCGTGGAACATGGAAATTTAGCAATAGTGGTTGCAGTTCTGCATATTCCATGAGAAATACAAAAGTAGAGAAAAATATTTTGACAATAATAGTATAAAAACTGAGATAAAATCTATTATTGAACATTGAAAATTATTTTGCTTAGCTAAATTAATTTGCAATTTAAAACAGGGTAGACTGAACAGTTGAAAATGTCAAACAAAACATTAGTCTCCATGGATTGGATAATTTAGAAAAAATCAGATGCCGTCATTCGACTCATCTCTGCCCCTTACTCAGTTTTTGGTCTCGACTCTACTCATCGGTTGACTCTCCTGATCTTGGCCTCTTCCAGCCAGGGCTCAACTCATATCCCTGTGCTCGAATTGGCTCCCGGCCTCGAATGATTTTATTTTTCAATCTTCCCTTTTATGTCGGTCCCAAAAAGGGCTAAAATTGGCACAATCAATCAGTTTAAGGACAAACCACAGAATCTGTGCTGAATATCTTCATAATCTAAGTATCATGTATGTAGAGGGGTAAAAGAAAACCTAAGTATAACAGGATTAATTATTTATTAGAGAAAATTTGTAAGAAATTTGTTTCTTTGCATATTTTCATTTTACTTTAAATGTTCATATACTGTCAATTAAAAAATAATTTTAATTGCTTTGTGTCCCATTAATTATTATTTGAAGTCATAAATTTCACCAGTTTATAAAAATGCAAGTTAGTGGCGATCAATTTTCGTTCTCTGACCTCCTGTAAATATTATATATGGTTTTAACGATGCAATTACTGTACACACTCGCCCTTAAACAGATATAAAACATTTATCAATTTAAAAAATAATAAGAAGACCTGAATATTATATACTTTTTTTTTTTTCAGCTGCGTTTGGTGATGTTAATCCACACCCCTCCATCTACGGCTAATAACAGCGTACCTTTTCTGTATTTAATCGGTATATTTGTCTTTTCGTTGAGCGTCACTTTATAGTTTAGAATAATTTTTGTCAGGGCGATTTCCACTTCTAACCTTGCAAATCGAGACCCTAAAAACTTTTGATGTTAGATCAGCACCGTTGGATCAGGCTCGAACTTACCGATGCACTTTCTTGGCCCATCGCCGAATGGTACGAATGCATTTTTAACCATCCGGTCTTTTCTCACGTCGCCGAATCTTTCCGGATCGAATTTACCCGGCTCCGGAAAGTATTTCGGATCGTTGTGCAGGCTATAAACCGGCACCGTGACTATCGTCCCTGGCGGGATGACGACCTCCGTCCCAGGAAGCTTGTACTGCTGCAGAGATTTACGCGAAACTGCTTTCGCTGGTGGATGTTTTCGAAGTGTTTCTAAAAATATTAAATACAGAGTAAATTTTACTATAAAATATAATCATAGAGTGTATAACAATAGTAATTCGATAGTAATTGATAATCTGAACAGATTTTTTTTTTTTTCAAATAAATTTTATGGCTACACAGTGTAGCATAAACCATATATCACAAATAATTTTTTATATTATGTAAATGCATTACCTGAAATTACTTGTTTTACATAGTTAATATTAACGAAGGATTCATTAGATTTCAAATCACTCTGACTAATATGGTTTATTATCTCTTGATATAATCTCTCCTGCACATCTTGATTGACTGCCAGTTCATAAAGAGCAAAGTGAAGGGTGGTTGATGTCGTTTGAAAAGCGGCGACAAAAAATACTATTGCATTAGATAAGAAAACCGTATGGTCGAATTTAACTGAAAATTCAAATTAAACTTTCAGACTGTTACAAGTGTTAAATTATTAGTTAATTAATCAGGGTTTACGTTTATTTGCAATATTTGCTTTGTCGCGTTTCAATTGATCAAGGATAGTTAAAAGATCTTTTATATGTATATCATTCATTTTTCTGTAGTTTAATACGGTTTGTAAAACATTTCCAAACATATCTTGCGTTTCTTGGGAAATCTGATGCATTTTTAATAATTCAGCGAGCCAAGGTATGTAGAGTTTAACGAGGTGTGAAAATTTATTTTTTGGCTTTGCAAAAATCGACTGCTGGATTTTCACCAGCGAAGAATCATTCTTGAAGCTATCACCGTTTATACCAAAAGCGCAGGAAGCGATTACATTCATTGAAAATTTTATCATCAACCCCCTCGCTTCGAATGGAGTCCCGTCTGTGTATTTCGATAAAAAATTCACCAGTTCGTCTGAGCATGCTACGATTTGATCCTGCATTCCTTTCAGTTTGAAACGTGAAAACGCCGGATTCAATTTATCCCTAAGCGCCTTCCAAACCGGACCTTCGAGATTGACGATATTGGCTAATGTCGGATCATTCGCATCACCGATAAATCCTCTGTCGGTGAACAATGAAAAATCTTTGATCAAAATGTATTCAACAAGACCAGGGTCTCTTAAAAAAAGGACAGGCTGTCTGAACGAAAACGAACCGAAAAACGGTTCATCTTTGAAAGTACAATACATTTCTTTTTGCACTTCAGCCTCCATCGCAAGATCGGACTCGATTGTACCAAGAAACGGGTACTTTGGCTTGATGTAAGGGACTCCTCTTTTTTTCCAAAAGCTGTACGTAGCAGTACCATAATAATACAAAAATGTCATTAAAATTGTGACTAAAATTAAAAAACCGATCAATTGGTCCATAGTTTTGTTTTATAAATTTAAACTGCACAAACCTTCAGATCAAATTAAAATAAGAGCTCTGAATGAATTATATTAAAGATCCCATTATCAGTCTTATCTCAATACAAACTTTTTTTTAAATCAAGGTTAAATTTTGCGCATTCTTTTACACAGATAAAAATTGATACGACTAAAAGATAATTTGAAAAGAATTGTTTAAACATTTTTTATCTACTGAGATAGCGAGCGAAGCAATAGCAAGTTATTAAAACAATGCACACAGTTTCCAGATTAATAATAATTTATAGTACTAGTAGGCTCATTTAAAGTTAAAGTAAAGGAGTTATGCCAGTTTTCACTGTCTTCACTGGTGAGGTGAGGTGTGTATTGCTAGGGTTTTCTATGATAGCTAAGGTGATCAACAAAGGTGGCTATGGTTTCCTTGTTTGGACCGACTCCCTCTGTGCGGTTACAGTTCATGACTCCTTCATCACCAGTTACCACAAACTGTAGTATCTCAGCAAAATAGTGGTTCTGAGTAGGAGGAAGCTATAATCAAGAGCACTGTTGATAGGTGGCCTTAAGAGGATCTGACTTGTAGAAGAGCCATCTTGATTAAGAATAGGCCATGCGAGGTTGACACATTCTGTGCCAAAGCCTACGTATCCACGTATAGAGAAATGTTTCTCAACGTGTTCAACTGAATTAAAGGGTGACATTCCTTGTCTCTATATAGAGATCGTGAACCTGATATGAGAACTGCTTGAGGACGGAAGGGAGTGGGTCTCGTTCTGATTTGGCCCTGAACCCTTTTGTGTCATACCGCAGATATATTAAAAGCGATAGTTTGTCTCGTAGATCATTGGGAAATATGATATTTTAGGAGAAGCAGGAGTTCAGAGATATTTGTAATAAGTTTTTGTAAGTAAAAATGTCAGAAATTTGTCTGTGAGATTCAAGAGTTGGAATTTTAAATTGCAATCTGAGGTCATGATAGTGGAGAGAGACGTTATCAAATCAGATACAAAATGACCTAAAGATGAATTGAGAAAACAGGTTTAAACATAAACCCTAAGAAAACATCTCATACCTTTTACAAGAAGAAGTAAGCTAAATTAATATCTAAAAACACCCACTATAAAAGAAGAAGACTTAACTTTCTCCAAAGAAACAAAGTAGCTAGGTATAATCCTTGACAAAAGGCTCCACTAAGCATTGGCCAGAGATTATGGAACAAAAACTGTGTATAACCCTCAGGATGGCATATTGGTTGTACACTACAATGGTCAGACCCTTGGTCAGATATGGTGGCCAAAACACTGAACAAAGGATACATAGAATGGGCTACAAAGTCTACAAAGACTACTGGCGTACAGATGAAATTGAGAGAAATTAAGATTATTTAGGCCCTTAAAAAAGATTAAAGGTCCAAGAATATAACCCAAGAATATAAGCTGAAATTAAGAGAGAAGAGGTGATAGAATTTGCAGAACCGAGTTTTGAAAAATATAGGATACAATTAAATAAGTTTCCAAATAAGGAAATTATGATTAATGGAGCCGAATGCTGTTATCATCTGAAATTTTGAGGGGTGTCCCACGATTATGAATTTTTGTAAACCAGATTAAAAATGAGATATAAAGGCATGGTAGTAAATAAATAAGTATATTTGTTCAAATTAATAATTATAAATATTAAATTAATATAAATATATGACAATTTTTTGAAGTTATATTGCTTAAACCATAATTTATCAATTCTCATATTTTAGAAATAAATTGTCTTACTATTTACTACTACTTTTTATTACAAGAATGTATTCTTTAAATATTAATTATTTATAATACTTATTCAGAAATCGTGAGATGTGGTCTGGTGTGATGTAGGTTTCAGAAAAACATTTTCTTTATCGTGCCAACGTTTCGATCTTTATTGAGATCATCTTCAGGTCTCAAAGTGTTTGTCTTCTGTGTAATTGTGCCATTCTTGCGTGTCATGTTGAGAGAGCCACACACACGTACACAACACGCAAGAATGGCACAATTACACAGAAGACAAACACTTTGAGCCCTGAGATGATCTCAATAAAGATCGAAACGTTGGCACGATAAAGAAAATGTTTTTCTGAAACCTACATCACACCAGACCGCATCTCGCGATTTCTGAATAATTATCGATTAACGGTCACTAATCACCACACATATTTATAATACATTGATGAAACCGCATTAAGAAAGAAAACCAGAAAGAGAAAGAAAAAAGGAAACTGGGAAAAGAAACGAAAGAAGATGATTTGTGTCATTTTTCAAAGGTGCCATGGGCCTAAAAAACGCCTGTGAGGAAGTAGAAAGTACTCCCTGGGAAAGTAAATTCCAAAGCCTTACAATTCTAGAGAAAAAGGCTAAAGCTTTTAAAGACATCAGCATAAAATGAAATTGGGAGAAATTAAGATCATTTAGGAACTTGGAAAAGACTAAAGGTCCAAGAATATAGCCTTGGAGTACACAAGCTGAAATCGAAAGAGAAGATGTGAAAGAATTTGCAGCTTTAACTCACTGAATTCTGAGACAATAAGGAGATAAGATAAAATAAATTTCCAATTAAGGAAATTATGATTTATGGAGCCGAAAGCATTGGAAAAAATCAAACAGAGGCGGTTATCATCTGAGATTTTGAGGGGTTGCCCCACGATTAAGAAATTTTCGAATGCCAGACTAAAAATGAGATATAAGGGCATGGTAGTAAATAAATAAAGATATTTGTTTAAATGAACAATATTATAATAAATATTGAATTAATATAAAATATATGATCATTTTTCGTCGTTACTTTTGTTTCATGCATTATTTATCGATTCATGGTCGATATCCATGTTTAGGTTCCGTATATCCGTAAATTGGAAGGTTATCCACCAGGTTCTATTCACGTTTTTTTTCACTTTTGCAATTTTAAGATGTTTGTTTAAAAAAATAGTAATGTTTTATTTAAAATATATGTAAATAAATATAAAACGTGGTTGACCGGATTTTTAAAAATGAAAGTCTTAACTTTCTTGGGTTACGGGCGTTCTTTGACTATTTTCAGTGAGTTTTTATTATCCTGTTTGTTTTTATATTTATTATTATTGTTTTTTTTCGTTTTTAGAAAGATTTGTAAATACAGCCCCTGCGTATGTAAAGCATCAGAATGATGTATTCACAGCAGAAGCGAACAGGCAGATGCACAACGTCGGACGTATCGAGAAGGTTGAAATATCCTACGACGGCTTACCGGAAAAAGCTACGTTGTACATGAACAGAAACATTTCAACGCCTCATGATGTCGCATTACGTGAGATAATTTTTAAAAAATAATAAATGCAAAACTTTATTAAAAGTTTATCTTTTGTTAGATATATCGCAGTTTGTCGCTGGTAGAAGCGCATTGGCGATTGTGGACAATCAAACGCCATGGGATATGCACAGGCCATTTGAAGAGTCGTGCCATCTTAACTTTCTCGGTTTTAACGACTCGGACCCTTACCTGGTGAACAAGGCGTTTTGGAAATCTTGCTCGTTTCTTCTCGGCGCTGTGATCAACACGGCGTTCTCCGACCATATCAAAGTCACCCTTCACAGCTTCCCTTCCCCGCAAAGTATAATCAATCAGCGGTTTTTAAACAAACTTGAACGTTTCTTAATTATTTTTCTTTTTAATCAGTAACGAGCGGGAGTTTTCTGTACGATGCTAGTTTATCGCTGGACGACTGGAACCCGACTAAGAATGAGCTACGAGTCCTTTCTGCAGAAATGGCCAAATTAGTCAATCAGAGTCTACCATTCGAAAGGCTTCAAGTCTCCGAGGAAATGGCCAAGGAAATATTTTCCGATAATAAGTTTAAACTTCAACAAATACCGAATATAGCCAATAAATCAGGTTTGTCTTTAATATATCGAGAGAGAGAAAAAATTCTAGATTTAATTTACGCTTTATAGATGGCCATATAACACTTTATCGAGTCGGAACGCACATAGATATCAGCAAGGGGCCACTCGTAGGTAACTCATCTTTCATCGGAAGGTGTACGATTGCTGCTGTAAGTCAAAATTTTTATTTTTTGTATAAAATTCAAAATCATAATTTCCCGACTTTCCAGGTCCATAAAATCGAGAGCGAGGATGGAGTCTTGTTTAGGTTCCAAGGAGTTGCCCTCCCTAAAGGACTTTTAGTAAGTAACATCCCTTCAAAATAAATTGTTTTTTAGTAATCTTTTTTTGTCCCCAGCTTAATCAGTTTGCTTATAAAATCATAGAGGAACGAGCCGCAAAACTGGTAAATTATTAAGATTTTTTTTCTCTTCTCATATTCAAATCAATTTATTCTTGTTACAGAATAAATCTACCTTCACAGAACCCTCACTGGAAGAACAGCTTGCGTAAATTTTCCTCGTGTATTTTTATAGTCATTTATAAATAAATATTAATTCTTTTTTTACCTCTTACTTTTTTTTAATGCTTTTCATATTCAGAATTGGTGCGGTGATTTAGTTACTTAGGGAATGGCTTGTATAATAAAGAAAACTCCTTTATAATGGATACAGGGACTGTGGTAGCCAAGTGGTTAAGGTGTCATACTCTTGGCTGGTAGATCCTGCGGTCTTTTCTTTCTGACGCCTAAGGGGTATGGTGACCGCAATTGGAAGAAATTGACACGGCATCATCAATAGAAGGTCTAGGGCGGGATCATATCTCAGTGACCCTGAACTTGGCCCCAACCCCCTTCAAAAATGAGTTTCTTCAAAGGAAGAACATCAGCACACAAAAAATGGAGCCAGGAATAAAGTACAATAAGCTGTAGTATATTAATTTAAAAAGAAATTTTTTTTTAATACAACAAATTTTGTATAATTTTATACTTTTCAAAGGTCTAATATGTAAAGGGGAAAAATGTTTATATTCCAATACAGCAAAGGGGACCAAGGGTCAAGTGGTGAGGTCGTCTGGTTCGAATCCCGGCACAACAAATGGCTTTTTAATTGAGAATCGTACCCCCTTGTCATTGTCACCCAAGTGAAGTTGGATGTTAAGCCATTTTGTATGAAAGGAATTATTTTGTAGGTCTCAGTGTAGAAAAGGTTGTTAGTCTTTTTTTCAACACCCAAGAAAGAAAGAAAAATCACAAGAGGCTTTTCTTTTTCCCTAGTCACGTTTGTACAGTACGCAGATAGTGGTCGTTTTGCTATTTTACCTCCGAAACGTCTCTTCCTTCTAGCTAACGCCAAAAAAAAAAAAAAAAAAAAAATAGGCTAAACCAGCAACGTTTTTATGTATTGCGTAAGTGTTACACCCTAGCGCCGGCCAGTTTAAGATCATAGGGTTTTTTTTATGTCCAATTAATGTCTATATACAGTGAAATATCCCTATAACGGACACTCTTGAAGAATGAAATTGATTCGAATCCAGGACTTTTACCTGCAATAGAATAATAAATATTTAATTATAAGGATTAGAATTTACACTGCCTTAAATCAATTGAATACGCTAAACCAGCAACGCTTTTATGTATTGCAAAGTGTTACACCCTAGCGCCGGCCAGTTCAAGATCTTAAGGGTTTTTTTTCCCAATTAATGTCTATATACAGTGAAACTTCTCTATAACGGACACTCTTGAACAATGAAATTGATTCGAATCCAGGGCGTTTACCTTAAGCTGGATTTCTACTAGGCAAAACAAAGTGAGCCATCAGCGTGAGACAAGCACACCTTTAATAATTACACTAAATGCTGCATCAGCGTTTCCTATCATGGCAATACTTGTATACGTTAAAAAGAAAACCTTGGTGGACCAAAGAATTATTCATCGGCGAACCTCATTAGTTTTCATTTTCGCTTTAACAGTATCGACAGTTTGTCCCATTTTGATGTTTTCCTTCCAGCATCCTCTCTCATGTTCTAATGAGTTTTATCTTTAGCATATCAGAAAAATCAGTAGCTGTGATATATTCGGATAAGTCGAATGCACTCTTCCTAGTCCATTCTCATAATTGAGACAAGTCTACATGAAGCGAAACAAACAACTTTGATGCGCACTAAAAGGCCAACAGGCAGTCGGCTGACCTTGAAACATCCTCCTGCTGAAAGGTTAGCAGTCCCGGCTAAGTCTCCACAATACAAGACAAGATTTGCGAAACAGCTTCAAGTTTCGCGCAGTGGAAACCCAGTTTTACATCGTTGAGCGCTTTGTCAATGCCTAAACCAGCCACTGATACCCCTAGGGTGTTAAGGTTAGGAAGTGGGGTGTAATGAAAACAATTTTTGGATGTGGTTCCGCTTCTGCAAACTATGCTGACTACCAGGCCGCAGCAGTTCTCTTTCCTGACTCTGACTGCCTCACTGTCCTCTCTGACTCCAGACTGACTCTTCTCTACGCCGTCTACCATGGCCATACCAGTGTTGTTCTCAGACTCTGACTGACTCTTCTTCAGGCCTGCCCCTGTTCTTTTTGGGATTGTACATTTATTAATCAGATGGGAAGGAGGTGGAGACTCGTCAAGCTTAGGAAATACTGTTATGCTTCCTGGTGAAAAATGTATATAATTTTTTTTTTTTTTACAGAACTTGTCTGTTAAGAGAGGTTTTATTGCAATATAACACAACAGTAAAAAGAAAACAATTTAATAAATAACAGTATTTAAAAACAAACTATTATCCTACCATAGTCCTCTTCCTCCCCCTAGCTTTGACCTCTTCGTACTTTCTCATAACTTCTTTACTCCCTTTATTGGCTTTGCGGTAGAATTTGATTATCGTCATGAAGAACTGCTCGTTCAATTCGTGCGTACTCGACAAGGCCCTTTCCAGGACGTAAAGATCAACGGCTTTGTCTTCAGCGCTCTGAGCCACAGTTGAAAGGCCAAAGTCAATAAGGTATATTTCATCATCTTGCAGTATCATGTTAGACGTCGTAAGGTCTCCGTGGATTAAGTTGTTTGAGTGTATTTTACCGACGCTCTCTCCTGTAATTTAATAAAATTAACAAACGACATTAGCTGTTTGATAAAACAAATTTTGTACCGATAAGCTCAGCGATTCGAAGCGCTTTGTCTGTACCGTCATCAAGCGCTTCTTTAACCGACGCGCCGGACAGCTTTTGGAGATAGATCAACCGCCGATCCAGGTCGATGTAGTAGACAGTTGGGCATTTTACACCTGCCGCCTTGCACCTGAGGATCCCTCTTGCTTCGTTCCTCAGCCTTTCCTTGCTCAGGGCTTCGTCTAAGTCCGGATGCCTGTATTTCTTGAGGAAACGTTCTTTAACCACTACCTCATCACCGAGGAAAGCTCCTGTGTACATCTTGGCCTCCGCGCCCTGTTTCCAAAGGTCGAAACCGTCTAAATTTGCCATTTTATCACAGATATATAAAGAAAAAACAAACTAAAGTTGTTTCGACTTGTCAGCAATCGCCGGTTCAAAACATCAGTATATAACAGTCTGTGAATTGTGATATCGCAGTATCGCACTCTGGTGACAGAGTGTATAACCACTTAACAGGCTAGTATCACAGTATCCCACTTGTTTTCAAATTTTCTTCATTGTGAATATTTTCATTTTTTAAATAAGTATCCCTTAAGTAACCATCCCTAACTAAGTATTAAAATTAAGAGAAATTTAACTTATTAAATAAAACCTATAGTTTTTTTCCCGTGTAGAAATGTGTAGAGATTAGTGACCGTTAATCGATAGTTATTCAGATATCGTGAGATGCGGTCGGGTATGATATCACACCTATCAGTATCACACCCGACCGCATCTCACGATATCTGAATACCTATAGTTTTTTTTGTTTTTTTTTAAAGTGAAAAACCAAATTAACTTTGATGTTAGACTATCGAACATTTAAAAGTGATGATATATTCAACATGATATTCAAGGCAATACTCAAGCTGATATTCAAGTAAAATAGCAAAAAAAACAAGGAATTCTGGGGACAAAATGTGATACTGCAATATCACACTCTGGTTACAGTGTGTATAACCACTTACCAGACCAGTATCACAGTATCCCACTTGTTTTCAAATTTTTTTTATTATAAATATTTTCGTTTTTTAATAAGTAATAAAATTAAGAGAAATGGGCTTACAAAGTTGTACTTTTTTCGCTTATTAAAAAAACCTAAATAGTATTTTTCTAATTTTTTTTTTTTTTCTTTGAAAAGTGAAAAACCCAAATAAACTTTGATTTTTAACTATCGAACATTTAAAAGTGATGATATATTCAACATGGTATTCAAGGCAATACTCAAGCTGATATTCAAGTAAAAAGAGCAAAAAAACAAGGAATTCTAGTGACGGAGTGTGATATCGCAGTATCACACTCTAGTTACAGAGTGTGTAACCACTTACCAGGCTAGTAAGTATCACAGTATCCCACTTGTTTTCAAATTTTTTTCATTATAAATATTTTCATTTTTTTTAAAATAAGTAATAAAATTAGGAAAAATGTGCTTACAAAGTTGTACTTTTTTTGCTTATTACATAAAACCTCTTTTTTTTTAAGTGAAAAACCAAATTAGTTTTGATTTTTAACTATTGAACTATCGAACATTTTTAAAAGTTATGATATATTCAATATGATATTCAAAGCAATACTCAAGTTAATATCCAAGCAAAAAGAGCAACAACACAAGGAATTCCAGTGACAGCGTACCCATGTGGGGATTTAGAATCACACATAAAACATGAATTGCGTGGCATATCATAGACAATAAACTACGAAGCATCAAAGATTCTGTCAGGTGGACTACATCCTTCCGGCAAAGCAGACAAGAAGAATTAACTTTGACCAGGCTACGTATCGGACACACCAAATACACACCTCATGAACAGAAAAACACCTCCACAATGCAACACATCTCTGACTGTAAAACTTATATTAACTGAATGACAACTTTTAAAATCAGCCAGAGTACTCAACCTCCCAAAAAGGCCTAAAGATCCTAAGCGACAAGTCAGCAAGCCTAAGTAAAAATGATGGTTTTATAAAGCATCACATCATCAGGATGAAGAAAATTGCTATTCTTAACATATTTTAAGTCATTAATATAGAGATTGAATAGTATGGGTGAGAGATAGAAATTATGAATTGAAGATTGAGAAGAAAATTGAGGGATAGAAATGAAATGATTTTAAATAGTATGGGTGAGAGAAGTCCACCTTGTGGTACACCTGATGTAGCATTGAAATCTTACGAAAATAATTTGTTTATTTTCACTATTTATTTCCAATTAGAACAATAACATTTATACCACTGTTAGAGGATAATAGGACGGGCATTGCTCATAAACTAATTTTTCTGTTCTAAGGTCAAGTTAAACACAGAAATTCCAGGCAACCAGGATCTTACGCATTTCCACTCAGACTGAGAAGAGATCTTCCTATGGTGTATTGGCGTTCGTCCCCTTCTTATTTAAAAAACAAAAATCTTTTATGCGTTTATTTTAAAATAATAAAAGTTAAAAACATATACATTTTTTTTTGGACACCTTTTTGTGTACAAATTTATATGTTGTACTAGGAAGACACAATTTCTTTTGTAGATATTAATATATTAAAATTATGTAATTGTGTTTATTTTTACTTACTTCTAGTATAGACATAATGTTCAGTATTTTATTTTCCAAACTAATCAATCAAATCAAAATATAAAATCCCAAATCAGTTTCTAAATTTCTACCAATAGGTTTGATCAACTATTGCTCTATCACAGATGATTTTCTATTATTCCTAAGGTTACGATTTAGAGCCTGGAAGCCATTCCTCCCGATATGATGATGGTTTCTCCCGTTATGTACGAAGCATCATCGGAAACGAGAAATGCAACTGTACTCGCAATTTCCGATGGTTTTCCCAGCCTGAAAAAAATTTTAAAAAAAAATTCAACTAAATCGATACTAATTGCTGTCAATAAACCTTTTCATTGCGATATGTGATAATAATGCTTCGTGCGTTTCTTCTGATTCGTGAAGCTGAAAAAAAAAATTTATTATCAGTACGATAATTCTGAATTTATACTCGCTTGAACTTACAGCCGATGAAAATTTCGTTTTTATAATACCAGGTGCGACACAGTTGACTCTGATATTCTCAAGGGCTAAATCCGAAGATGCTGCTTTTGTCAAGCCCAACAGTGCTGTCTTGCTTACAGAATACACACCTAGAATCTTTTTTTTTTAAACAAAATTAAAATTAACTTTAATAACAGATTACCCTTGTAAAAAAAAATTAATTACATCAAATGGCTGATAGCCTGCTATGGAAGAAACGTACACGATAGAACCGCCGCCCCTTTTTCTCAAATAAGGCAAAGCTTCTTGCGAGAGCATGAAAGCGCTTTTGACATTTATATCAAAGATCTTGTCCCAGACATCTTCGCTGCTCTGTTAAGAGACGAATTAAATTTACCCAGGTTTTGGGACTAAAAATAATAAAACCTTACTTCCAAGACAGGGCCAACTGCAGGATTGACGGCAGCATTGGACACTAGTATGTCGACACCGCCGAATCTCTCCTCAGCCTGACAAAACCAATTTTTTTTAATCTTGTTCATTTTTATATACATTTAAAACATTACATGCTTGAAGAGATTGATCCGGTCCTGCTTGTTCCCAACATGGCAAACTATGCCTGAAACAGACTCGAGTCCAGTATTTCGCAGCTGTTCAACAGCCGATTTAACATTCTTCTCTTTTCTGCTGCTCAGCACAACTTTGGCGCCTTCTTCTGCAAACCTCTTTACAATAGCAAGTCCAATCCTGAAATAATTAAGAAATCTTGAAAAATGAATATAACAACAAATGGCTTTCCCTGTACCAGGGTACCACACTTGGTTGGCGTTAAACCGTCACAACTTCAAATGATCTATCACTGTTTTCTAATACTAACAAGAGAATTATGGTAAGTATTAGGGTGTTGGAATATTCAATGTAAATTCCATCACCTTTTACACCTATAACTAACCTAATTAAGGGTTGATGGGGTACGCAATATTCTGCCATTTCACATTACACATTCATGGTAATAAATACATTCAGTCTCAATACACACAAAAAAGCAAAAACCAAGATATATACTAGTTAAGAAGTCTAAAAAAAAGAACAGGGACCTAGATACTCGCTTACATGCTCAAGTACGATTCTCATTTCAGGTGGCATTCCTACAAGCTCTCTATATGGAACAATTCAATTAGGGGGGACACATCAAGTTATCTTTCTCTATATGCTGGATACGTGGGCTTTGACCCAGAAGTAAGTATCCATGTGCTAACCTTGCATGGCTTATTTTTAATCGGGTTAGGATGACCTTCTATGGGTCAGATCCTCCAAAGGCCAATTACTAAAAGTACTCTTGATGCGCAATACTTCTCTACTGACCTGGCCCAATGATGGACTTTCTTATAATTATGCTTTTTTAATTTACTTTTAGCATCAGAGAGCCGGATAGCAGTGGTCTGGAGGTTGGCACCATCGTTTTCCCAAGACACTCTAAGTACTAATAATATAAAATAAAAACAGACTTGTTTCCTCTAAATTTTTTTGTATGGGACCCAAAATACTGCCCAAGCACAATTCTGATACTGAGAAATTCTAATATGGAGCTAAGGATGCTTCAATTATGTCTCATGTGAACTGTGACGAGCGGTTTCCCTTTTTCCCTGAGCGCGGCTCGCGGCTCATTCGAACACCGTCTCTCGTAGGGTGCTCTGAGAGGGTAGCGAGCTACTCCACTCTAGGCACGTCAAGCCTTTTAGGGGTAAGATTTGTCAGGTTGCCCGGCTTGACGGGTGAACACCCTTTCCTTACTGACTACTAACTCTGGACAAGGAGGTTTGGGGAAAAGATACACCAATTCAGACAAAACACCAGGTCCCTTTATTTGATATGACTGTACAATTCCCAATATGTATAATCAACGAGTGAATAACGCCCTAACCCTTCTTATAAATAGCAACCTTATTTCCTATTAAACAATTCATATACAAAACTTATTACTGGAAGACCAATTCTAAATAGAACTAATGCTCTTACTCTCTATAACGAAACCTTAATACTAGGGGCTTAATTATTGGGATCGTAGTACTAAAAGTAGCTCGAAATCGCCCAACTGTTCTCCAAATCTCCCGCAAACCAACTGACAAAAATTGTACTCACAGGACTGGAATACGTGCATCTGTTCCGTCGGTTCGGACTACACCCGGATTCTCTCTTCGGACTCCACCCAGATTCTCTCTTCGGACTCCACCCGGGTTCTCTTCTCGGACTCTCTTCTGACTCTCTGATTGTCCTTTTTATACCAATCCATTCAGGGAGGAGGTGGGGAACAGTTGTATTTTGAAAACACTTCCGGGTGACCCGATTGCCCTTTGTCCTCTCCAGGTCATTAAGCTATTTCGGATGAGTCCTGGCATCGGCTAATCCTGAGGGTTGAGCAATAAGGCCACTCGTCAGCACAACAGCCAATTTTTCTAGAGTGATTGCCCCGGGATCGACCCACATTTCTCAATTGAAAACGTCCAGCTGTCATTATTTCGCCAGCTTTTTTTCTTTTCTTTTTTTTTGCTGCAACTGGAGTTCTCAAGAAGGACCAGGTCGGCTCCCGCGATTCCAGGCTACCTCCGGTTACTCACCCCGGCACAATTAGCTAACCTATTTCTACATCTAATTTTTAATATTTATAACAAACTTAAATTTTTACAACCCCGTTTAAGATTCCCTTCTGGGGATCTTCACATGAACAAACTTTACATACTGGATACATATGCAAGTTTAAAAATTAGCATCCATTTGTTAACTTGATAAAGCTATTCGAAGTCAGTTGAGGATGATCTGCTTTCATTCAGCCTTTCTGATGGCCACCTAAATATCTCTTTGATATTTGAGAGCTTTTCTGCCAATCCGGCCCATTGATGCTGCCACTTCTTTTTAATCATTTTTTTTTTTTTTTAATTAAAGTTTTAGCAATAGATGGTTGAATCCCAATGGGGAGGTAGGTACCTACACCCCTGCCTTTTTGTTACCATTCAGATCTATATAATTAAAGAACCCAGACACTGTAAGAATAAAAACAGCCTCGATTCCTCCAGAAATTAGAACAGGGGATTCCAAATACTTTCTTCTGTGCATAAGCATATTCTAATATCAGATGATCTTGAAGTGATGATGAAATGAACAAGACCATTCCTTGTAGATGAGAGACCAAAAGAAATGTGTGATCCTGAAAAGAATTTAAAAAGTGTTGGATTCCCTAAAATAGAGTGCTTCGGTTCACAGCAGATTAACTGTAAACAGTGAGTACTCATCCACCCTCGTTCCAAACGGTCTGGCAAATGGATTTGCATGAAATTACTGTTTATTTAAATTTGAAAAGTTTTGATTAGTTTAAAAGCAAGTGCGGTTCCCCCGCGCTACGAGGTGCCTTGACATTAAAAGGTAAAAATTAAGGTCCAACCCTTGACATTAAAATTCCTAAAGATGACGGGAAAAACATTTTGGAAATGTTTTGTAGAAATCTGTGGCAAGAAAAATACAACACATCAAATGTTGGCAATTATTACAGGTCACTGTTCCCTGAGCTCAAGAAAAAAACCATGGTTTTCGGAAGGCGATAGCTCAGAAGGCATGTCAAAGGAGTTCTATTCTACTATTTTTAGACTGAAGACAAATCATGGCCTATGGGGTAGCTACAAGAAGAGAATCGGTTTGGCATCGTCTCCGAACTGACCCACTTGCGATTGCCCTTCAAATCCTTCCCACATAATTTTTGAATGTCCAGAATATGAAAATGAAAGAGACAAACTGCTAAAAAATCTGAGCAAAGTCCAAACATTTCAAAACCAATAAACTTAGAATCTGTCCTAATAAGCAACGATCCATCAGCTTTCAACATTATCTATGGATTTCTAAAGTCGATAAACGTTTCTTTTTGATTATCTTCAAGCATGAAAATTTAGATGAGAAGATGATGGAGCTGAATGAGTGGTGCAGGCACGTGGCGAGGACCTGGCCCTGGTCAGCCGATCACGCTCGACAGTAAAATGAAAATAGAAGAAAACTTCATGGATAATATGCCAGCGTAAACCCAAAAAAAAAAGAAAAAAAAGTTTTGATTAAAATTTAAAAAGGAAATTTAATTGATTTTAATTTTATTATAAAAAGGCACCTGATGGTTGTATTCAGGTTCGATCAAGACCTCTGGGGCTCTGTTTCTAATAAAAAAGGATTAATGTTAATTAATTATTAATTAATAATATTAATTAATACAAATGGATTAATATTTATAACTAAAAATTCGCCTGGGTTCTTCACAGATCGGAATACTCATGACTAATACACACGAACGCAATGCTTAAACAGACAATTCGGACTACTATATAAATTAGTGAGTTGATCGAGTCAGTGAAATCATGCTGAACCGGCACTGTCTTTAACACATCCCTGACTGAAGACGGACCCAATAAGTAACTCAGTGCCGGTTCAGCATGACTATGAATTGTAATCAAGAAAACTGCATGTATTGACAAAGAAACAAACACAATGCAAGACACATTGAAACCAATTTGAACGTACTGATTAGAGAATGACTAAACTTTGTATCGTCCAATAAATACAGTTCTTCCAATCCAGTCATTGGTCAACTTCAACGCCACCATTCAAAACGACCTACATTTTGCCTTTCATTAAGAAACCAAATCCTCAACAAATTTTCCCCTATAACGATACCAACTCTTACGACACTGAGTAGAGATGCCCCTGGACAGCAACGGTTGTTTTCTCCTTTCATGATACAATGTTAAAATGAGAAAAATATTTGTATTTTAAAGATTGTAATAAAAAAAATATATATAGGTCACCCATCAGTGGATGCAGTGACAACAGCCACTTTGCCTTTGAGCCTCTGGCATTGTGTTGTCATATTCCTCGAGTTGAAAAAATTGCCAATGATCAGCCTTGACTTTGTCAACATGACTGACGTTTTATTACCAGTTTTATCTAATCAATTTTATTTATTTGTCAGGACTGACGGTATAAGAGTGAAGGGGCCTTCCATGCTCCTCTACAAACGTCACTGTTTTACTATAAAAATGAAATAAACAGATTAAAACTTTTCTTAGTAAAACTACTTGGAAGGTATATTTTGATGGATCACTTTAAGTATAGTCGTAAATACTGATGAAACTTACAAGAATCTGATTACATAAATCACCATAAAAGACTCAAAATCATTAAATGCTTTTCAGGGTTAAATAATGTTCTATAACTGTGTAAAATCATAAGATTGATCTAGATTTTTTTATAATAAACTTAATGGTAAATTTATTATAAGATTTATAAGAACTAATGAGGTTTTTGTTTATTGGCTCAGCCAAAGGTGGTCAATATTGACAATCAAAATGAACCAAATTTGATTGAAAATTACAAAAATATAAAGATAGAGTGGAGCATTTTACAGTTTTGAAGCAATATTTTGAAAGTTAAATCTTAAATATAAAGGGGGAAAAATTATAATAATGTTGAAAATATAAAATTTGTACTTCTTTGACGTCACTCATTTTCAAAATTTAACCATATGTTATTCAAAATCAAGCTAATAATTATAAACAAGTTTTGAAATTTTATTTTTATTTATATATATATATTATTATTTTTAACGGCCTATAATCGGCACATTTCACCGGTATGTTCGTAATTGTGCCTTTTCTGGAAGCGCCAGAACAGGTTCAAGGTGCTTCCGGCCATTCCGCTCGCCTTTTCTGGGTCGTCCATCTGGTTCTTTAAAACGTCCTGCGTTGGATGAGCCTCCCGCTTTTTCCAGGGCGATTTTTCAGTTTTCCCCTTTCTTATCACTTCACGCTGGAAGATTGAGGAAGTCTTTAAACGGAGGTAAGTCCAACATGCAAGATAATTCGACCGAGGTAAGTATTTGTCAAGTGAGGATGGATCGATAAACGTGGCCTTCGCCCTCCAGTAAAAGCCCTTTTCGGGGCTATTGAATCATTTGCCACTCTTCTCTACCGGGGACATGTTCTTTTGTATTGGTTCGTTGTACGTAAAATCCGTTTCAGTACATCCGTTGCACGTTTCTGGACTAAGAACAGTGGCTCTAGTGATTTAATATTGAATTTATAGGGTTAAAAAAAGAAGGCCAGTTAAAATAGTACACATTAGTTTTAATCAAGAATTTTGACTGCTGATTAGAGTGAGAGACGCGTTTTGATAATCGACTAGTGTATCCCAGTTGGAAGAAGCTACTTGCAACATAAAAGTTTTATAACCTTTTAATTGTGTATCTCAGTTGGAAGATAAAAGTTTAATTGCCTTTCTTTAACCGTGTATCTCAATTGGAAGATGCATGTCGTAACAACTTAAAAAAAATTATTACTTTCTTTGAACAGTTTATCATGATTGGGAGATGCACCTCATAAGATTTACAGTTGGAAGATGCACCTTGTGGTAGCACACAAGTTTGCCTTTCTTTAACTATGTATCTCAGTTGGAAGATGCATCTCGTAAGGTCTTAAAAGTTTTATTGCCTTCCTTGAAATGTTGTATCATTGTTAGGAGATGCTCCTCTTAAGATTGTAGTTAGGAAAATGGATCTTGTATTGTCATAGAACTTTCCTTGCTTCCTTTAATGGTGTTCCTAAGTTGGAAGATGCATCTTGTAGCGTTTTAAAAGTTTAATTGCCTTCCTTTAACGGTGTATCTCTTGGTGGGAGATGCATCTCGTAATGTCTTCAGTTTTAGTACTTTTTAATTGTGTATTTCAGTTGGAAGATGCATCTTAAATTGACATAGAAGTTTCCTTGCTTCCTTGAAAGATGTGTCAGCATACAACTTTTATTGCCTTTCTTTAACTGTGTATCTCAGGTGGAAGATGATCTTGTGGTAGTACTCAAGTTTGTCTTCCTTTAACTGTGTATCTCAGTTGGAAGATGTATCTCGTAATTTCTTAAAAGTTTTGTTACCTTCCTTGTTGGGATCTCAGTTGGGCGATGTCTCTCGTAATATAAAAGTTTTATTACCTTCCTTGAACTGTTTGTTTATCATGGTTGGTAAATGCTTCTTGTAACATCATCAATGTTGTATTATTTTCCTTTAACTGAGTATTTACAGTTGGAAGATGCATCTTGTAGCGTTTTAAAAGTTTTGTTATCTTCTTTTCACTGTGTTTCTCAGTTGGCAGATAAACCTTGTAACATCATAAATATTTTATTATCTTTTAGATGTTCATCTCGATTGGGAGGTGCACTTTATCATATTTACAGTCGGAAGCTGCATCTGATGCATCTTGCATTGTAGAAGTTTCCTTGCTTCCTGTAGCTGTGTATATCAGTTGCAAAGTGCATCTTGTAACATAAATGTCAGGAGAAAAATAAGAGTAGTATTTGTTATATCTCAACTAAAAACCTTAATTAATTGAAAGATATTAATTGTTCAAGTGGACCACTAAAACTAGTGAATTATTGTTATAATTGGTAATTATTGTTGAGGTGATGAAGCATGTACCTTATTCTTTCTCACTAGTTCTGGCTTTCATCTGAGTTTTGACATTTCTTGCACCACAATAAAAGTTTTATTGCCTTTCTTTAACTATGAATCTCTCTGTAACATAATAAAAGTTTTATAATCTTCCTTTAACAGTATTTCAGATGGAAGTAGCACCATGTAACAGCATAAAAGTTCCATTGTTTTCCTTTACTTGTGTGACTCAGTTGGAAGATGCATCTTGTAACATCTCGGAACTTTTTTTACCGACATTTTCAGTTGGAAGTTGCATTTTATAACACTGTAAAATTTTTATTGCCTTCCTTTAACTGCATATCACAGTTGGGAGACGCATCTTGTGACAATCACAAATTTTATTGTCTTCATTTTACTGTGTATCTCTGTAAACACAAATCGTATATCAATCTCATTCTGTCGACTATCATCCGCCAGTCTCTCGCTCTGTTGTTCAGCATGTCATGTCTTGTCCTTCTGCAGAAAAGGTAAGTACAACTTTCTCTAATGGGTGTTTACTGGAATGCTTAAATCCTACTTTTGTACATACTTTCTATCGAAATGCTGCAAACACTCGTCTTATTCTTAGATTAAATATAAACCTGCTTAAAAGGTGTCTTGATTATCTAATAGTTTAGAATTGTACTCGTCGCATGGCTTTAAATTCACTCTTTAACAAGGATGGTTTTTTTTTATTTATTTTTTTAAAAGAATTTTTGGATTTGTTAGTGGAAGCGATCCTGTATTCTTTTTTCTTATGAGTACTATTTTTGCACTAGAGCTTCCACTAGTTTCAAATTGGAAATACATTTAAGTCTCAGCCTGTCCACGTTTTTAAAACTGTAGAATATGGCTTAATTTGTGAAAAATGAGAAAGTTTTTGTTTGAACAAAACTGACTTTAGCCTAACACGTAACAGCATGGTAAAACTTAAAATGAAAAAAGTGTTAAAGTCAGTTTTATGTATCAAAGGCCATGTCAAAAAAGTGAATCAGCTAAATGAGGTGAGTCATTGTCTTCTTGTTGATTTAAAAAAATATTAAATATTATGATCAGTTATGATAATAGATGAAGTGTTTCCATTCATTTCATATATTTTAATTTGTAACTTTAAACTGACGTTTGTTAATGGACTTGACTATCGTCGAACTTCAAATTGTCAAAAACTTATAGTCGACCTATTTATTTATACATGACGTGTATTCCTCAGTTGTTAGAAGAAACGATAAACCAGGCTCAACGGGGATCTTCTTTATTAGGAGACCGACAAATGCCAGGGAGGCATGTGATTTTGATGGAGAGGCCTGTCAAACTTGAAATCGGAATGTCTGAAGAGATAGTAGAGGTAGCGGACACATCAGTAGAATCAGTCTCATTTCGTAGAAAAGGCAGGAAGAGGGCGAGAAAGCAGAAAAAGAAAATTGAAGAAACATCGTTCTTAAACGCTAAAGTGATAGACGATTCAGTGTTCGGGGAAGCGAGGATCATCGATGAGAACAAACTTTTCGTCATCGATCAAACGGGTGTAAATAATGAACTAGAGGATGAAAATGTCATTACAGTTTCTTCGACACCTTGTCCTAAGAAAAAGAGAAAAAAGATGAAAAAAGAAGAAACAATTGTCATTGATAGTTCAGAGTCTGAAGATAGCTGTATCGAGATTATAGATGAGAAAGAGAACGATTCTGTCGTCGAGCTTTCGGACAGTGAAGAGCTCGGAATTTGCACCGGAGTCATCAGGACTGTGAAGAGGAAAAAATCAAGAAAGAAAAACTGGACGAATAATTACCAGATGCTTGGAGCCAATAACACGAGCGATAAAGGAGCGGCTATCGGCAGTAGCTACCTTCCATCACCACTGAACAAACAGAAGTTGACTGGCCTCCGACCCATAGTCATTGACGGCAGTAATGTGGCTTTCGGGTAAGAAAATGCTTTCTAGCTAGACCAGGAGTGTAATTGGTTAATACTTAAGGAGCTTGATTTTCTTCACTCCTTTCTTCTTGATCATAGTTCAGTTATGGGTTAGCAGAAAAAAGCTAGGAAAGTTTTTTTTCTTTCTCAAGAGGTGACCTCCATTATTCAAGTATCAAAGAATAATGCAGATATTTTTTTGTCTTTCCCCCTTCATAATTTCACCACTGGTGGGATCCAGATTTGGAATTATCTGTTTTTGAGATTCAGTAATATTTTTTCATACAACATTACAAAGAGGGAAACCTTTTGGCTGTTCATTTATACGCAAGGAACATTGAAATTTTCAATATTCACAGTCGGAGAAGACATTTGTCTGATTAGAGCATACCCATGCTAATAAATTTAAGTAAGAACATTCATACATTAAACTACGAAACATTTCGGTAATATGTAAGCAATCGCAACCAGATGGTAGCCTGAATGAGCAAGATCAGGACTAAGGTTGGGCGGTTCAAGTACTTCAGAAATGTTTTGCTTTATATGTAAGTTATTGTCTTTGAAACAGACCCTTCCTCTTCTTGCTTGAACTAATTATAAAAATTTAGAGTTGAAAATTGTCCGTTGGATTAACAGTTTCCTTGCTTTCCTTTAATTGGGTATCCCAGTTGGAAGAAACATTTTGTAAGTTAAGAAAAAATTTATTGCCTTACTTTAACCATGTATCTCAGTTGGCAGAAGCACCATGTAACTTCATAAAAGTTTTATTGCTTTCTTTTAATTGTATACCTCAGCTGGAAATTGCACCTTGTTTCATCATAAAACTTATATTGCTATCTTTTAGATGTGAATCTTAGTTGGAAGATGCATCTTGTGACAGCGTAAAAGTTTTATTGCCTTCCTTTAACCATGTTTCTCAGTTGGTAAAAGCATCATGTAACTTCATAAAAGTTTTATTGCTTTCCTTTAACTGTGTATCTCAGTTGGTAGAAGCACCATGTAACAGCATAAAAGTTTTATTGCTTTCCTTTAATTGTATATCCCAGTTGGAAGTTGCACCTTGTTTCATCATAAATGTTTTATTGCTATCTTTTCGATGTGAATCATAGTTGGAAGATGCATCTTGTGACAGCATAAAAGTTTTATCACCTTCCTTTAACCATGTATCTCAGTTGGTAGAAGCACCATGTAACTTCATAAAAGTTTTATTGCTTTTGTTTAACCGTGTATCTCAGTTGGTAGAAGCACCATGTAACTTCATAAAATGTATCTCAGTTGGTAGAAGCACCATGTAACTTCATAAAAGTTTTATTGCTTTCCTTTAACTGTGTATCTCGGTTGGAAGTTGCACCTTGTTTCATCATAAATGTTTTATTGCTATCTTTTCGATGTGAATCATAGTTGGAAGATGCATCTTGTTACATCTTAAAAGTTTTATTGCTTTCGTTTAACCGTGTATCTCAGTTGGTAGAAGCACCATGTAACTTCATAAAAGTTTTATTGTTGTCCTTTAACTGTGTATCTCAGTTGGAAGATGCATCTTGTAACAGCATAAAAGTTTTATTGCTTTCCTTTAACCGTGTATCTCAGTTGGAAGTTGCACCTTGTTACATCTTAAAAGTATCATTGCTTCCTTTAACTGTGTATCTCAGTTGGTAGAAGCACCATGTAACTTCATAAAAGTTTTATTCCTTTCCGTTAACTGTGTATCTCAGTTGAAAGGTGCTTCTTGTAACATCATAAATAGGACAATAAAAAACACGAGTAGTATTTATTGTTACAATTGGTAATGGTTGTTGAAGTGATGAAGCATTTCTCATTATTCGGCAATTGGTATGTTACAGTCAGCATTGGACTAAAATCAGTGAAAGAGGCAGCATTAGTGTGATTAATATTTTTTTCAAGAATAAATTACCTTGTCTTTTTTCCCCCTAAATGACTTGGACGAAAGTAAATAGGATCCGAGTTATAAGTTTGTGTAAAGCCTTGCACTCCTGGCAGCGTTAGTGAATTTTGTTTGGGAAAATTTAACTGCAACACAATCAGATCGGAAGAGCACACCTCCAGTATTCCAACTTTTGATTTACAGCCACGGTAGGGATCAGTTTTCGAGCCTCGGACTCAAAATTTGCGTTGACTATTTCAAACAGCGCGGGCATATGGTGAAAGCATTCATCCCGCAGTTTCGTAGGCGGCATTCTTCGACAAGGGACTCGCACCTGCTTGATGAGATGGAAAAGGAGGGCGTACTCGTGTACACGCCGAGTAGATCAGTACACGGCCGCATGGTGGTCTCTTACGACGATAGGTAAATTTTAAACATTTTATTTTTTTCTTAACCCATGGGCGTATTTGATTACCTTCCCTTCGTGTAGGTTTATTGTGGAATATGCTCATAAACTCAATGGAATTATAGTTACGCGAGATAACTTTAGGGATGTTCTCCAGGAAAATCCTGAATGGGAATCAACCATAGCAAACAGGTAATGATTTTCTATCGTACTTTTCTTTATTTACTTTTATTTTTGAATTATTCTATTTCAGACTGCTAATGTTCACATGGGTTGACGACATGCTTATGTTCCCTCGAGATCCATTAGGTAGAGGTGGCCCAACACTCGATAGGTTTTTGAAATTCTAATACAACGAGGTGGAGAGAAAAATGAAGCAACTTAAACAGACACTCTTGAAAATGAACTTTGTTTAACAGTTTAAGTGTAATAAATACATTTTTTTTTTAAACAATGTTCATTCATGCGCATGAGTATGATTCGTTAGGGGTCCATTGTCAAAAAAATTTAAAAAAAGTTTTTGACAATTTTACTTATTTTTATAAATTAAATCCTGTAAAATATGTTTTTTAATATTTTCCCATGTACATTTTGTAAAGGCAAAGCTGATTTATTTTATATATGTTGAACTGTATTAGTTCTACTGTGAAATATGTTTATGTTTTTCAAGTACAGTTCAACTGTTACAGTCGTAAAGTTTTTAAAAATAAATTAAAAACTGTTTGTTTGTGTATATTTTTATTGACTCAGATTCAACCTTATTGCAAGAGAATTTTTCAAATGTATAATACCCTAATTGAGGGTTTTTGGAGAGGTTTTCCAAGCATTGAAACCAAAAATAACCCTTTATTATTTGTCAAGTTATAATTTTTAATTTATATATCACAGTTGGTGTTGTTACGTTCTGGAAAGTTTTCTAGTGAGATTACCATCTTTTAACTTAATATCTCAGTTGGTAACATCACAAAAAGGAAACTTAAGTGGTCGAATTTTAATATTCAGTTGTAAAAATACAAATCAAAACTGACTAGTCAAGTTATAATTTTTAATCTATATATCACAGTTGGTGCTGTTACATTTTGAAAAGTTATCTAGTGGGAAGTTGCACCTTGTTTCATCATAAGTTTTGTTGCTATCCTTTAGCTGTGTATCTCAGTTGGAAGTTGCACCTTGTTTCATCATAAAAGTTTTTTAGATGTGTATCTCAGTTGGAAGTTGCACCTTGTTTCATCATAAAAGTTTTATTGTTATCCTTTAGCTGTTTATCTCAGTTGGAAGTTGCACCTTGTGTCATCATAAAAGTTTTGTTGCTATCTTTTAGATGTGTATCTCAGTTGGAAGTTGCACCTTGTTTCATCATAAAAGTTTTATTGCTATCTTTTAGCTGTTTATCTCAGTTGGAAGTTGCACCTTGTGTCATCATAAAAGTTTTGTTGCTTTCCTTTAGATGTGTATCTCAGTTGGAAGTTGCACCTTGTTTCATCATAAAAGTTTTATTGCTATCTTTTAGCTGTGTATCTCAGTTGGAAGTTGCACCTTGTTTCATCATAAAAGTTTTATTGCTTTCCTTCAACTTGATATCTCAGTTGGGAACATGACAAAACAAAACAAAGTGGTCGAATTACCATTCTTTATCTATAAAGATTTCACAGTAGGCATTATTACAAGCAAAAAGTTATTTAATAGGATCACTTACTTAATACTTCAATTGAAAAACACAGCCAAAAGAAACTTGAAGTCGTTGAATTTTACCATCCTTTAACTTATCTCAGTTTGCAAAATTACAAATTATAAATATTTAAATATTATTTGGAGATCGTGAGATGCGACATCGTCTTGTGTGATGTAGATTTAGAAAAACATTTTCTTTATCGTGCCGACACTCCCAACACGACACACAACCTTGACACGTACACTTTGAGTCCTGAAGATTATCTAAATAAAGATCGAAACTTTGGCAATTAAAGAAAATGTTTATCTGAACCTTTATTAACAGTCACTAAATATCGCACATAAATATTTAACTAGATATCACAGTTGGTAATGTTACGGCCTGAATAGTTATTTAGTGGGACCATCCTCGAACTTGATATCTCAGCTTGGAACATGACAAATCGAATCTAAACTATAAAAATGATTTAAACCTATATATCACAGTTGGGATTACTATGCCTGTCCTGGAAAGTTATTTACTGGGATTACCACTATAATAATTGTAATTATTCATATGTCAGCTGTAAACTCGTGTCTTAGTTGGGAAAATGACAAATTGAAACAATTGTGAAATTATCATTTTTTTACATATACATCACAGTTGGTATTGCTACATGCTACAAATTTATTTAGTTGGATTACTATCTAATAACATTTTCATATCACAGTTGGGAACATCAACTCTAAAACTAAGTAATTACCATTCTCTAGCTACATATCACAATTGGTATTAGTATTAGCAGGATAGCCACCTCTTTGTAATGTTGGGAGCATTACAAATGGAATTTTAAACTTTTGGAATCACAATCATCACAGTTGGCATGCTGTAAGGTAGGAATTTATTTATTGGGATTCCATCCATGAACTCCATCCACTTGATATCTCAGTTGGTTCTCAGAAAAGTTCTTAAACTCTCAGAGACACCATGGGTGAAAATAATCCGATGGAAAGGAGTTCAAAGACACCAATCTTCTAGAAATTCTAACCAGACTTTCTTTTTTTACTAAAAATTAATTACGGGTACTAACCATTAGCTTTTGGAATGTAAGTGGATATAACAACTTATTGCTATAGTCAGAAAAGAGAAGGAGTGCAGAGTCCAGGGTGTGATGAGGCTTCAGAAAAAAATTAAGTTTAAACTCTTTATTTTTTTAGATTGAAACTGTACAAATTAACTAAATAAAGTAGGACAAACACCAAAATTCCCCGAAAAAAAGCAATCAGCTCAAAACTGATACTTTTCTTTTTAAAAAAGTCATAAATACTTTGTACAAGGCCCTCAGGTGGGAGGTGGTTTGTTCCATGTCACACGCATGAAACCAAAAATATTACAAGAAAGGATTTGTTTTTGTTTTATAGAAGAGATCTAGAGTCTTTGGTTCAGCTGTCTCATGTGAGTGTCGATCGTGGTGGGAAGTGTGAAATCTTGGGCTGCGACTGCGCCGACTGGGACTGCACTGCATGCAGCCTGGCTGCCAAGTAGCACATGAGAAAAGCAGCAGTGAAAAGCATACTTCCAAGAGCTGCAGACATGAGTAGCATGTTCTGACAAGAAGCCTCTACATTTGGCTCTGAATATACATCTGGAACAGAAAATTTATGAGTGTTATTAAAATCCGGAAATTAAAACAACAAAGTTAAAAAAAATACCTCCTGGCATAAGGACAGTATATTCAATGTTTTCTTTAAATTTTGTATATTGGTTTGTTCCATTTTTGTCTTTGGTAGATGAATCGGTCATGTTCCCCTCTCTCTTTCTTCTCCTGCCGTGTCCCGAAGGCTCATATTGGTCCATGCAGTACTCCTGGATAAAAACCGTCCATCAATATACTCTTAACTTTTATACCTTTAGGGTTTGTTCTTACCGGTTGACAGTCCAACGGGTCCATGCATGCCTTGATCTGGGAGTGGATCCAGAGCGTCGATCGTTCTCGCATGCTCGATAAAAGGAAAGCCTCGAAGTCAAGGAAAACTTCGTTGTGCCTTTCCCTGTATCTGGCAGGCTGGTGGGGTATGATCGAAGAGAAATCGGAATTACGGCATCTGTAAAATATGTTGAATATTTTCACATTGTGTAAACAGATAAATTTTCCTTTAATAAACTTGGTACAATGTAATAAAACGTTCAGTAATGACATGATACACTGTTATAACAGAAAAGTTCTCTTGGGTAAATTATACTATGATTTTAAAAAAATAAATTGTCAGAGTATTCCTACATACCACAAATTGTATTTATTTTCAAAATGTAAGTATCACAGTTGGTATTGTTGAAAAGTTATTTAATGGAATTACCATCTTTTAACTTGATATCTCAGTTGGAAAATCATGAATAAAAAACAATTAGATGTCAGAGTTGGTATTGCTAAATGGTGAAAATTTAATGAATAGAATTACCATATTGTAACTTGATACTACTGTTTGTTAATTATATATCACAGTTCCTTTTTTTAAATGCGATTTAAAGAATGGGAAATGAAAAGCATCTTTTAAATTAATATCTCAGTTGAATTAACCTTTTTTACCTAGAAATCACAATTGATAGTACTATACCCAGAAAAGTTATTCAGACAGATTACCATCTTTATGCTAAACTGATAGAAAATTATCATTTTTCACCTAGATATCACAGTTTGTTTTGTTATTTACTGAAAGGTTATTTAGTGGGGTTACTATTCTTCATTTTGGTATCTCAGTAGAAAATATGATAAATTGAATCAGTTGAATTAGCCTTTTTTTTACCTAGATATCGCAATTGATAGTACTACACCCTGAAAAGTTATTCAGACAGATTACCATCTTTATACTAAACCGATAGAAAATTATCATTTTTCACCTAGATATCACAGTTTGTATTGCTATTTACGGAAAGGTTATTTAGTGGGGTTACTATTCTTCATTTTGGTATCTCAGTTGGGAACATGACAAATTGAAACAAAGCAGTCAAAATAAATTTTTTTCATAAATATCACAGTTGGAACTGAAATTTTAATAAACGAGATTTTCATTTTTCAACTTGATATCTCAGTTGGGAACATGACAAATTGGAACTAAGCAGTCAAATTCCTTTGATGCATGTTAAATTGATTTTGAATGGGATTACCATCCTTATATCTCAGTTGATAGTACCAACTCAAAACTAAGCAGTCCAGTTATCCTTTTTTCCATACCACAGGGGCATTTATTATATAGGATAAAAATAAATGTACCTTCTTTTCATTTGAAATCTCAGTTGGAAACACCACAATTGGAAACTTTAAGTGGTCAAATCTATAGCACAGTTGGCACAGGTGGTAGCTTTAAATTCTTTGGTGGTTTGTGTATGGAACACCACCACTTTTTCTGACTTTCAGATCGTGATTTTATAAAGTAAATAATTTACAAAATACAATAGCTTGCTAATTGGTACATATAAATTAATATTAGTTGGTAACTTGGATTTAAAATGTTATGTATAAAGTAGGAGGTTTATGGGCCAACAAACGGCTGAGTTCATCACAGGCCCTCTGCGTCTGTTCCTCCTTTTCTGGTCTTTCACACGTAATTTTGACTTAAACTGCAGCTATTTGGGTGTCTCAATCTGGTTACTGACTCTGCTTTTAAATGTGTACCACATCGATATACTAAAAATTCTAGCCTCTCGTTTGTATCTCAGATTGTCAAATATTGAATAGAAACAAAATGTACAATATATATCTATAGCAACCCCTTCCTTTCACGCAAATAAATGACATTCATTCCAATAAATTAACACAAATACAACACTTGATAAAAACATAGAAGTCTGGTCATATTTACTCCCCCAGAGTACTCGATATTCCTCGTGGCGGGGTTAAATAACCCCTTCCTTTCACGCTATTAAATTACATTCATTACAATAAATTAACACAAATACAGCACTCGATAAAAACATAGAAGTCTGGTCATATTTACTCCCTCAGAGTACTCGATATTCCTCGTGACGGGGTTAAATAACCCCTTCCTTTCACGCTAATAAATTACATTCATTCCAATGAATTAACACAAACACTAGATAGAAACATAAAAGTCCGGTCACATTCACTCCCTCAGAGTACTCGATATTCCGCGAGGCGGGGTTAAAAGAAAACCCTTACATTCACGCTAATAAATTACATTCATTCCAATAAATTAACACAAACACAATACTCGATAGAAACATAGAAATCCAGTCCGGTCACATTCACTCCCTCAGAGTACTCGATATTCCGCGAGGCGGGGTTAAAAGAAAACCCTTACATTCACGCTAATAAATTACATTCATTCCAATAAATTAACACAAACACAATACTCGATAGAAACATAGAAATCCAGTCATATTTACTCCCCCAGAGTACTCGATATTCCTCGTGGCGGGGTTAAATAACCCCTTCCTTTCACGCTAATAAATTACTAAATAAAATCGCTATAGCCCTGAGATACAGGAACAGCGATCTATGCCCGCTGCCGTGTCCTAAGACTACCCACAGGCCACAGGTCCGATGGTATGCCAAAATATTGTCTATATACATCAACCGTAATCAGGGATGGAATAACGGTCGAGTACCTTACCAACTGTAGAAGGCTTGACGTATATAGACAATATTTTAAAATGGTAAACGATAATTATAGATTAATATTTCAGTTTTTTAAGTTGGTTTTGATTTTCTTTTTTTTAAATAAATATTTATGTTATATTGTTTAAGTAGTGAGATGTTTTTAAGAGCCACAAGAAGTGGATGCATTTTTTACTTCATATTTTTCTTCCATAGGATCCTTTTTGAGAGCGGAAAATTATAATTGTTTTGACCTTCTACTGGCGTTTCCGAACTCCCTTTTTATTCTATTTTCTTAATTAATGAAAAAAATGCACATCCGAATATGAAATGGGAGAGATTTTCACGGATGATTTCAGACTTGGGCTTTTGCCGATCAGGCCGTCTGGACGCAGTCGAATTGCCCTTGGCACAATTGGACCGCGACAGCTCTCTGACATCAACTGTTTAACGTTAACGGAATGGCTTAGTGGATCAGTGCAATTATTTGCCACGGGTCCACCCTTTCTAGGCGTACGCCGTTTCCTTTCAGACCGGAGAGAGCATTGGAATCAATCAATGAAGAAGAGGGGTGGTTGACTAGGATTCACCCCCTTGCTACGCCAGTTCCATCAGGATAACAAAGCCGAACCTAAGACTCACTTATCTGGCTATTTATTTCCCTCCAAAGGATAATTTAACCTATTTATATTTTCGAACCGATGAACCATAATAAAAATATCACCGCGTCGTCCAAACGTGCCAGACGGTTTCTTCTAAATCGATCCGTTCGAATGTCTGCGGTTTTTCTGCATATATTGCGGACGACCGCACTGGGTCGTTTCCAGCCGGTGTGAAAAGAAGAGTGAAGAAAATTAAGCGACTCACCCATTCCTGACCAAGGCGACGCTTCCTAGTGCATGGGCTTCGTCCGGATCCGGGGAGACAGCCACCTCCATCAGTTTCACATACTTCCAAGCTGAAAAACAAAGTCATTTTTAACGTAAAAATTGGTAAAACGGTTGAAAGATATATCATTCACTGACATGAAAGTTGATATTGCTACAAACTAAAGTAATTTAGGATTGCCATACTTTAACTTGATATCTCAGTTGGGAACGTGACAAATCGAAATGTTAAGTGTGCCAATTATTCTTTAAATAAACATAACAGTAACGTGACATTTCAGTTGGTAACACCACCAACCAAACTTTAAATGGTCGAAATTACCATTCTTTAACTCGATATCACAGTTGGCATATCTACGAGCAGGGGTTATTTAATATGATTGCCATCCTTTAACTTGGTATCTCAGTTGGGAACATCTCAAATTGAATCGTCAAGTGGGCCAATTATTCTTTAAAAAACACCATAGTTGACATTCTCAACAGTTCTTTTTTAGTTGGTATACGATCCTTCAACGCGGCATTTCAGTTGATAACAGCACAAATCAAACTTTAAACGGTCGAAATTATCATTCTTTAACTCGATATCACAGTTGGCATATCTACGAGCAGGGGGTTATTTAATATGATTGCCATCCTTTAACTTGGTATCTCAGTTGGGGACATCTCAAATTGAATCGTTAAGTGGGACAATTATTCTTTAAAAAACATCATAGTTGACATTCTCAACAGTTCTTTTTTTAGTTGGTATGCGATCCTTCAACGCGACATTTCAGTTGGTAGCACAAATCAAACTTTAAACGGTCGAAATTATCATTCTTTAACTTGGTATCTCAGTTGGGAACATCTAAAATTGAAACTAAACAGGCAAGTTCTATTCGTACACGTTAAAATGTTATTTAATGAAATTACCATCCTTTGATTTTATATCTCAGTTTTGATATCAGCCAATTAAAACTAAAATGTCGAATTATTATTTTCTACCTTGTTATTAAAATGGCTTGCTGCGCTATTAAAATGCTTACTAAAAAATAATTTAGTGGGATTTAGTGAGATCCTTTAACGTGATATCTCATTTGAATACCATAAATGAAAATTTAAATAGTCGAATAATCATTTTATTTTTTATCCTGCATATCACAAAATGAAAACTTTTAAATGGTCAAATTTTAACATTCAGTTGCGAAAATAACAAATCAAAACTGACTAGTCAAGTTATAATTTTTAATCTATTTATCACAGCTGGTATTACGTTCTGAAAAGTTATTTAGTGGAATTACCACCCTTTAATTTGATATCTCAGTTGGGAGCATCACAAAAAGGAAACGTTTAAGTGGGCCAATTATTCTTTAAATAAACATTACAGTTGGCATTCTGACCATTTTTTAGTTGGTTTACGATCCTTTAACTTGTCATTTCAACACCACCAATCAAACTTTAAATGATTATCACAGTTGGCATTGCTACGAGATGGGGTTATTTAATAGGATTGCCCACCTTTAACGTGATATCTTAGTTGGGATCATGCTAAATCGAAACGGTAAGTGGGCCAATTATTCTTTAAAAAAACATTACAGTTACATTCTGGACAGTTTTTTTAGTTGGTTTACGAACCTTTAACTTGACATTCCATTTGGCAACACCACAAATCAAACTTTAAATGATCGAAATTACCATTCTTTAACTCGATATCACAGTTGGCACAGTTACGAGCTGGGGTTATTTAATAGAATTACCATCCTTTTACTTGGTATCTCAGCTGGAAACATGGCAAATCGAAACTAAACAGGTAAATTCCATTGGTACACGTTAAAATGTTATTTAATGAAATTACCATCCTTTGATTTTATATCTCAGTTTTGATATCAGCTAATTAAAATTAAAAAGTAGAATTATTATTCTTTGTCAAGTTATTAAAATGGCTTGCTACGTACTGAATATTAATTTAGTGCGATCATTTGAGTATTATAAATGTAAACTTTAAGTAGTCGAATAATCATTTTGTTTTGTTTTTAATTTAGATCTCACAGTTGGCATTGCTTTGTTCTGAAAAGTAATTTAGTGGGATTACATCTTTAACTTGATATACATATCAGTTGACAACACCACAAATCGAACTTCAAATGGTAGAATCACCATTTTTATCCTAGATGTCACAGTTATTATTGCTACACGACAAAAAGTTATTTAATAGGATTTTGGCTTTATATCCGTGTTGATGTTATCAAATCACAACTAAAAAGTCTAATAATGATTTTAGTCTATTTTTTAATCTAGATATATCAGTTGGTATCACATCGTTCTGAAAAGTTATTTAGTAGGATTACCATCCCATAACTACATATATCAGTTGAAACACCACAAACCGAAACTTAAAGTGGTCGATTTTTTTATATCCCAGTTATTGCGATAAACTGAAAATTTAGTAAAAAAAAAAAGGTAGTAGGATAACCATTTTTTAACTTGATATCTCAGTTGCAAACACCACAAAGTTGGACTTAAATTGGTCGAATCGCCGTTCTTTAAATACCAACTAAATAGTCAAGTTATAATTGTTAATCTCTATATGACAGTTGGTGTTGCTCCGTGCTGAAAAGTCATTTAGTGGGATTACCGTCCTTTGACTTGATATTTCAGTTGGGAACATCACAAAATGGAAACATAAGTGGTCGAATTTTAACATTCAGGTGCGAAAATGACAAATCAAAACTAAATAGTCAAGTTAAAATTTTTAATCTATATATCACAGTTGGTGTTACGGTCTGGAAAGCTATTTAATTTCATATCTCAGTTGGGAACATAACAAAATGGAAACTTTTAAGTGGTTAACATTTAGTTGCGAAAATGGCAAATCAAAACTTAATAATCAAGTTATAATTTTTAATCTATATATCGCAGTTGGTATTGCTGCGTGCTGAAAAGTCATTTATTGGGATTACCGTCCTTTGTCTTGATATCTCTGATGGTATCACGGCAACGCGAAACTAAACGTTGAATAATTTTATTTTATTTTTTAATCTAGATATCCCAGTTTGTATACATAGCAATGTTCTGAAAGATTATTAGATTATCCCTTTTAAATTGATATCTCCGTCGTGAACGACACAAATGTAAACTTCAAGTGGTCGAATCGTCATTATTTAACTAGATATCACAGTTGGTATTTAGTTTGATTTACCATTATTTGGCTTGATTTCTCAGTTGACTTCCCTAAATCAAAACTAAAAGTTGAAATTTCCTTTTTTACCATGATTTAATATCAAAATTGGCATTGTTGCGGTATGAAAAGTTATTTTGTGGTGTTGCCATTATTTAACTTGATAACACAGATGATATCACAAAATCACAACTAAGAAGTCGAATTTTTTTTCCTAGATATCACAGTTGGTATAGGTTTATTCTGACAAGTTATTAAGCACAGTGAATAGATAGGTTAAATATCGCATCTTTCTTTAACTAGACATTTCGGTAAAATACAAGCAGAAAAGTTTGCTAATAGGATTACGATTTTTTAAGATTTCAATTGAGATTACGATAGATCGAAACTAAGCGGTCTATTTTTTCTTAAACCTAGATATCACAGTTGGTATTGCTACGTGCTGAAAGTCATTTATTGGGATTACCGACTTTTGAATTGATATCTTAGATGGTATCACGGCTACTCGAAACTAAACGGATGAATTATTTTATTTTATTCTAGATATCCTAGTGTTGGTATTGCTGCGTTCTGAAAACCTATTTTTGTGGAATTACGTCCTTTTAAATTGATATCTCAGTTGTGAACGCCACAAATGGAAACTTCAAGTGGTCGAATCGCCATTGTTGAACTAGATATCTCAGTTGGTATTTAGTTGGATTTACATTCTTTGACTTGATTTCTCAGTTGATATCTCTAAATCATGATGTCGAATTATCCTTTTTTACTTGATTTAATACCAAAATTGGCATTGCTGTGTGCTGAAAAGTTATTTCGTGGGATTGCCATCATTTGACTTAATATCAAAGTTGATATCACCAAATCACAATTAAGACGTCGAATATTTTTTTAACCCTATATAACCATATATATATNTATATATATATGTGTGTGTGTGTGTGTGTGTGTGTGTGTGTGTATGTATGGATGTGTGGTGATTAGTGACCGTTATATATATATATCACAGTTGGTATCGATCCGTTCTGAAAACTTCATATATCAGTTGGTAGCATAATAAATAGAGACTTCAAATATAGCATCTTTCTTTAACTAGACAATTCAGTTGAATACAAACTGAAAAGTTTGCTAATAGGATTACTTTTAAGATGGTATTTCAGTTGAAATTACGACAATCGGAACTAAGTGGTCGATTTTTTCTCACAGTTGGTATTGCTGCGTGCCGAAAAGTTATTTAGTAGGATTTACTTGATTTCTCAGTTGCGAACACGACAAAGTTAGATTTAAAGTGGTCGAATCGCCGTTCTTTAACAACCAACTAAATAGTCAAGTTATAGTTTTTAATTTATATATCACAGTTGGTGTCACGTTCGGGAAAGTTATCTAGTAGGATTACCATTTTTTAACTTGATATCTCAGTTGGTAACTTCACAAGTGGAACCTTTAAGAGATCGAATTTTTTAATTAAATATTCACAGTTGGGGTACATGTTAAGCAATTTGATAAATGTGATTACCCTGATTTGATTTAGTATCTCAGTTGGCAACGTCATACTTTTTCAGAGTGCGGTGACCAAGGAATCTTTTGTAGGATGAAGAAAATTTTCCAACAGTAATTCCTTCTAAGCTACTTATTTTAAAATTTCAAACCGTATTTTTTGTTAATCATCTATTTCCTTTCTATTTGTTATACAACCAACTTGTATTTGTTGTAATAAACAAAATTAGACTTAAGAATAAAAATTTTGAAAGTCTATTCTCGAAACCAATTAGGGGTGGGATTTGTACTAAAGCTCAAGCTTTCAGAAGCTCCACCTTGTCCTTTAAACAATATTTTTATAAATATTTTATTAAATATTATCAATATTTTATTTCCTTTCTATTTATTTTATTATTGGTATTCTGTAGAAAACAGTGATTTCGCCATTTGTTCAATAAGTCGATGAATTTTATACAGCTTTCAGTTTTAATTCAATTTAATTGAATTGGCCTTTTTAGAGAAGAATTTAATATTAAATTCCTATTACCGGATTTCGGGTTGATCCTCGCTCTCAGCTGTAGCTTCGTCCCGATCGGCACAGCCTGGTCAACAGGCAACTCGTTTATCGTCGAGTTGGTGATCCTGGCAGGGGCTTCTTTGTAGAGGGCGACCTCGTATTCCAGCCTCCCCGGGGTTTCTTCCACAACGCCAGACACCCTGGCTCCGTGAGGTCTGAAAAATTACACCACTGAAAATATCAAGTATAAAACAACATCAAGAATATGGTTCTTCAATAAGGTATTAAATCCAGAATAAAACATACAAACTATTCAGGTAAAAATGCATAGTATGAAAAGTAGGCCCATAAGTGAAACGGGATTGTGGGTCATATCCTGACCGTTCCTTATCATCCTGGCCTAGATTCGTTGTTTGTCTTCTAAAACCCCCTCTTCTAAGTACCCACGATAAGATCGATTTTAAAAAAAATATATATATCTACAAAGGAAACTAAAAGCAGAACATTTTTTGTACTAATTAAGAAAAGTTTTTCTTTTATGACTTTGTGGGTCAGTAAAGTGTCTTGAGGATAGTCGAAGCCCATTGTTCCACAAGGTAAACTGGCCGGTCTCAATAATCACAACCTCGTAATCTAGAATTGACCCGTAAAATTAGAGCCCTCCAGGAGACAGTCGTTTCTTTAACCAGATGTTTAATCTTTTTCATACCCAAGTTAAAAGGGAGGCTGGATTTTAAACGGAACTTTTTGTAATTTAAGTTTTTCAACTTACCATATTGGTTAATTTTCCAACTGATTCGCTTGAACAAAAGTCTCATTTTTCATGAAATAGTTTAGATTTGAAATTTTACAGGTACATAGATGATACGGACCAGGAAGATAAAGGACGATCAGAAGATTTTTTTTACCGATCTTCCTGGAGTTGATTTGTCCCCAATTCACTCTTGGATATCTGAGAGGAACATTCTGGATGCCATACAAAATAAAAAGAGTCTAGTAAGTACATTAGCTGAGGTTAAGGGCGAGTATGGAAAATTAGGGGATGTTGTGTAGGTTCAAGTGGTTTCGGATGGAGAAAAGGGTCTTTTATCATGAAATAGTCTAGTTTTGAAATTTTAAAGGAAGATAGCGAGATGATACGGACCAGGACAATCAAGGACAATCAGAAGACCAAATTATAACTACTATAAAGCATTGAATTTTATCGTTTTGTTTCAACTTTGTTAATTTTTAACCGGTTTCCCTGAAATCAAGTGCATTCTATAAAGAAATATAATTTACTTCTACTAAATTGGAGAGAATTAGCAGGTATGCTTTTGAAAATAAAAAGTCCATTGAGTGTAGACTTCGTGTTTAGGGGTGGTTATAGATAGTTGTGAGTGGTTTTTTTCCCCGAATTTTCTGGAATAAAGTTCATTTTTCAAAGAAATATAATTCGCTTCTGGAAATCTGAGAGAAATATCCAGGATGCCATGCAAAATAAAAATAGTCTAGTGAGTACATTAGCTGAGGTTAAGGGTGAGTATGGAAAATTAGAGGCGGCTATGAATGGTTTGGTTTCAGGTTTTTTCGGATGGTTGGAGATGCTATGTGGTAATTTTTGTAGTTTGTATGTTATTAATTTTTTTTAATTTGTTCATTTTTGACCTTTGATCTTTCAAGAAATAAGCTCATTTTTCAAATAAACATAATTTATTTCTAAACTGGACAGAAACATCAGATTTCCAAAAAAGCATCCTATAGATTGACTGTAATTAGGGTTGGTTAGAGGTTGTTTTGGGGTGGCTTTAGATGGTTTTAAATGGTTAAATGTGGTTTTACGTGGTTTTTTGTTGGTTAGAGGTGGTTAGAGATTAGAAGTTAGTTCATTTTTCAAGGAAATATAATTTATTTCTAAAAACTACCCAGGTTTCATAAAAATTGTCCTGCATGTAGATTGATTGTAGTTGGGGTTGGTTAGAAATTGTTTTGGGGTAGCTTCAGGTGGTGGAAATGGTTAAATGTGGATTAACCTGGTTTTTCGTTGGTTAGAGATGGCTAGAGGTTAAGAGTTAGTTCATTTTTCAGAGAAATATAATTTATTTCTAAAAATTATCATCCAGGTTTCATTAAGATTGACCTGTATGTAGACTGATTGAAGTTAGGGTTGGTTATGACTGGTTAGAGATTGTTTTGGGGTGGTTTTAGGTGGTTGGAAATGGTTAAATGTGGTTTAACCTGGTTTTTCGTTGGTTAGAGATGGTTAAAGGTTAGGAGTTAGTTCATTTTTCAGAGAATTGTAATTTATTGCTAAAAATTATCATCCAAGTTTCATTAAGATTGACCTGTATGTAGACTGATTGTAGTTACGGTTGGTTATGACTGGTTAGAGATTGTTTTGGGGTGGTTTTAGGTGGTTGGAAATGGTTAAATGTGGTTTTACGTTGTTTTTGGTTGGTTAGAGATGGTTAAAGGTTAAGAGTTAGTTCATTTTTCAAAGAAAGTTAATTTATTTCTGAAAATTATCATCCAGATTTTATAAAAATTTTCCTCTATGTAGATTAATTGTAGTTAGGGGTGGTTATGTGTGGTTATGGCTAGTTAGGGATGGTTAGGGGTGGCTTTGGGTGATTGGACATAGAAGTTGTTTTAGGTATATGGAGATGGTTTTTGTAGTTCGCATTTTCTTAAATTTTTTCATCTTTAAGTCACTTCTTGAATTAAAGTTTTGTTCAATTATTTTTTATCAAAACCTTGTTAATTTTTAACCGATCTCTCCGAAAAGAAAACGTTCGTGAATATCGTCGAACTTACACAATTGGAGAGAAACAGTCGGGATATTCAGAATAAAAAGTGACCAGTATGTTGATTACTTGTGGACAGTAGTGTGTACAAGTATGGAAGGTTAGGGATAGTTGTAGATGAGCGATCTTTATGGAGTTATGTGTAGTTAGGGCTGGTTAAATATTGTTACTGGTAGTTATAGAATAAAAGGTGCTGGATGCCACATATACACCAAGTAAAGTGGCTTGTGTATTTATCGGTTATGAATTTTATGTGTGGTTACTACAGGTTCTGGCAGATTATGGATTGTAATAGAATGTTATGTATGGTTATTAAAGGTTAGGGAAGAACATGAAAGGTTAGGAGTAGTTATGAATTGTTATATGTGAACAGGGTGAAGATCCGTGATTCTATCGATAACTAATTCTATCGATTTTTCATTTCCCATTACAAATATGGATTTATCAACTTAATTGTGCTGTTTTGTCCTATCTTTCTTTTTGTCTCTATCTGGTCCATCTTTAACCTATCTGCCTGAAAAGAAACCTAATTTTATGTGAATACCGTCGAGTTTAAAGAAAATGAAAACAAGCATACGGGAAGCCGTTCAAAATAAAAAGTAAAGAACCATGTAGATCGGTGATGGTTAGGGTGGTTTTAGATGGTTGGAGGAGGTTTGGGTGATTTTTTTAGAGTGGGTTTTCTTCAAATAGTCTCAAATTTGTTCATTTTTGTCTGATATTTTAGGTATAAAGTTAATTTTTTATGAAATACGTCAAGTTTTGAAATTTCTTGTGAAACATTGAGGAAGCCGAACAAAATAAAATGTTGACAGTGTCCTTTATATAAATTAATAGTGGTTAAAGTGATTATAGAAGGTTAGGGGTTAGTGGTGGATGATTAGGGATAGCTAGGAGTGGTTACAATCATGGTTAGATGGAGGTTGTTTTCGGGGATTTTTGAAGTTTTTATTACCTTCAAATTGTCTAAACTTTGTTCTTTTCCCCTGATATTCTTGAAAAGTTTTCATGGACTAAGTCGTTTTTAAATGACGAGAGAAACATTCAGGATATTAATCAAAATAAAAAGTTAAGCGTCCTGTATCTAAATTAGTGGCGGTTAGGGTAGGTACGGAAGGTTTGGGGTGGTTACCGGTTATCTCCTGTTAGAGATGGTTATGAATGGTTACGGATGGTTAAAAATAGCCAGATATGGTTTTGGGTGATTGGAGGTGGTTTGGGGTGATTTGGAAATTTGGTGAGAAACATTCAGGACGTCTTTCAAAACAAAAAATTTAAGCGTCCTTTATAAAAAAATTAGCTGTGGTTAGAAGTGAATATAAACGCTTTGCTGTTTTTAGGGGAGGTTATAAAAGTTTATGAGTTGTTAACGGTGGTGGTTAAGTTGTTGTTGTTAGTAGTTAGATGTTAGTAGGAATGAATAGGGTTGGTTAGAAATTGTTAGGTACGGTTCTGGGTAGTTTAGCTCGTTTGAAGTGGTTTTTTTAGTTTGTATTTTCTTTGAATCGTATTAATTTTGTTACTTTTTAACCAGTACTCTTCAAATAAATCCCTGTTTCTATAATAATGGTGATGGGTGGTAATGGTTAGGGGTAGTTATGGAAGGTTATGGGTTGTTATGTCTGTTTAGAACGTGGTTATGGGTCACTCTATTTCAGGCTGTTCAATCAATATTAGACCAAAAAAGTAGATTTTCGATCTCGTTATAATTATTAAAATAATTTATAATATAAACAAATCTATGAATTGTTTTTTTCCCCGAGCTGTTGCAGACTTGCAGTCCAGTTATCATAGTTGTGCGCATTAAAAAGTCATTTCTCCTCTGTTGAGTCCACCGAGCGTGGAGTCACACTCGTATTTCTCCAAATTGTCTCTTCAGGAGGAAGAGATCCGCTCTCGACCGGTCAAGGTTGACGAGGTAAACCGTGTATGAAGTAACTGTACTTGCAAGTTTGGGCTCATGTTCCGGAAGAACATCAATACACTTTTTTCTCTTCTTCCTGTCACCTGGACGCCAAATGTTTCTCTGAGTGGTCTTTAACTTAAATTTTGGCGCCGAGAAGAAACAACCGCAATCTAGATCTAGTGTGTTAAGAAGCTAACTAGCAAATATGTTTAGGCTTATTATTTATGTAGTTTATTGTAGAAAAATAATTAGACAAACAATTTAACTTTTTATTAATGAACCAAGCTGCCACAATCACGTGGACTACACTACACCTGTGACTGTAGGATGTATGTAGGAATTCCAGATTCACGAGATTCCAATTGATCTGGATAAGTTTGGCTTTTATTGTACAAGACAAGGGATTTAACTTAAGACGAACAAGTTTATCAATAGTCAGATGGTAAAATGGTAAGCAGCGATGACAAGTTTTCGCGTGGTTGTCAAGAAGCGAAACAAGAGGGGAAAAAATCTCCGGGGTTTCGCTCTGAGGATTATAGGCTGATTCTTTTTTTTTCGCCTAGGGAAGTCGTAGAATCAGCTCGAGAACATCACGGGTCATTGGTCCACCCCAGAAATCAGCCTATGTCGCCTGTTCTATCCGGGATGTAACAGTCGGTAAAATAATTGACCTTATTCCAAGCCGAATTTGTTCGGAAAGTCTAAAAAATCGAAGATTGACTTACAGGCTTCCGGCAAAACCGGCCGCTTTGTTTTCGATGATGGTCGGCTCCGGCGGCTTGCACATTATGATCAGCTCCTGGTCCGACATCATGACCACGCCGGGAAATTGTGGAAACCAGACCCGTACGTGGACAAAACCCTGAAAATAAAAAACAAAAATACTTTAAATCCAGATAGAAATCTATTTTGAACCTAAATATTAAATTGAAGACATGACATCTCGTAAGCAAAACAGCCATGGAGTCACTATTTGGCAAGATCACTCACTATCTGTGGTTAGAGGTTGTTAAAAATGATTAGGGGTGGTGAGATTGATAGGGATAGTTTTTGGTGTTTTGGTGTGAATTTTGTAATTTGGTTTGTAAGTGGTTATAGAAGGTAGGGGCGGTTATGTTATCGGTCTATGCCTAGACTGCAGACTGATGTGGAATCCTCATACAAGACTTAAAAGACAACAACTTAACAGAAGACTTGGACAACTATCCGTCTTGACCGTCAAGACTTTACTGCGACCGATGTGAGGCAATGAATTGTCGGAAGTCAAACAGTTACAGGCCTGTGTACCGCAAGGTAGTATCCTATTCTATATATCATTTATACCTGACCTACCAATACATCCTGACATTGTTATCACCACCTACGCGGACGACACCGCAATCCTATCCTCTAACTCGAATCCTGCTCAAGCTACTTCCAACATCCAGGAACACCTTGAGCTTATCGAAGACTTTTCAAATAATGGAAGACAGTACTCAACGAATAAAAATGCACATGCACACAATTGAACATCAACGAGATACCAGTTTCCACTAAAGTCAAATACCTGGGATATATCTCGACAGCAGACTGACGTGGAATCATCAAGACATTAAAAAGACTTGGACTACTACGAAGACTTCTAAGACCGAAATCGACTTTAGACTTTACTAAGTCCAATATGGGACATACGGAGTGGAACTGTGGGGTTCAGCCATCCGTTCCCGATTCCGAAAGTTTCACTCGAACCTCTCGATCCATCCTAACCGTACTGGGAGCCCTCTCCATATATTTCCATCCCAAGAATCCGCCACGTCGCCTTAATCGTCGATGCTCTCGAGACCTCTTTGCCCCTTAATCCGTCACATTGAGTGCCAGCATTGGCTTGTGTCATGGGCACGTGTCCTCCGGGGCAACGTGTTAGTATTAGTGCTGTGATCGTGTGATAAGAAGAACTTATAGTGATCACATTTGTAGTACATACATAGATTTTTGTTTTCAATTGTGTTTAAGAGGTAATTGTGCCAAATGGCCCCGGTCAAGAATGTAAATGTGGGCGTCGCGCATTATTTACTGTTGTGGCCCGCTAGCTAATATGTCTCGCTCCATATACGCTCAAGCTGCTCAATGGACAACAGGCCGATCCGCCACGGCTCTTCAACAGTGCACACACTCTTTTTCTTTCCGCCACAAAACACTTCTCGAATCCGGCCACGAGAAAGTCGACCCGTCCTTTTAATCCCGTCCTAGACTTGAGAAATAATCGCCTGTACACACATGATTGATGTGTTCAATGACTTTTACGCTTTTGTGAAACACAATAGCTGTCCCTTCTTCTTCTTTTTTGCTCTGGAATAAATCAAGGGAGTCGGGTTAATCTCGGGATTTAACTCCTTCAGTTACCCGGAATAACCGGACGGAAGGGGCCGTGACACTTGTTTTGAGGTTTCACGGGCCATCACCGCTTTCCGTGCAGCTTCGGCAGCTTCGATTTCGACTACAACCGTTTTGTAAAAAGTATTTGTAAATCTTCGATAAAAGACTATTTCTTCGTAGTTTTTATTTTAATTGTCTTAACTGTTGTTGGAATTGCAATCTTTATTGTGATGCTGTGTCCAAATTTTAGCTTGATCTTGTCAATTTTTAACCGATCTTCACGAATTAAATTTTGGATTTCATTGAGCCAGAATGCCATTGAAATAAAACGTGCCCTGCGTTTAGATCAGTTGTGGTTAAGGTTGGCAAAAAGATGTTATGTTTCGTTTGAAAGGTCATGGTTGGTTATGGATTGTAATAGGATCTTATTTTTTGTTTTGGAAGATTAAGAATGGTTGTGAAGAGTACTAAAATGTTAAGTTTGGTTTTGAAAGGTTATGGTAGGTTATGGATTGTAATAGGATGTTATTTTTTGGTTTTGGAAGAATATGAATGGTTGTGAAATGTAATAAAATGTTATGTTTGGTTTTGAAAGGTTATGGTTGATTATGGATTGTAATAGGGTGTTATTTTTGGATTTGAAAGGTCACAGTTGATTATGGATTGTAATAGGGTGTTATTTTTGTTATATGTTATGGAAGTTTAGGGGGAAGTTATGGAGTTATTGAAGTATGTAGCATTATTATTATGTATGGTTATTGAAGGAAACTTAGGAGTGGTTATGAATTATAATAAGATCTTATGTTTGGGTTTGGAAGGCTAGGGATGGTTACGGATCGTAATAAAATGTTATTTTGGGTTGAGGAGGTTAGGGGAGGTTATTATTTGTAATAAGATTGTGTTTTGGAAGGTTACGGGACGTTATGGGAGTTATTTAGTGTTAGGATATTATTATTTATAGTTATTAAAGGTTAGGATTGTTTATGGAATGTAATACAAGCTTATGTTTGGGTTTAGGGGATTAGGGAGTGGTTGTGGATCGTAATAAAATGTGATTTTGGGTTGAGGAGGTTAGGGTAGGTTATTATTTGTAAAAGGATTTTGTTTTGGAAGGTTAGGGGACGTTATGGAAGTTATGGATTTTAGGATATTATTATTTATAGTTATTGAAGGTTAGGAGTGTTTATGGAATGTAATACAAGCTTATGTTTGGGCTTAGGAGATTAGGGAGAGGTTGTGGATCGTAATAAAATGTGATTTTGGATTGAGGAGGTTAGGGGATGTTATTATTTGACATTGACGATGATGTCCTGATATGGCACTTGGTTAATTATAGGTTAACATAGTCTAAAAACCTTTCTATCGTTAATGTTTTTTATTTATTTATTATATATTTATCGGCCTTGGGTAGTTCAACATTTCGTAGACTTACCCACAAGTCTTCCTAATCCGAAAAATTGATTATTGTAGAGATAATGAAGCCAAATTGCAAGGAATTTTATGCTTGCAAACTTGTCAAAATGTATACTGTTTGATTGTTTGATATGGTGTTTTTTTATGTGGTTTTCACAACAGAAGATATGAAAGAACATATCATAGCAGGAATTGGAAAGATGAAAATGTCAATGTGCTTAGTTGATAAAGAATTTTTTTTTATTTCAATGCCCAGTGAATATGGTACCGGACCTTTGCATGTTTTATTATGTCGATATCTTTGGGTATTTAATGGTATTATAGTTTGGGTTCTTATTGTTTCATATTCCGAGAGACAGGTGTTATTTGGCCAGTTCCTCTCTTGTCCCTCGGGCCAATAAGCCCGCCCCAGGTGGATAATCTGTTGTAATTTGTCCCCCCCATTAAATTTTACGTCTCGCCTTAGAAGATTAACTCTCCGAAATCACGTACGACGTCGGGAGATAAAAACGGACAATCTGCATTAATTCACGTACGACAATAACGGAGTTAAGAGACTGCGACGGACGTCTCATTACCCGTCGGGTCCGCTACTCCTCCGATCTTCACAATACCTGCGATGTCCCAAGAGTTTTGTTCTAATTGATAAAGCTGATTTTACACGAGGAATCGAGAAGGCTCAAGTTTTTTATATTGCTCTATATCATCTTGAACGACCTAAAGGTTCTCTATGTACTATTTGACCATAAAAAAACCACAATTATTATTATTGAAAATGTCAAAAATAGGGAAAATTCGAACGGTTGTGGGTTGATGGAGAGTAGGTGTCCGAAAGGATCGAAGTCATAATAGCTCAAGTGGTAGAGCAGCGGCGTATTCAGAGGAAGGCCGTGGGTTCGAATCTCGCTCGTGACACTGACTTTTTTTATCTCAACCAAGACCTTACATAAAAAGAATAATTAATTGAAAGAAATAACTTGGTCAATTGACCACTAAAACATAAATGGATTAATATTTAATAAGTATCACTTCACTGACAGCTCCCCGAGGCCACTTCATAAGTCGCTGAGAATCGAATCCTGATTACACGACATTTGAAAATGGCAAAAAGAAGGAAAATCCGAACTGTTGTAGGTTAAGATGGAGAGTTGGTGTCCGAGAGGATCGAAGTCACGATAGCCCAAGTGGTAGAGCAGCGGCGTATTGGTCGTGGGTTCGAATCTCCGTGACACTGACTTTTTCATTTCAACCAAATCCTTACATAAAAAGATTAATTAATTGAAAGAAATAATTTGATCAATAGGCCACTAAATATAATGGATTTTTCGTAATTCATATTGGACTTTGTCATTAATGAACCGAACTTATTTGGATAATTTTTAAAAATTTGCTTTCTGCTTGCCGTGTGGCAATTCGATTCACTTTTGGTCTTAAAGATGAATTTTATTGCTTGACTCATTGTTTATCTGGAATACAATTTTTTTTAAATTTGAGATTTGTAGGGTTATCCTGGTAAATGTATGGTGTATCTACTATGAACAGATTAGGAATTAGAATCTCGTTCGTGACACTGACTTTTTTATCTCAACTAAGACCTTACATAAAAAGAATAATTGTAATTATTATTGTTTAACTTTTTATTATTCCAGATAGTTAATCTTATATATAAATAAACTATTTAACAAATGCACTTTTCTCGAATTGTTCGTGTGAACAGATCCGAGATGACGGATCATGACCAGACTAAAAACAATACAAAGAACTGTCTTCGGCCATTTCTTCTTAATTATTATAAAAATAATAACTTCTTCCGTGTGTGTAGGAGGAAGGGTAAACGGCCCTCCTTCGAACGGGTACTTTCTCATCTCAAACCATTCAGCAATAAGGCCGGGTTTTTCAACCGTGGAAACCCAACGGCGGGTATTTTCGCCGTCCGGCCGGTGGTAAACGGTCTGTTTAACACGTAAATGTGAGTCTGTCTGACGCGGCCCGAGCATAAAAGAATGCGAAATGAAATCAAACGACCCTCCACATCGCCCAAGGATGTGTACGATGAGAACCATAACGGAAGACGAAGAGCGGAAAAGCGATTTTCCACCCGCCCTAATCCGTACCTGAAACCCTGGGAACTGATATAAAGAATATTATTTATCGACTAAGTACATTGACATTTCCATCCTTGCAAGTCCTGCTTGTATATGTTAACTGGCCGAATTATCACCATATAATCTCATACATAAATATTTAAGAGTAATTCTTCTTTTTATGTAAGATCTTGGCTGACATGAAAAAGTTAGTGTCACGAGCGGGATTCGCCGCTGCTCTGAACAATAGAGACTCACGACTTCGATCCCCTCGGTATGGTCTGGTATGGTATGGTGGAAAGGATACTAGGAAGCGGGGTATTCCCCAGGCACTGCAGCCTTCTGGCTTATTGTACCTCCCTAGTTCCTTAGTTCAGTCAATAGACTCAATTCTTCTTCTTAGAAGTATAAGGTCATTGATTGTTGCTGCTGCAATTTGATTCCCTAAGTCTTTTCCGTACGTTAGGTTAAACCTCCATTGAGCTGTAGCTTCGCATTCGAAGATGATATGAGTGGCTGTTTCCTCCTCCTCATTACATAAACTGCAAATGGGGGTCATCGCTGTTTATACCCATGTTGTGTAGATGTTTTCTCAGATACCAGTGACCGGTTAGTAGTTCTACCACTCCTTTGAGTTTGGCTCTCTCCAATTGCAGCAGTGTTTTTGCCAGTCTCGGTGAGGGTTGTTTCATCATACGTTTACTATGTCTAGCACCGCTAGAGTTCATCCATTTCTCCTTTTGTTTTGCTTGCATCCATTCTCCGATGGAGGATTCTATATTTGTTTTTGTTGTCCCAAGGATAGGTTCGGGGCCTATGTATGGTACAGATCTTCCTCTGGCCAGTCTGTCTGCTTTCTCGTTACCCAAAATTCCCCTGTGCCCTGGCACCCAAGATATCATCAGGTTGTTGTGTTTCGGTTTTGGAGATTTTGGATGCATTCACTGACTAGTTTTGATGGAATTCTTTTACATGCTAATGCTTTAATAGCTGCTTGGCTGTCTGATCTTATGAGGATTTTTTTGTCAGTGTAACCTCTTTTAAGATTTTCCAGGGCACAAGCATTGATGGCATGTATTTCCGCTTGAAAGACCGAAGTGTACTTCCCTAATGAGTTTGATTGCTCATGTTTTGGGCTTGTACAGAAAACGCCTGATCCGGTTCCTTCGTTTGTTTTGGAACCATCTGTGTACCATATCATTGTATCTGATGCTCTCCTGTGTTCTTCCTCTCCTTTATAGTCCGTTGAGACTTTATAGGAAGTTGTGAAGATTGTTTCCGGGATCATGTAATCAGTCCCCATTTCTAATAATGGGTGTCTCATTTTGTTGATTATGGTTGTATGCCCGAATTGTTTAGTTCCTTTCCAATTTAATTGTTTCTGGAGCCTACATGAGCTTTTCCTATCCTCTCCTTGTATAAATATTTCCAGTGGAGGTAGGTTTAGCAAAGTTTCTAATGCGTTTGTAGGGGTTGTTCTCATCGCCCCTGTGATATATAGGTTTGCTAGTCTTTGTATGCTGCCTAATGTTTGGATAGCTACTTTTTGGAGGAATATGAGTTCTTTGTGGATGATGAGGTTAATGTCATAATAAGGTGCTTTGACAATTTGTCTAAGGGCTTTGTATTGAAAGGACCGAATGCGCTGGATATTGCATGGCTTGGCAGAACCCCACATTCCACTCCGTATGTCCATATTGGACGAAGTAAAGTCTAAAGTAAATTTCGGCTTTAGAAGTCATCGTAGTAGTCCAAGTCTTGTATAAAGTTTTTTTTAACGTCTTGTTGATTCAACGTCAGCCTCTTGTCGAGATATAGTCCCAGGTATTTGATTTGAGCGGAACTGGTATCTCTTTGGTGTTGATGTACGATGGAGGGAAAGACTGCTTTTTCAGCGTAAAAGTACACTTAAGCGATAACCTTCCCTAACAATATTCTATTGAATCCATAAACTCTCCCAACCATCCAAAACCATACGTAACAACTTATTTTCATCCAGTAAATCCCCGAATATTTGACCTGATATGAAAACAGGCTTTACAACAAGCGAATCCCTGGTGAAACTTTGCAACATCACGTTTTTGCAACAACATGATTTTGTATTATACTATTTCCATCCATAATTGCCCCTAACCATCAATAACTATACATAATAACATTCATAACCTTTAATAACGACCCCTAACCTTCCAAAAGCATCCCTCACTGCATAACCACATTCAGAGCCATCCTGACCATCCTAACCACCCTTAACCTCCAATAACTATACATAGCAGTATCATATTAAATCGACAAACCCTTCTAACCTTCCAGATCCACACATAACATCCTATTTTCATCCGTAGCTATCCCTACGTTACTTCTTGGTGTCACGTTATTGTATTATAAATAAAACTAGTGTTCTTGGCTATCAATAATATGCCGGATTTGACTGTGAATCCATTTTTAAAATATAGGTAAGTCCAACTATGTATATATAAAACATAACATTTTAGAATGTAAATTCGTAAAAGGCAGAAGAGTCGTCGTTTCAGGCAAGCATAGCAGCTTGGGTCATTAATTGCTTAAATATTCTTCAGTCGTCTATGGTCGAAACGATGTACGGTTCATTAGAAGGCCAAAAAGGGCTAAATAAGTAGAACGGATTAAATTATACCGAAGGATTATATTCTTTGTGTATGTGTGTGTGTGTGTGTGTGTTCTTTTTTGTTGCCTACTCGAGTTTATGCTTTCCATACGTAAATCTATTTTTGCTTTTTTTTCCAAAATACTTTAAAAAATAGTGTTTATGCGTGTGTGTTTGTTTCTGTTCACCAGTTCATCAATGTTCACCTCTCAGTGAATTCAAAGACGTCATATTTGGAAAACTGGTAAATTGGTTAACTAGTGATGAAGAAATAAGAAAGTTTCGCTAAAATCTGATACGGTGAAATAAAGAAACACGAAGAAGGACCAATTGAACTTACGTTTCTCCTCAGGACGCCGCATCTGGAGAAGTCAGTCACCTGGAGAAGATAAGACTGCCTGTGTATATCCGAAAGGTCTGGAGTTATCCTGCAGGCCGGGTGTGTGAGAGGGTCAATCGCCCGGTCGTCGGCAAAAAGCGGATCACCTTTGAATCCTTCCGGCCTCCTCAGTCGAGCCGTCATCGAATCGACTCCGGTCCGGCCGACACCTCCGCTTTCCGAAGATCCGAACGTACACTCTATATCTGAAACTGGAAGGAAAATTTCGAGTTATTATGAGAAGCTCCAATTTCAATTTGCAATTGATTGGATTAATTTAACAATGCAAATCGCTTAAATAAGTTGGGAACTTTTTAAGCCTGTGTTGCCAGTTAATGGACCTGCCAATTAAGGAACATAAGAGGAAATCAGTATGGGTAAAAGGGCCTAAAAGCTTTTGGACAAAATCGACCAATCCTGAGACTAAGATTACAGTTGAACCTCTCAAGTAAAACAAATCAGCACAAGCTAGTTAGATTTGTTTGTTTTCTTCGTTAATTAACAATCTTCCGGGGTCACTGGTGAAAGTGGTTACCCTTTTTCCACTGCGAGCTAATAGATCTATTTTGAAATTGAACCTACTCTATGTGCCTCAATGGTAATGGTGTCACCTTTCCAAAGTAGTGGTGCTGTTTTCTTTCTAACGCTTCGCAGTCACTAGGTCATGTGATGTCTACTGTTTTATGGCAAAATCGGTAAGTTTCTAAGTTTTTCTTTTTTTAAGGTAAAAATTAAATGGGCAATGGTCTCTCGATTCTTGCTTGCTGAGAGGTTAAAATGTTGAGTGACTTCTTTTATTGTTATGCACCTGGTGACTTTAGCATGGTTCATAGGATGTGAGGAATGCTCTTTCTTTTGCTGGTTTATCTTGTTTGTTGCCTTCAATTTCCCTGTATCCTGGCATTCACAAAGTAGTTACTTGATTTTCCCAGGAGTTGGAGATGAAAGGCATTCTCAATCAGCTTCCAATTAAGGTGGAGTCTAAAGGATGGATCTCATGGATACTTTGAGATGTGTCTGATTTACGGTTCTGGTCCAAATAGTTTGACTACGGTACCTACTCTTTCTACTTTGTCAGATTGTCCTTGGTTCAATTACCTCACCTGGTTGCGTTTTCCCAGGAGCAAGAGATAGGTTGGAGATATTTTGAAAGTGGCAGAGTTCAAAATCAAAGAGAGGAGATCAAATCCTTCAGTGTTGCTTCCCTGTTTTCAGCCTCTTTTTGAGTATGTCTAGGGCACAGTTAGGCATGGATCTCAGCGTGTAAAATTTACCTTTCTAAAGGTCTTACTAGGTCAAAATTTGGACAAATCTGGGTACCTTCATGCATTGGTTGTTCAATATCCAGCTTTGATAGTCGCTCTTTAGCTTTCTTTGCCCGTGAGTAGACACCTTTTCCTTTAAAGACGTTTATAATACCATACAATACGTACTGAGGTTTTCTTTTCTTCTTATCTCAACAGGCTGTTTTGCAACTCTCCTAGTATTTGTAAATATCTGTTGAGTCGTCAATGTCCCTACAATAACAACAATAACAAGACCCTATAATAATCCTTGGTTTCAGCATTAATGCATTAATGCAGCAGATCTGTAGTAAGTCTGGAAACCTTCTAACCGATAGAATAGCACAATGAGGATACTACAAAGTGGGAGTAAAGCTTCGCTAAACTATGGAGCCATTGGATAGATTCAAATCAATCAAAAACGAAGGCCATCGACTGTTACTGCTACAATTCATTTTTTCTGCGTCTTTTTTGGTGTACTCTAAGGTCTTCATTGAGCAGTGTCTTCACATTTGAAGATAATCAGTGGCAGTGTCATCTCCACTCCTCGCACCTACAAATGTGGTCAACGTTGAATATGGCCATGTAGTGTACATTGCAGGTATTTCTCAGATGCCAGTGGCCAGTAGAGCCTTATTACTTTCCTTAGTTTTATTTAGTTTAATCTTAAACGTCATGATTTACTGCGTCTAGCACTGAGTGAGTTTGTCCTCTTCTCATATTGTGTATGAAATTAGGGTCAGGGCTTATAGAACTCTTCTGGTAATTTTGACTGTTTGATTATTACCCAAAATTCCCATTCGCTCTGACACCCATGAGGTTAGACATAATAGTTAAATTTTGGATGCATTCAGCGACCAATTTGGATGTGATGCGCTAATGCTTTCTATATTGTGAGGATGCTTTTGTCAGAGTGACCTCCTTTAAGAATATCCAGGTCATCGGTCAGGGGTTTTTAAGGGTTTTGGTCCTACTGGTTCTGCTAAGGACTCCTCATCTATCAACCTCTTCGTTATCCTTCTGTCCAGCATGCTCTGGAACCAAGACAAAAAGCAGGAATGATGTGAGTTCTGGCCAGTTAAGACCGTCCATTGCTAGTTACCCTTCTGTCCTCAGTGTCCTGAGACACAACCAAGAAACAGGACTGATGTTATTCTTGCCCAAATTGAAAATTGGAGAATCAAAACTGTGTAGTGAAAGAGAGAGGGGCGATCTTTTATAACAGAAGGCGCAATCGATATAATAGGGCTATCATTTCTGCCGTCTTAAAGACATTTTAAACGTTTCTAGGAAGACGCAGCGAACCCCAAAAAAGGACGAAAGACGATCGGGGCCAAGGTACGAAAATCGTTCTGAATATAATTCAATTTTAAAAAGGTTTTGTTCGATTGGGTCACAATCAACGCCACTGGCAGTTCATCCGTAACGAAAGAGGTTTTTCTCGAGATTGTAAGGGGTCTACGACCAGGGGGAATATTTCATCGCAATCTTTCCTGCTCTTTATGATTAATAGGCTCGGTTTTTTCCTTGGGAATCTCTCGCCAATATCTCAAGCTAGAAGGTGAAAAACATCGGTGATTCCAGAGGTGCAGTTCTGTTTAGGTTTAATTCTATTAATTTGTTTTAATTTTTTCGATTCACCTCCTGATGCATCTTCAAGGTGAAAAAAGTGAGAAAAGGCAGTAATAGGCATACCAAAAATTGTGTTCAGATTGGTCGACTGGCAAGGGTCTCCAGATTACTTGTTGGTCCATTGTCATATCTAAACTAAAAAGGTCAATTTTTGAGGGGAATTGTGGATAAACTCGAAATGTATGGATATTTATTCTAAACCAAATCATTATGAGACTTTTTGACTTTAATCTTGTATATCCTCCTATAGATAAACGTTACATCCTTATAAGCAATCTGTGATATTCTCGTACACTGATAGAAAACAGACCGTCATACTGATGTTGATGATGCTTCCTGATAAAAAAGCCCCTCGATTTTCTCTTTTGTGTATTTTCACAGTGAAAGGGAAATAAAAAAAGGTCAGGAAGATAGTGCAAAGGTGGCCTTTTCACCCTCATTGTGGGCGGAGGCTGGTTTGAAAACCGCGAGTATAACGGTCGTGGGGAAAATCAAAATTATCGTCGGTCCGACGTTTCGGACTTTTTTTCCACTCCTTTTCTCGGTTCCATCGCTTGGAAATTTCATCCATGGGGAAAAAACAAGAAGAGAGAGCCTTTTTAAAGACGTTCAGTCTCGATGATTTTTATGTTGAAGTTTATCAAAACAAAAGAGGTATAAAAAAATAAAAGCTGCAACGATCTCGACTTCAACATGTTCTATGCATTAAAAAAGAAAACAGCCTGCTTATAATTAATGGAACAATTAAACAATAACTTAATTTGACCTTTTATCAATACATAAATTAGAAAAATAAGGTCAAATTAGACAGTTTTTTACTATCGCTTGTACTGATGGTTTATACAGATTGCGATTGAGTTATTTCTATTATTTGTTCGTTACGGGTCATCCTGTTTTGTCTATCTTCGCTTTGGTTTGTCAGACGCGATTCTGCGTCAAGGAGTCAGTGTTGCCATCAGTGTTACCAAAACAGGCAGCAGGAAAAAAAACAGTCTAAGCTGTGTCCTATATACTTTTATCAATCACTTTTTTTCTTCCTCTGCCGTTTATGACTCTCCAAGAATCAAATCTGCCTAACTTTCGTACAAAAGTATTAAATTAGCATAAATTAAAACAATAATTAGAAGTACGTAGTGCCAGAGATTTGTAAAGTATATAAATATATCTGCCCAGGAATTAAAATGAATAGAAAACGCGGATTGTCCATTAATCGAAGAATAATACAACTTCCTTCTGCACTGTGGCTAGGTTAGGTCGGGTTATGCAGGGCCACACGTAAAACAATCATTATTTAACAAAACAATTGGGAGTTCAAATCTGTTGAACATTTGTGTAATTTTCGAATGTATGTGCAATTCCAACTTTTGCCATTTCGTGATATGGATTGAGCTAGTGAAATGAGACGAGTGTTGACTAGGTTAGGTTTGGTCAAATAACAAAGTTCATATCGGTAAAATGAGACAAAACCTTAATACATGCACTTACGGAGCTTAAACCAATTGTTGAAATATTTGGAGATTTTAACGATTTTAATTTAAGAATTCAAAGATTTCATGCATTGGCCAACTTGTCACGCCCTCCTTCGAACACTGGATGCGTTTTGTATAGGTTATGTGAGGTTAAATAATAAATAACTCACGTTTAAATGAGCAAAGAAATTGATTAAGCTTTCAATCCTGATTAAACTGGTAAATTTGACAATTTCTGAGCCTGATTTTTGGAAACATTAGATGCGTATCGGTTAAGTTACGGGATGTTAAATTTAATTAACAATCGCACTATTTAAATGAGTAATTATTTATATATTGAACTAAGTTGAGCTTACATACCTGGTTAAACTGGGAAATTGGGATGCTACAACGTTTTAATTCGGTATTTTTAATTTTCTTAACCAACCTGATCTTGAAAACATGAAACGCGTATCGGTCAGGCTATGTAAGGTCAGATAATAAATATCACACTATTAAACTAATAAACAATCAATATTTAATAAACTCATGGAAGCTTAAATCAATTAAACTGTCCATTTTGGTTATTTTCGACTATTAGTTACGAGTTTTTGGAAAGTAGATGCGTGTTGACTTGGCTAGTTTTGACTTTTCTATAAAACTCTCATTATTAAAATGAGAAAATAACTTTATTAAATAAGCTTGAATATTTGCTAATTTGGACAATATTATAATTTTTCAATTGAGAATTTTTTTAAATACTTTTTCACGTCCTTTTTCTAGCTTAGATGTGAATTGTAAAGGTTATGTGAGATTGAATAAAATTCCCTACACTATTAAAACTAGTGA